AAATGTTGGCTGGGACATGAGGATGTTGAATGGGTGACCTCATGTCCGCAGCTCTAGCGGTCCAGTAAGATCCCATGGTCTGCTCCTCAGGGATCACATCATGGTTTTCTGGATCAGCCATATCTTCTTCCTCTTCTTCTAACTGCAGCTGTGATAGCGCCTCCTCCGCAGCCAGTCGCGCCTTTAGAGCCCGCTTGAAGTTTCTGCAGGTTCGTTCAAGCTCCTGGTCTAGTGGTAGTAGATCTCCCGACTGGCTACGGGTCATGCACTACCTGCACACAATCAGCAGAAGCAACCCGTGAAGGCACACAGGTGGAAGAGATAAAATGCAGTAAATAAAAAGCTAGAGTAACAAATTCTCACGTTTCCCCAATTACCTAGAGGGTCCCCGGCAATGGCGCCAAAAACTTGACACGCCAAAACACAACACCAATCTGCGACCAAGTGTAATCGCAAACCGGGAATGCAGTAACAGGCAAGTTATATTATCAACCCAGGGTCTAGATCTACTGCTTACTCAGTGATTCTCTGTTATCTAGCCAACTAAAGCAAGTGATTGTTGTTTAAAAGCAAAAGCAGAAAGAAAGCAGGAATTGATACGGTTTTCTCAAGCAGGTAAGAGTCACTCGGGAATGAGTCCCCCTAGCTCCTTAGTTAGGTTCAATTGCAATTCCCCTGGGTTGATTTACTGTTGATTAGACTGCGGAAGATCCGGCAGTAGCTTGGAATCTCTTAAGCTGACCAAGCCCTCTCAGTCTAACTACCCGGCAGACGACTAGTCTTCACCGGGATAGAAAGCTGAAGCAGTAAGAACAGAACTCCACTACTGGAATTGGATTCCAGTACAAAGCAGTAAACTGACTAACTCTCGTATAACCAATCTCCTACTATCGAATGATGAGACTCTAGCAACCTAATCAGATTCTATCTATCTCAGATTGCAGCAGGAATCAGGAAAAGTTGATCAGACTTCAATTGACTCAATAAACATGCATCATTCGATTAAAATCAAACAGTAATATCATCCCAAGTCATTACAATCAATCCCTAACACATAGAACTAGGGTTCTTCATCCCCAAGTGAGAGAAGGGTTCTACTCCATAGAGAGAGAGAAGAAAACAGTAATCGGAGTAGTCATACTCATAAAGATGAGGAAAATCTGCTCCGGGATGATGATTTCCACTCCTAGGACGATCTCCAAGCTCGATTCGATGAAACCCAGCTCCAAGATGGCTTCTAGGGTGAGTTCTTCGTCCTTTCTCTCTCTAGGGCTCTGTTTTTGCTCAAGAAATTCGATTCCCTTTCCTTGGCTCGATTCTGGCTTCAAAAACCCGACTCTGGGCGAAATACGGGCAGAATTACGGCCGTAATCACGCATGCCCGTAATTCGCCCAAAACGCGCGTTTCACTTTACTCTGATGGAAGAGGAGCCACGCCCGTAATTTCCAATTACCGTTACTCTGATGGAAGAGGAGCCACGCCCGTAATTTCCAATTACCGCCAGTATTTCATGAATTACGGTCGTAATTTGGTGGATGCTTGCCCGTAATTTTAGTGCCGAGAAGAATTCTTGGAAAAGTGGCTCGGCATTGGTTTTACGGCCATGCCCTGACCAATTACGGTCGTTATTTGGCAGGGGCTGCCCGTAATTTGGCCTGTGAATCACCATCTGACCTCCAAATGACCCGAAACTTGCGCCTATGCACCTCTTTACTTGCTAGGACCTGAAATACGACAAAACAACACAACCTAGCATAAAATAGGCCAAGGAACAATCAATTCAAGCTAAAATGGACAGGAAACCAGAGTGAAAACACGTGCAAATACGATGCTATCAAATTCCCCCACACTTAACCGTTTGCTTGTCCCCAAGCAAACCAAGTCAAACACAAGGTAAGCTTACATATTTCAATCAACCAACATTGCGGACAAGTCATAAAGGCACAGAACACGTGAATCGTACTGGTTTTCAAACATCAACACATGAGCAACTTCAATATCAACCTGGACAACCACCACAAAGGACATTAGAGTGCAGCAAAATCGAGTAAAGGAAGAGTCTCCCCTTCTGTTCACCAACCAACCTAGACTTGACTCAACCACTTAAATTTTGATGGTGGCAGCCAGCAGCTATATATGCCCCAACGCTCCCGACGACGACTCTCTCTCTCTACAGACTGCAGTAATTAATATTAAATTCATGGCAGGAGGGCCAGCCAAACAGAACCATACTCACATCTTGGAGCTAAGCCAAAATTCACTGCCCACAAGCAGCTAGCTACCTCTGCCATTACCTCCACAATGAATAATCTGTTTGAACCGGCAGCTCGTTTTCCCATTGCTACAAAAAAAAAAAAAAGTTAATGTGGGATGGTAACAATGTTGGGACTAGCTGATGACTAGCTACTAGCTAGCAAGCTGGTTGTTTTCATTACGAAGAAAAGCTTAATTACCTGGTGGACAACCCGTTTGGTTTCGATAATACTTAAAAAGATTGCTTATGTGCATGCATTATTGCATGTAATATTGGAGATTAGTAATGTTATGGGACAAATTAGGTATCGCAACTGAAATATACGATAATGGATTCTTGTATACTAGTATGAGGTCTTTTGGGAGGATGTCCATCGAAAAGTAAATTTTTTGCGGGCCGGTTTGTTCCAAAGCAGGTAAAATATGGTACGAATCGAGTTATCCGGTTTCAACAAGGTGGAATCAGAGGTTGGTTCATTTTCCATTCGTGGCGGCGGTGGGCATCGGCTTGTCCGAATCCATTAATTAGAGATCCACGTCTGTTTGGCGGACTTGTTGAAATCGAGGTAGCTCAACTGTTAATTAGTACGGTATTGTCTGCTAATTTACTTTTGAGTATCCTCCCGAGAACTCTCATACTAATTAGACTAGATGGACACTAACATACAAGGATAATTTCCCTCCATTTTTGTATTTGGATTCGTTATCCTAACAATTAGGATTCGATTATAATCCTTTCCAGTTATGTCTCTCAACTGTATATGCATGCAGCTAGCTTCATGGACCACACACTGCAACCGTAATAACTGAAGTTTATGGATCATCATTATTACCAAAAATAAACCTGTCAGTAGTTCATGTGGGTTGGTTTTTCTTTTTCCCCACCACCCAAGTTCAATAAGAAAGTGGTTAAATTCTATACAAAGATATTTCTCAAACAGTATCAGAAACTGGTTTATCTTTATATGTTACATGTTCAAATCCTCACGACATCAAAATTAACCATTCTCATGATATATATATGACATACTTGTACAGATTTCAAGTCCATAAATTAACTTCGGTTTAAGGGTTGTGACAGTTTGCGCGTGCATATTTTTTGGGTTGATTAAAGTGTTGTAAAGATTGAAGAGACATGCATGTAATAACGTCCTTTCTGTTCTGTGTTTCCCCCCATAATGGGATAGTAAAAAAGAGGCCATGCTAGTCAGTAGTCACTAGTCAGCATCCCATCCCACATATTTATATCAACGAAGCAAGAAGAAGTCGTGGCTTGAAGTGATGACCTAGCTGGCTAGCTACACGACCATTTTTACTACGGGGAATGTTGAGAGAATGGCAGTTCGATCTTCATGTCACGAAGAAACTTCCTATTCATTCAAGAAAAAAATAAGGGTAAGTACTAAATACTGTTTTTAGCTAAATTTTTCACGGATGCTAAAATATTAGTTATATCTTTGAAAATACGGAAATATTAGCGAACCGCGTTAGATGACGATGAGAGCTGGTGGATGTGATGTTGAAATAGAAGGAATGTGGTGATCCACGAGATTAGATCTATTAATAACTTTAGTTGATGAATCATTACGGATACCCTAATTAATTACAATAAATAAAGGCCACACTCTCTCTCCAATTTGGACCATGTGTCTTAGTAAAGGAAAATCATTAGACGAAAACCATAATACCATATTCATTTTGTTAATTTGATGGGTGCCCTTCCATAGCTATCTAGTGTAAAATGAATTTTAATTTTGCTAGGGGTTAGTATGAGTTCACCTTCTCGGATTGTGATGTACGATAATTTGGATTATGTGATTTAACGATCGCGGGATTGTTCGACTATGCGATTCAATAAAGTCATTATATCTTATACTAACACAGCTGTAATCCAATTGGTGCATGTGAAGGTTTTTTTTAGCATGAAAGAAATGAAAGTCGCACAAAATTTCTATCTATGAATATTCCCGTACTTCATGTTTGCCCAAATCTACAAATTGTACAAGTACAGTTCAACACGCTCTTCCTTGTTTGACCGCACGACTTGCATCACATATTCGTATCATACCTCCTCTTCCTCCTCCTTCGCCGACCAGACTGCACAATGCACAGTACTATATTATCGCATTTCCGTTTCCTTAACAAAATTGAACGAGTACTCCACTTACATACACTTGGCGCAAACACGACATTACTCAAGCCAAAATATCTGAAATGGACTTGGGAATGTCACTCATCCAGGTTAATAGAATATATAAAATATATATTTTTATTTTTATTTTTATATTGTGAGTACATTGTCAACAAACTCATCCCATATATATTTTCCCGTTCATAACAAACAAACAAAAGAATCCCATAGTCCATAAGTTGGATATTTTCCACCACCTTAATCTATCTATCTTCTATACATAAATACATAATACTAGTTTTTTACCCGGCCTGTTGGCCGGAAAATTTCATTTCATCATTTATAGAAATTAATTTATTTATATGTTTAAATTTTTTTTAATCTTCTTACTTTTTTCTGCTCATACTTCATAAGTGAGTATGCTATGTTTTTATATTAAAAATTCTCAATATTTAGCACACCCACCTATGATATTCATAGGTTTCGATTCTCCAATCATAAATCATATTTTAAAGGTTTATCACGTCACATTTAGAACATATACAAAAGTTTGTCAACCAAGCCACTCAAATTTCTAATATTATAAAACCTTAACTCCCAGAGTTAGGACAAACTCTCAAAAAATTATTAAGAGTCCAGATTATTGGATAGAAATACTTGATTATTGGATAAAATGTGTTTATCCCAAGTGAAACTTGACACACGCCATACTCCTTACGATGATCAAATTATCTAATTTTGACTCATTTTTATGTGAATGTTCATTAAATCTCTGTTGAGGATCTTATGTCAAAATTTGTCTATCAACACACTCAAATTTAGTATCTTATACAATAGTGTAAATACAATTTATTAATCAAATCTTTCAAACTTTAAAATTATCAGCCATAACTTTCAAAATACAAAGTATTAGCCAAACCTTAACTCCCCGTTAGCATTTTTGTTAGCAAAATTTAATAGTTATACTTTCAATAAAATTGTATTATAATTAAGAAAATATTTAAAATAACAGAAAAAATATTAATATTTTGATATGATACAAAAGATTTAATACAAAGATTTAATACAAAAAAGATTTGGTTAAAGTATTGAAATTTCTTAAAGGTATAGCTATTAAATTTTATTTACTCAATTTGTACCAATTGCTAATTCTTGAAATTTGTAGTAACCTTCAACTCATGGTTGTTGTCTACATTGGCTTGTAAGAATCTCAAACCAAGACACTCTCACACACTTTCAAGGGTTCTCGTCTTAACATGATCCTTTAGTGTATAACGTTCCAACTTTTTTAATGTGCATTTGCAAAATTTTCCTTATTTTTTGTGTTACTTCTGGAACAAAAATATGCATTATATATCTTAATAATTGATAAATCATGTCAACAACTACAATGCACATAGATATAGGTTCATTAAAAACGTTGTATCATTTAAATAATTAAATTTTTTTTTTTTTACAAAGTGATTTAAAAAAAAATTAAAACTCATACAAACATTGTGACATTTCACACGGATGAATTCTTGGATGTATTATAGACACATCTATTGTTAATATAAAGAGTTTACTTTGTTTTGTAACCCTAATTAAAACCTTTGAACACACCTCGTTCAATGGAATACGCAACAAAATTTTGTGGATAGGATAACTCGATCTGTATACATATTGCTTACGGTACAAACTACCATTTTTGTTTTGACATTTTGATATGGTAAAATCTTTTTTTATTGCCAAATTTGGTATGGAGTTACATACTCACAACCATGCAATCAAATGACTTATTAGAATTGCCTTGTTGATCTCATGCTTATAAAGATTCTTCATTTTTAACCTAATAGCTCAGTTTGGAGTCTTCTAACTATAAAGGCCTTTAATGCAGAAGACATTCAACTATTAAACGAAAATTGTCAACCCATGTTTGATTAATGCTAGGTCAGTGGTTGATGAAACTTAATGTTTATCGTACATCGTCAACAAAGATTTCTCCAACACTCACGTGCCATATAATACGTGTACATCATCAAGTTTCTATCCAGACCTTTTACTATATAATACTTATTTTATTTTATAGATATATTAATTAGAAATAAGAGAAGGGATGGCAATGAAGCGGGTTTGCCTAAACCATCACCATCACCATCCCCATCCCCATTTTCAAATACCTAAACTCGTACCCGCCCCATACCCATACGGTGGAAGGTTTTACAAACTCATCTCCATACCCGCGGTTTTCGGATACCCATGGCCATGGGTAATACCCGCCCCATCAACTACTCACCATAAAAAATATGTAAAATAAATGGGTACTACCTGCCCAAAATTATGGAACTGATACATAAGTGGATGAAATTACGGTTTGGTTGCCATCAATTACATAAGTGGATGTTATATTTTCTGCATATAACATAATATCCTCGGTGGGGCGGGTTTGGGTATGGGGATGGGGATTTCAAAAGCATATCCACCCATCTCCATCAAAAAATTTGTGGGTTTTTCCCATACCCAATCAATGCGGAGATTCCCCATATTGACTGGGTCGGAGACGGTTGGGTACCTGCGACCATGGGTTTGGTTGTCATCTCTAAATAAGAGAGTGTTTAATAGCCAAAAATATAAAATAACATAGTTCATTTTTGAAAGTAGATTGATTTTCTAACAGTTATTTTCTCTATTTTCATCGTTATATTTTGTTTAATCGATAAAAATATTATTGTTTATGTGTGTGTGTTTGTTTAAAATTTCCAGTAAAAAACAGTAGTCTTTTTCTCTATTTTCATCGTTAATAATATATTTTTTGTTGAACTAAATGTGATATATCACTCTACAAACATTAGTCTTTTTCTACAAACATAGATATAATATGAAAATTAAAAAGAATCATTGAATAAAAGAAAACATCATTAAAAGAAGAGAGAGATAACTCCATAAATAGCTCATTAACTAATTTTTTTGCTTGTACAAAAATTGTCCACCTTAGCAACTAGTGAATTCTCCAAGTGCTTATGTGGCAAGAAGTTGTTTTTGAACAACCATAATATATAGTAAGATAAGATAAGATAAGATTAAGGCAATTCAAAATTAAATTTTTGTCATATAAGCACTTAGAGAGATCTCAAGTTGCCAAGGTGGACAATTTTTTTACTAAAAAAATAGTTATTGACCTATTTATGGAGTTGTCCCTCTCTCTTCATTTAATATTTAATTCTCTTTCATCCAATAATTATTATGCTTTTGTTTTTGCATTATATTTCTAAATAATATATGGAGAGAAAGGTTATCAAACTGGTTTAGCAAGTGGAATGGTTTTACCAGTGATACAATCGGTTTGTGTCGTTTCATGCCGGTTAATAAAATATGTAGAAATATAAAACATTATTAATATCAAATGAATTTAATCATATATAAACCATATTTGAAGACAATTTATGTGCAATTCATATTGATATTTGAATAAAATATGATATTTCAAATAAAATTACATGTACTCATAATTAAATTCACTAAAACTACGTATTTTACTAAGAAATTCGTAAAACGACCATACCGGTCATACCGATGGTGTCATGTCGATTTCATGACCGGTACCGGTTGAATGGTTCGACCGGTGGCATGCTGACCGACGTGACAATCATGATGGACAGTGACATATATCACATTTTGGTTTTGCATTATATCGATGTACGCAACAGTATACTAATGTTCGTAGAGTGACATATATATCACACTTTTTAAACCAAAAAATATATGATTAAAGATTACTATGTAAATTTCTGCTCATTTTTACTAAAACTTAATAATAATTTATATTTTAATGAATAATTTAAACAACCACACAAAAATAATAATATTTTGTCGATAATGTCTGAAAGAAACTTGACAAAGAAATAATAGTTATTTATTAAAAAAGCTTTTTATTCATTATGATCAAGTGAAAACATATGAATCGCATGTGCAGTATTTAATGTATCCTAAGTTCACATTACTATAATTTTCTCTAGGTCATGTTGATTGAGCAAGCTCTATTGAGGTCTTATATCATATGCTAAGAAATTTTCTTTTCAGACTTGGAGTTATTTATTGATAAAGATTATAAATTGAAGTTTCCAAAATGACTTGAGTATAATAGTTGATGAACATTGATTGAGACACGAGATCACTTGAAAAATAAAATGTGTGAAATTTAGAGAAATCTTTGTAAATGATGTACGTTAAACATCACATTTCATGCTAAGAAAAATCTAAATTCGAAGATTGAGGTAACAAATAAGTATTAATATTTTACTTCACATATATAACAAAAAATGTTTATAGTTACAATAGTGTAAACCGAGCTATTGGGTCAAAAGAAGAATATTTAATAAATATGAGTTGAGTAAGAAAATTGTAACAAGTCTATATAGTTGTGAGTCTGTAATTTCATACCAAATTTTGGCAATAACAAAAAAAATTGATATCATATTCCACCCAAGGAGCTGAGTTCAAAGGTATTAATTAGTGTTGAAAGTAAAATAAACTCTTTGTATATCTTTAATGGGTTTTGTGCAAATTCATGTGTGTTATTGTTCATCACATCATAAGTGACGATTGACATCATTTTGACATAAATCGCATGTTTAAAATGACGGTTATGAAGCGAGTGCACTAAATGCACTAAAAAAAGTGAGTGCACCGAAGACGCCACTATATACATATATATATATATATATATATATATATATATATAGATATTAACAATAGATGTGTCTATAATACATCCAATAATTTAAATACATGTGAAAAGTCACAATGTTTGTATGAAATTTTAAATTTTGCTACAAAATATTTTGTTAAAAAATTATAAGTTAATTATTCAAGGAATTCATTATTTTGAATGCACCTGAAATATTTGTCTGTTGTATACACACTTTACTAATTATTAATATAAGTAATGAAATTTTTGTTCTAGAACAAACACCAAATATAAAGAAATTTTAGTGAATGGACATTCAAATAGTTGAAAAATTATACATTGAAGGAACATGTTAAGATGAGAACTTTCGATAGTGTATATGAATCCTTGGATTCAGATTCTAAACGAACATTCAGACAAAAGGCACGGGTTGAGGGTTAGTACAAACTTAAAATATTGGTAATTGTAATGAGTTGCTATACAAAGACTTCATGAACATCAACAATAAAAATGAGTGAGGTTTAGAGAATTTAATCATTATAAGGGATACGATGTGTTCAAATTTCAATTGGGATAAACATAATCTATCCAGTAATCAAGTATCTTTTTCAATAATTTGAACTCTGATTAATTGGCTGAGAGTTCGTACAAACTCGAGAATCATGAATTGATATATGTTGTATAAGATAATAAATTTGAGCGTATTGGTGGATTTTTTTTATATACGATCCTAAATGGGACGTGATAAACCTTTACGACATGATTTATGATTAGAGAATAAAAACATCACAAGCGAGTGTGCTAACTATTAAATAATATTCGATATAGGCATACCACATATTCACTTATGAAGCGAGAGCAGAAAATGTATACAAGATCCAAAAAGTTCAAATATGTAGATAAGTTAACTAATATAAATAATAAAATGAAATTTTCCGGCCAACTGACGGGTAAAAAACTAGTTAATTAAATAGTTTTACAACATGCCCATAAACATATCATTAAAACAACCCCTCATCCATCTAGACATCTCAACGGCTTAAAATTTAAATGCCCTCTCCCAATATTCAATTACATATAATCTCTCTTCTATATATAGATGCATTGCTTTGATCGATGAAAACCCATCATTCCTTCATCACGAAAAGAGAAACCCAAAAGTGGCAGTGGGAGAAGCAGCTGCAATGGTCGAGCCGCAGCTAGTGAGCAACATTAGCGACGGGAAGAGGGCAACGGCGACGAAATCGCCAACGTTTTCGCAACCGGAGGTTTCGTTTTTGGCAACGGAGAAAAAGAGAATTAGCGACGGCGAGGGGCGGCCAAGGGTGAGGAAGCTGAATGCGTACGATAGAATCGCGGTGGGCGCCGTCGCCGGGACCCATCTGATGGCAATGTGCGCGCCGTTTTGCTTCAGCTGGGATGCGTTTTGGCTGGCGGCGACGCTGCAATTGGTGACGGGGTTGTTTGGGATTTGCTTCTCGTACCATCGGAATCTCGCCCACCAGAGCTTCAAGCTCCTCCCTAAATGGCTCGAGTACTTTTTCGCTTACATCGGCGCCCATGCCCTTCAGGTTTTCTTAACTTTCACTTCTCGATCTCGAATCTCGATTTTCGTTTCTCTAAACTCCCGCGTCTTACCACTTCCGATACCAATCATACCACCTTTTTACATGGTCGTATCAGATCTCGAATCTCAACTTTTGTTTCTCTAAATTCCGCATCTTAGTATAGTACTACTTCTGATCATACCAGATAGTGGAATGATTCGTATCAGGGGTTGTAAGACACGAGTTTCGTAAGGTTTTACAATTGTTGAATTTTGTACCATAAACAATGGCGTAAACAAAATTTTGATCAATGTGTCACCTCAATGCATCCATATAAAATTCATTCATAGCATATTACTCATTCAATATCGAAATGTGTTCTTCAAATGCTTCATTGTGGAAAATGTTCTTTCAAAATGTGGGTTTGATTGTTTGTTGTAGCAACAATACTAATTTTAGAAGTTAATGTGCCTATAAAAAAGCGTAAAAGTAGTAACGTAAATCAGAAAATCAATTGTAATTCTTCTATACATACGCGACTTTAGGATGAAATATTGGGTTAATATTTTCGTATGGCCTGAACTTTGACCAAAATAAACATCATGGCCAATCTTTTCGATCTATAACATCCTGGCCCGAACTATACACCAAAATAAACAATTTGGCCAGATCCGACTTTTGACCCTTAACTTGGACGGTCAAATGCGTTGACCGTTAGTCAACGCGCCATGTCACTGCCAAGTCAGCATAAAATATTTAAAATAATTCACAATTTCCACACATTCCCTAATTTTAAATTATTATAAATTAAAAAAATCATCTAATACCTTAGTTAAACCAAAAATAAAAAACGAAAAAATTAAATATTTATCAGATCTTCTGACTTGGCAGTAACGTGGCGCGTTGACCGTTAGTCAACGCGTTTGACCATCCAAGTTAACGGTCAAACATCGGGTTTGGCCAAATTGTTTATTTTGGTGTATAGTTCGGGCCAAGATGTTATAGATCGAAAAGATTGGTCAGGATGTTTATTTTGGTCAAAGTTCAGGCCATACAAAAATATTAACCCTAAAATATTAATATAAATTTGAATCCTACTCAAAACACTCAAATATCTTTTTGTTGAATTGACCCACCTTGACAAGAGGTGGCTACGTCGTTAACCGTAAACCGAACATTTTTTTAATGCTAGATTTAAACTTTTGTGAGTAAATTTGTGTTTGCAGGGGGATCCATTGACGTGGGTGAGCAACCACAGGTTTCACCATCAATACACTGACACAGAAAGAGATCCACACAGCCCCATTGAAGGGTTTTGGCACAGTCATATGAGCTGGATCTTCGATTCAGCCATGGTTAGAGAGAAGGTAATAGTACTTAAAAACGTTGTTTAGGATATCTAATACATTACTTAATTGTGTAATTAATGTATAAAGAAATGGGATTTGCAGTGCGGGAAACGAGACAACGTTGGGGACATGAAAAGCCAGGCCTTCTACAGGTGGCTTCGTAGGACTTACGTCTTCCACCCACTGGGACTTGCCCTTATCTTGTATGCCCTTGGTGGACTGCCCTACATCGTTTGGGGAATTGTAAGGCTACAGCTCCCCCTTTAATTGTGTTATATTATTTATAATGATTGTTGATCCCGAGGTTCAAATTCATGATACGATAGTAGATGATATCATCGTTTACCATCAAATGTTAAACCGTTGCCACTGTTCCATCAGGGCGTGAGGGTAGTGGGCGTTTACCACGCCACGTGGTTTGTCAACTCGGCCACTCACATATGGGGATCTCGAGTTTGGAACACCGACGACTTGTCGAGAAACAACTGGTAAATTACTTAATTATCATTGTCCCGTTCACGAATATGGGTTTTCATGAAAAAAGATACACCAAACAAACAAGTTTGGTGGGTCCGGTTGAAGTTAGGAATGATTAGATCGGTCGACTCTTGGGGTACTATGACCCAATTGTCCTGAGCCATATGAGTATTGAATCATACCCAAATTGACTCATGCATTATTTATATGCTGGAATCGGGTTTAATTTGACTAAAGTCATTTGAGTCCGTCCCAAATAGGTCTATTTGGGACTTTGAATTAAGATATTGTGCACGCAAAATGACAATATCGATCATCTTATTAACTGACAATTTGTAACTATTACTTGTGTTTGAACCAGGTGGGTGGCAGTTTTGACATTTGGAGAAGGTTGGCACAACAATCACCATGCGTTCAAGTACTCGGCAAGGCAAGGGCTGGAGTGGTGGCAGATCGACATGACTTGGTACGTAGTGAGGTTACTTCAAGCCATGGGGTTGGCTTATGACGTCAAGCTGCCGAGTAAGCTCCAAATGCAGAAGCTGGCCATGAAAGACCCAAACCTGTAGCTGATGAACAACTACTTCAGCTTCATATATATAAACACACAGAAACATGAAGGATTAAAATATATTAATGGTTGAGATATTTTGAGAAAGGAAAAATCTAGAGGAAAGGAGAAGAAGAGTTGGACGAGAAAAAGTGGGAAGAAAGGAGAAGTGTCTAGAGAATAATGAAAAAAATTATTATTTGTGCAGATTTTTAGAGGAATAAGGGTGTGGAAGAGTAGTATAAATAGGTTGGGTATGGACTTGTGTTGTGTGTGGAGTGAAGTGAGCAGAGTAAGAAAAGAAAGGAAGAGAGAGAGAGGTGAGTTTGTGTGTAGGTGGAGTGGTGAGAGAAAATAAGGTTTGGTAAGGTATAGAGTTGTAAGAGTGAGCTTGAGAGAATTGTTAGTGTGTGATGTGTCTCAAAGTCATATGTGTGAGCTTGTTGTAATATTACAAGTTAGTACTTGTATTAATAAAAGTTGTATTTTAGCTCACTAAATTCAACAAGTGGTATCAGAGGCAAGGTTATGCTGAGTATGCTCTGTGGTTGCAGTCTAGTCTGAACTTCCACATAAGAAAGGTAACGCTGAGTATGCTCTGTGGTTGCAGCTAAGTATGATCTTCCACATCAGAAAAGTTATCCTTGGAATATTTGATACATTGTTGAAAAGCTAATGGTCTAGGACCGTAGTTGTGCTACCAATCCGGGATTGGTAAAGTGAACCGTAGTTCTGCCAGTGTACACAGTCTGGGACTGTGATTCCATTTGGTCTGGGACCAAGTTCACATCAAGAAGAGTGTGATTATGGATGCGTTTGGGAGCATCAAGAAGCTCAACAACCAGAATTACAACACATGGGCTGTGTATGGAGTCCTACTTACAAGGACAAGGTCTATGGAGCCTGATTGGTGGGAGTGAGATACGAGAGCCTGCCGGAGATAATAATGCCATCAAGAAGTGGAAGATGAGAGCTGGCAAAGCGATGTTTGCCATCAAGGTCACAATTGAAGATGAAATGCTGGAGCACGTTAGATACGCCGCCACACCGAAGGATGCTTGGGACACACTAGCCTCTCGATTTTCAAAGAAGAACGATATGAAGCTTAAACTCTTAGAGAATGAGTTGTTGTCGACTGTTCAAGGCAGATGACAGTAAGCCAGTATTTTAAGAAGATAAAATCAATCTGTCGTGAAATATCTGAGCTAGACCAGAAGACAAAATGAGGAGGATTATTATTCATGGTCTAGCTCCCGATTATAGAGGTTTTATTGCTGCAGTTCAAGGATGACCAACTCCACCAACGCTTGAATAGTTGGAGAATTTGTTAGCCAACCAGGAGATTCTGGCAAAGAAAGGAAACAACGAGTCTACAGAAAATAAAGAGCAAGTACTCTTCACAAGTAGACAAAAGGGTCGGTTCATGAAGAAGAACTACCAGTCCACGCAAAACAAAAAGGAGGATCAACCAAGACAATGGAGGAGAAAAGAATTCCAGTCTAGAAGATTCTCACCACCACAAAGCTTAGATCGTGGGCCAGAAGATTCTCCATAGAGAAACAAGGATGTGTGCTACAATTGTGGCAAGAAAGGGCATTATGCCAGAGACTGTTGGCATAAGAAAAGGATGGAAGGAAATGCTGTCACATCAAGAGATGAACACCAAAGTGAAGAAGAGTGGGATCTGAAGGCAATGGTCACTTCTGCAGAGGTTGTTGAAGAAGAAAGCATAAGTGAAGAGCAAGCATTGACTGTGCAAAGTCAAGGCATGAATTATAATAAAAAATGGATCTTCGACTCAGGGTGTTCGATCACATGACGGGAGACAAAGAGAATCTTAATGTGATAACAAAGTATAAAGGAAGGAGATTCGTGGTGACAGTCAACAATACGAAGTTGTCGATAGCACACGTGGGGAAAGCAATTATAGCTTCGAGCTCCAATGCTGAAGATGTTCAGTTAGAAGAAGTTTATCATGTACCAGGAATCAAGAAGAATCTGATTTCAATAACGCAACTCACGACACCAGGAAACTACGTTGTATTTGGCCCAAAAGATGTTAAAGTCTGCAAGGAAGTGGAGATCATTGGCACACCAATCATGGAAGGAGTCAAGAAGAATTCTATGTACGTGATGTCCGCAGAATCTGCCTACATTGATAGTACAAGGAAAAATGAGACAGCTGACTTATGGCACGCACGCCTAGGTCATGTGGGATATCACAAGCTGAAGGTCATGATGAAGAGATCCATGTTGAAAGGTCTTCCCCAGTTGGAGGTACGAGACAACATAGTCTGTGCAGGATGCCAATATGGAAAGGCGCACCAACTTTCCTATGAGGAGTCACACTATAAAGCAAAGGAGCCTTTGGAGCTTGTTCACTCAGACGTATTTGGACGTGTTAAGAAAACATCTATAAGTGGTTGTCATTATATGGTCACATTTATTGACGACTACTCTAGATATGTGTGGGTGGCATTCATGAAGGAGAAGTCAGAAACCTTCATGAAGTTCAAGGAATTCAAAGAGAAGGTTGAAGCTGAGTTGGGAAGAAGGATCAAAGTACTGCGCATAGATAACGGGGGAGAGTATACATCTCATGAGTTCCGAAGTTACCTGAGGAGGCACAAGATCAGGAGACAGTTGACTTGTCCGAGGAAACCACAACAGAATGGTGTGGCTGAAAGGAAAAATAAACATATTGCGGAGATAGTCAGAAGTATGCTACACGCCAAGAGTGTGCCAGGAAGATTTTGGGCTGAGTGTATGAAGACTGCAGTGTAACCAACAAACTTCCTCAAGCAAGGTTGGGACAACGAGAGGAAAGGTTGGAGATGCTATGACCCGACAACAAATAAGGTGATGGTTTCAAGAAATGTTGTGTTTGATGAAACATCATCCTGGTGGCCGCCTCAAGAAGTGTTACTCCCTAATGACCACGAGAGTGATGATCAGTTTCAACAGATTGAGGGGGAGCAATCAAAGTTGAAGGATGATCCAAAAGAGAAGGTGAATGAGCCTAATAATGAAGGAACAAGTAAGAGGCCAAGTCTGTGGAAAACAGGAGTGTACCAAGAGATTCGTGAAGAAGATCGACCGAGTCAGTTTGAAGAATTTAAAGAAGACTCAGAAAAGATCTACTAGAACTCAGAAGGTCGAAAAGGATCAGAAGGTTAAATCCAAAATATGCAAATATAGCATATATTGAAGAAGAAGTTTCACCAAAAAAGTATGCTAAATCGAAAAGGAGATTCAGAGAAACATATGCACAGAGACGAAATGATAAATTTATGAAGTATCGAAGGAATCTCAAGAGAAAGTATGTCAAGGATCGAGTCTATAAGAGGCAAGGGACGAGAAGAGCATTATCACGAGATATAGAGAATGATGTTGCTAACATGGAGCAATATGGAAATAAGAAGAAGTACAAGGACGATAAGAAAACCAAATATATTTTAAGGGGGAGAATTGAAGGATTAAAATATATTAATGGTTGAGATATTTTGAGAAAGGAAAAATCTAGAGGAAAAGAGAAGAAGAGTTGGACGAGAAGAAGTGGGAAGAAAGGAGAAGTGTCTAGAGAATAATAAAAAAAAATAATATTTGTGCAGATTTTTAGAGGAATAAGGCGGTGGAAGAGTAGTATAAATAGGTTGGGTATGGACTTGTGTTGTGTGTGGAGTGAAGTGAGCAGAGTAAAAAAAGAAAGGAAGAGAGGGATGTGAGTTTGTGTGTAGGTGGAGTGGTGAGAGGAAATAAGGTGTGGTAAGGTATAGAGTTGTAAGAGTGAGCTTGAGAGAATTGTTAGTGTGTGATGTGTCTCAAAGTCATATGTGTGAGCTTGTTGTAATATTACTAGTTAGTACTTGTATTAATAAAAGTTGTATTTTAGCTCACTAAATTCAACAAAACACTTGTTCGATCGTCTTACTTTCTTGGCTGTTCTCTTCTGCTCTCTCCTCCCTTTTCAGTGGCACGTTTGTAATGGTAACACATAATGTATGTGAAGAAATAGTTTACCTTCAATTCAATAGCTCAAGTTATAGAAGCTATGCGCAGGTATGTCGTTGTTTCTTTTGGATCTTGCATGAACTGAAGTTGGTGTACTGTACTAGCTAATCATATATTATACAACAATAATAAAGACGGTAAACAAAAATCCAGAACATTGGTGAAGTCTGCAATTCTACATCAGAGTCAATCGAATTCGTTTGAATGAATCTCAGAGTACTTCGTCCAGCAGGGAGTTGTCTCCACAACCAGAAAACTCCCAACAGACCAAGGGGATGGGCAGTGGCGGACCCAGGATTCTTTAATAGGTGTGTCGGCAGACAAAAAATAATTAATAAATTAAATGAATTAAATAAAAAGTAAATAAAATATTAATTCATTAAGGTCGTAATTTATTATTTTTCACAGTGACACACGATAACTTTTCATATTCAGAAAGGTTTGTAAAATATATTTGTCGCTTATGGTGTGATCAAACTTTTATCGATGTACAAAAGTATAAGTTAATTCATAAAACTGATTTTGAATTTCACTCTTGATTAACTCCATAGCATAAAATGGAAAGTAGCAACGTTGGCGACAGACGTTAACGTAAAAGTTTGAAAGAGGATGAGGTTCCACCAGGAGGTGCTAGCAATTAGAGAGTGGAGCAGAGGACAGAGAACTGTGAGTCATGGGTTGTGGATTTTTTCCTCTCGACATATTCACTAAAAATTAAAATAAATAATATATATTTGTGTATTTTGGTACCTATTGCTATATGACATCAAAATCAATGTAGTGTATTAAAGGTGTGTCGATTGCAATTATGTGAGGTGTGTCAGAAATCTCGAATTCAAACTTTTTGTACCAACGAAACATGGATCTCTCACAAAATTTTCTTGCCAAGATGTGTCGGTTGACAGACCTTGCTAATTCATGGGTCCGCCCCTAGGGATGGGCTCTCTTCTAGTTGAGAGCGTTGGATACAGAGTATATGAAGTCCAATAACCCTGTACCTTTGAGTAGCCCCTCACCAATCAAGAGCTCGAAATCCAACAGCAGCAAGAACCCTATCACAACTGCTTTCCCGTTTATCGACTCGTTCTTGCTCGTGAAACCGAACCCTCCCACCTCATCGTCGACCACCATCCTCACCTATGCAATAGAAACCAGATCATATGTCACTAATCAATACATTTGCAGCTATGCTGAACCAAAGACACCCTTAAAGCAAAATGCATGGTTGTAAGTGTGGAATTCGATTAACTAACTAACTACATTAACTGTGATTATGAGACATGAGTCATGACTCGAGCAAAGATAAATGTATAGTTTGACCATTGGCAGATACCTCCTCGACATTGACATCACTTGCTGTGAAACCGGGTTGAGCTGTCCCATTGAATACGATCTCAGCAGATGCATCTGACGGTGCACCTCCGCTCTGTTGAGTCAACAAGCTTGATTCAACAAATTGAATATCATAGGATATTTTGTTTTGAATATATGCTATTATGTGGAACTAACAATCTATGCAGAAATATCACAATCAATGATGAGGAAAAAGGAAACAATTCAAAGTGATTGCTTGCCCTCAAAGGAGTTACCATATCAAGCAAAAAGGGTATCAAATCAAGGAGATACTTGCCACATAAAGGACTACAAATGATAGGAAATGAAGGCTCACATCAACGATAAATAGTAGAGTCATTTGTAGGCCAAGACACCTTTTGCAAAGCTCTCTTCTCCCTTGTAATAGCGAAATTGTGTGATCATATTTCATGGTGTGAATAGCTTGATATCTCGGGGGTTGAGATATTCAAGCTAGGTAGGGTTTTAGGGTAGGAAGGGTATTTGTAATTGGGACTAGTGCAAGAGCAAGAGGGGATTCTTGCTTGGGAGTTGCACTAGGTGGATTACTCTCCAATCAAGTCAAACTAAGAGTGCTGGCTTGATTGATTGAGTGGGTAGCTTAGCTTGGATTTAGCTAAGGGTTGAATAGGTGTGGAGTTGCACCTATTTGGTTCTTGACACGAAGTGTCAAAGTTGTTTCAATTTCATAGGTTAGAGAGTCTTTTATTTTAATAAAAGTTAGAGTCTCTCGTGAGATAGTGGTAACTATCTCCGGGACGTGGATGTAAAGTCATATTGGCCGAACCACGTTAAAATCGCGTGTTCCGACTCATCTCTCTCTCTCTCTATATACCTTTTCTAACTTTGTTCTATTCATCAGTGCCAACAAATTAATCACTTCAGGAGAGATTCTTGGCAAGCCCTTTTGGATTGCTCAATCAAGCTAGTGCTAATCTCTCACTATTTAAATCTGAATTAATTTGTGCATTGACCACGTCAAAAGTATCCATTATTGACCTAGCTTGGTCTAACAAGTGGTATCAGAGCCCGGCTCCCTCAAAAAGATCAAAAGATCTGCGAGGAAACTGAGATCCGATATACCAAGCATGGCTAGTGGGTCATCTACAAATCATGGTTCTAATTCTACTCATATGGAGGGTCTTTCATATGTTAGACCATCATGGTTTGATGGATATAGTTATTCTTTTTGGAAAACACGTATGATTGTTTTCTTTAAAGGGATGGGTTTTGAAGTTTGGAATGTAGTTGAGAATGGTGTGGGTGATATCAAAGACGATCCCAACACATGGTCTAGCGATGATCTAAAAAAGATGGAGTTAGATGCTAAAGCAACAAATGTCTTATATTGTGCAATATGTCTAGATGAATTCAATAAGGTGAACAGGTGCAAGACGACACATCAGATCTGGAAAACCTTGGAGGTATCACATGAAGGGACAACTGAGGTAAAATAGTCCAGGATATATCAATTGGTGCATGAATATCAAATGTTCAAAATGCACCCAGGTGAGTCTATTTCTGATATGTATGTTCGGTTCAACTTAATAGTAAGTAGACTTAGTGCGTTAGGAAAAATTTATGATAATGCTGAACTGGTCAGGAAAATTCTTTGGTGTCTACCCAAAGAATGGATGCCTAAGAAAACTGCCATAGAAGAGGCTAAAAATCTATCTACTCTTAGTATTGAAAATTTGATAGGATCTCTAATTAGTCATGAAATTGCCTTATAAGCTCAAGGTGATGCGAATAATGACACGAAAAATAAAAGTTTAGCATTCAAGGCTTGTGAGAAGAAAGTCACAAATGATGAAGGATCAGGAGATGATTTCGATCAAGGATTTGCTCTCATTTCAAAAAATTTCAAAAAGTTTTTAAAATTAGAAAGAAAACAAGGAAGGGGTAGTTCTTTCTATTTTCGTGAGAATAATAGAAATGGAAAGGTAAAATCTTTTGATAATCAAAAGAAGAATAATAAAATGGAAAGTGAGTGTGAAGATCAAGGTTTACCAAAATGCTACAAGTGTGGAAAGAGTGGTCATGTAAGGGCTGAATGTCCTAACAAAGGACGGAGTAGAGAAAAGGCTTATGCAGTGGCTTGGAGTGTATCAGAAGATGAAAGTGAAGATAAAGAAAGTGAAATACAAGGCTATGTGGCATTCGCCAACCGAGATGATGGATCCTCCTCGTCAAGATCACATGAAGATGAGGTATGTTCATCCTTTCCAACTTATGATAGTGATTGTGGCTCAGATCTTCGTAGTAATATAGTTGACGCATATGAAGAAATGCACAATCATTTTGAAAAACTAAAAGATAGATACTACAAGGTAAAAGAGGACTTGAAATTAAGCAAGAATGAAATTAAGGAATTAAAAGAGGATATTGCAATATTACATGATGAAAATCAAGTTCTGAAGAAATCAAAGGGTAAACTCAAGAATAATAAACCCCTTGAAGAACTAGAAGATATGAGAGTTAGAAATAATGAACTGGAAAGAATGATAATAGACTCTAGGACTAAGCTTCTTGAAGCAAATACCAAGATTGAGCGATTAGAAGACAAGGAAAAGAAGTCTAAAGAAAAGGTGCAAAAATCTCATAATAAATCAATTATGTGTGTTGAATGCAATGCTCATAGTGGAGATAATGACAAAATTAGGTGCATGAATTGTGGGAAGAGTCATCATAGTAAAGAATGCAAGAAAAATGTGAGGTGCAGTAAATGTACTAGAAAAGGACACACTAGGAGAAATTGCTACTACAATAACTACTATAACTCATATCAATCGTATCCCAAGAAAAAGGTACCCAAGCAAGTCTGGGTACCAAAATCAACACTCTAAATATTTTGCAGGTCGTTAAGAGAGCAGGAGCAAATGAATGGTATCTAGATAGCGGATGCTCTCACCATATGACGGGAAACAAGAGTCTCTTTTCAAAATTGACTCTTAAAAAGGGAGGTAAAGTAACCTTTGGTGATAATGGTAAAGATAGAATACTTGGAGTTGGTACGATTGGAGAGCCTCCAAATCCTACCTTCACTCAAGTGTTATTTGTTGATACTTGATAGTCTTAAGCACAACCTGTTATCTATTAGTCAATTATGTGGTACAACTAATAGAGTTGTGTTTCAACCTTCAAGGATCCCACTGTGTTAAAAGCATCAGAAGTGATAATGGAGGAGAGTTTGATTCAGAAAGCTTTGGAAATTTCTGCTATCAACTAGGAATCTCCCATGAGTTCTCAGCCCCTAGGACGCCTCAACAAAATGGTGTAGTGGAAATGAAAAATAGAGCTCTTATAGAGCTAGCTAGAACAATGCTTAGTGACTATAGGCTTCCTAAGTATTTTTGGGCTGAAGCAGTAGCTACCGCCTGTTATGTTCTAAATAGGACATTGATTAGGACCATCATATAAAAAACACCTTATGAAATCTGGAAAGATCGGCGGCCAAATATTAGTTATCTTAGACCATTTGGATGTAGATGCTTTATACCTAATACTAAGGATACACTAGGAAAATTTGACTCAAAGTCGGATGGAGTTCTTTTGGGATATTCTACTAGTAGTAAAGCCTATAGAGTCTTCAACAAGAGATCCATGAAGGTAGAGGAATCAATACATGTTGTTTTTTATGAAACTGACTATATTTCTGAGCATGAAAGAAAGCAGGACGATGATAAGAATGATTTGGGACTAATTCGAACGGCGACAACCTCAGTCACCCAAGAAGCGGAAATTTCACATGAGAGGTTATCCAAATTCCAAGAGCCTAGTGCTCCACCCCATATTGCTAAGGCACATCCTCCGCATCAAGTCATTGGGAACATGAATGATGGGGTCAAAACAAGATCAAGTAAGGACATATATCAAGGTCAGACATCTTACTTTTCACTTATTGCTACAGTCTATTTATCCTTGGTTGAGCCTAAAAACATTAAGGAAGCTTTACTTGATGAAAGTTGGCTTCTTGCTATGCAAGAAGAAATGCTTCAATTTGCTAGAGCTCAAGTATGGGATTTGGTTCCTAGACCAATAGGTAAAACTATTCTAGGACTTAAATTTGTCTATCGCAATAAAACGGATGATCAAGGGATGGTTAATAGGAATAAGGATCGATTGGTGGCTAAAGGCTATAATCAAGAAGAAGGTATAGACTATGATGAAACATTTGCAACCGTAGCTTGTATTGAGGCAATTAGACTGTTATGTGCCTTTGCTTCCTCAATGAATTTCAAATTATATCAAATGGATGTCAAAAGTGCATTTCTGAATGGAGTCCTTCATGAAGAGGTCTATGTAGAACAACCCCCTGGTTTTGAAGATCATAGGTTCCCTAACCATGTTTTCAAACTTAAAAAGGCTCTCTATGGTTTAAAACAAGCTCCTCGTGCGTGGTATGAACGTCTAACTCAATTTCTAGAAAGTGAAGGGTTTGTTAGGGGTTCTGTTGATACAACTTTATTTCTCAAAAAACATAACAATGATCTTATGGTTGTCCAAATTTATGTTGATGACATAGTTTTTGGTGATACTAATGAAGCTATGTGTGTAGAGTTTGCCTCTTCTATGCAATAAATTTTTGAAATGAGTATGATGGGTGAGCTTACTTACTTCCTAGGACTTCAAATCCAACAAACTTCAAGAGGAATTTTCATTAGTCAGACGAACTATACTCAGTCCATGATGACCAAGTTTGATCTTGGTAATCTTAATCCTAGTCCGACCCCAATGGCTACCAATATCCAATTAGACAAGGATGAAGGTGGTATAGATGTTGATGAACGTAAATATCGTGGGATGATAGGATCACTTCTCTATCTCACGGCAAGTAGGCCAGACATTATGTTTAGCGTTTGTATGTGTGCTCGGTTTCAGTCAAAACCTAAGGAAAGTCACCTTAGTGCCGTTAATCGCATCTTCCATTACCTGAAAGGTACACCTACTTTAGGTCTATGGTATCCTAGGGAAACAAACCCTGAGCTTGTGGGATTTAGCGATTCAGACTTTGCCGGTAGTAGAATAGATAGAAAAAGTACCTCTGGAACCTGTCAATTTTATGGTCGGTCCTTGATTTCGTGGTTTAGTAAGAAACAACACTCCGTAGCTCTCTCCACCGCTGAGGCTGAGTATATTGCCGCAGGAAGTTGTTGTCAACAACTTCTATGGTTAAGGACTCAACTAGCGGACTATGGGATTATACTTCCTACCGTCCCCATTTTTATGTGATAATACGAGTGCTATTAATATGTCCAAGAACCCGGTTCAACACTCTAGGACAAAACATATAGAGATTAAGTATCATTTTCTTCGAGAGCTAGTTTAGAGTAAAACCGTGTCTATCTCCTTCATACCTACGAGTGAACAACTAGCGGATATTTTCACTAAACCACTTTCTATAGATCAATTTCTATTTATTCGTAGTGAGTTAGGAATGATTTTCCAATCCGATCTTGCTAATTTTGGATCGTGATCTTCTTTTTCTTGAGTGTTTGTTTCCTTTATTGTCTATATGTATATATATAACATAAAAAAAATAAAAAAGGGGGACGGGGGTTAATTAAACAACTAAAATATAAAAACCAAAAATAATAATAATACATATATATAAAAAATGGGGGACACTCAATCGCAAACTCAACACGGCAACTCCCTGCTGCGTGCGACTTCGCCTTTCCTAGCGAGCAGTCTCACCTTCCCTTTCTTCTCCGATTCTTGCCCCGTATTGGGGATTCTTCCCGATCGATTCTTGCCCCTGCAATCTCTCCTTACCTATAATCGATTCCCACTCGCCCTTCATCTCCCTTTTCCCGATAATCAATTCTTCCCCTTTCTGCCTTCTTCTCCGAATCGTGAATCATGATTTCCTTGCCTCCATTCCTTAAGTACTTCCGGCGAAAATCGCTGGAGTCTCTGCCTATATATACATTCCACTCCCATCGATCACGACAATCGTCCCTAAAAAGTTCATGCTTCACGTTTTCTGGCTGAAACGACATCATGAGCTTCCTCTCCGGTGACTCATTCCTCATGACCCCAGCTCTCTTTCGTCGCCAACAGAGGATCGTTTCCTTTACCGGGGCGCTCTACCCTCATCCGGTTGGTGAGAATCGTCACCGCCATCAACATATTTTTGCCGTGAAGCCAATTCTGCCAATCTGTACTCTGGATCCTTATGCTTTCGCTTTTGTCGACACTGTGGATCCTATCACCCTCATTGACAGCCTAGGATGGCTTCCTATGGGTGATTGACCTCCTCGCAGCTACTGCCCAGCTGCCGTTCGTGCCTTCTATTCCAATCTCCGGACCGATGGGATCGCAACGGGCAAATTCTCCACCCTGGTATATGGTCACTTGCTTACTCTTTCGGTTGATGACCTTGCTGCATTTCTTGTTCTTCCTACTAGAGGCAAGCAGCTCATTAGTCCTTTGGAGTTCTGGTCATACAAGTTTGACCTGCGTCGGGAGGCCACAAATCGCTCCTTTGACTCGCTGGATGATTCACTCAAGCTTCTCCACTACTACATCACCGGAGTGTACTTTCCGCGGGCTGACCGCTTGGATGTCGTTTTGCCTCTTGATTGCTGGGTCATGTCTCACGCCATCTATGATATGCCATTGAGCTATCCTCACCTGCTGTTTGGGGCAATCATGGATGTCGCTGCCAACGACTCTCCCAGTGTTGGTATTCCCTTTGCTGCGCTGATTACACTGCTGCTGCAGCGTCTCGGTGTTCCTCTGGCTGACTTGGTCACTATTCCTGACAATGGTGTTCATCCCTCCATTGAAGTGCTAGTTGTGGTGAGACTTCCTCCATTGTTGATTTATCATCAGGGGGAGATGATCATTGTCATGTGGCCACGGACGCAGCTATTAGAGAAAGAGGCAAAGAGGCCAAAGACGAGGCGTCTGCGGATGGTGGTGCATCTGCTTCGGCTTTTGTCCGTCCCTTCAAGCTCAAGCGACAGGCTAAAGGGCCTCGCCCTTCTAGCAAAGTTCTCAAGCGTCTCAATAATCAAAAACCTTCTCAAGGAGTGGTTCTCTATGCGAATCATGATCTTGAGCAAAACAATTAAAAGCCTTAATTTAGGGGGAGCAAGTTTCGAGTTGGTAGTTATTGTTGTTGCTGTTTTAAATGGCTTATTTGAATTGTTGCTTTTAAGGTCTAGATTGGGTCAGGGGGAGTATTAAATCATGTCTCTTATTTGCGCTGTTGAGTGTTTTGATTGAATAATGCCCTGAGCTATACTCAGGATGAATGAAGTAATTTGTTTTCTTAATAATCTGTGGCGTAGGATGAATGAGAGATATAATGATTGTCATTCTTTAATCTTGAGCTTTATGATGAATGAAGCATATGCAGTAACAGGATGCTAAATCAAGCTTAGGGGGAGAATGTTGAGTCAACAAGCTTGATTCAGCAAACTGAATATCATAGGATATTTTGTTTTGAATATATGATATTATGTGGAACTAACAATCTATGCAGAAATATCACAATCAATGATGAGGAAAAAGGAAACAATTCAAAGTGATTGCTTGCCCTCAAAGGAGTTACCATATCAAGCAAAAAAAGTATCAAATCAAGGAGATACTTGCCACATAAAGGACTACAAATGAAAGAAAATGAAGGCTCACATCAACTATAAATAGTAGAGTCATTTGTAGGCCAAGACACCTTTTGCAAAACTCTCTTCTCCCTTGTAATAGCGAAATTGTGTGATCATATTTCGTGGTGTGAATAGCTTGATATCTCGGGGGTTGAGATATTCAAGCTAGGTCGGGTTTTAGGGTAGGAAGGGTATTTGTAATTGGGACTAGTGCAAGAGCAAGAGGGGATTCTTGCTTGGGAGTTGCACTAGGTGGATTACTCTCCAATCAAGTCAAACTAAGAGTGTTGGCTTGATTGATTGAGTGGGTAGCTTAGCTTGGATTTAGCTAAGGGTTGAATAGGTGTGGAGTTGAACCTATTTGGTTCTTGACACGAAGTGTCAAGGTTGTTTCAATTTCATAGGTTAGAGAGTCTTTTATTTTAATAAAAGTTAGAGTCTCTCGTGAGATAGTGGTAACTATCTCCGGGAAGAAACTTGTTATTGTAAATTTTTACCACAAAAACCCACGGGTACCAATGAACCCGCGGATACCCAGCGGGTTGGGTTGGGTTTGAGTTTTTCAAACCCAACGGGTTTTACCCCGGGTTTTTTTGGCGGATAAACCCATGGGTTTGGGTTTGGGTTTGACAAAACCCGCCCCAACCCGACCCATTGCCATCCCTACTTCAGGAGAGATTCTTGGCAAGCCCTTTTGGATTGCTCAATCAAGCTAGTGCTAATCTCTCACTATTGAAATCTGAATTAATTTGTGCAACGTACTTACAGTGAAATACATTTTATAGAAAAGTATATAAACGACAACAAAACCTATTCTATGCTCTGATTTTTTTACAATACCACACTGGTACCATATGGTAGTCTAAGGAGAAACCGTTCCAGTAGTGGTCAATGCACAAATTAATTCAGATTTCAATAGTGAGAGATTAGCACTAGCTTGATTGAGCAATCCAAAAGGGCTTGCCAAGAATCTCTCCTGAAGTAGGGATGGCAATGGGTCGGGTTGGGGCGGGTTTTGTCAAACCCAAACCCATGGGTTTATCCGCCAAAAAAACCCGGGGTAAAACCCGTTGGGTTTGAAAAACTCAAACCCAACCCAACCCGCTGGGTATCCGCGGGTTCATGGGTACCCGTGGGTTTTTGTGGTAAAAATTTACAATAACAAGTTTCTTCCCGGAGATAGTTACCACTATCTCACGAGAGACTCTAACTTTTATTAAAATAAAAGACTCTCTAACCTATGAAATTGAAACAACCTTGACACTTCGTGTCAAGAACCAAATAGGTTCAACTCCACACCTATTCAACCCTTAGCTAAATCCAAGCTAAGCTACCCACTCAATCAATCAAGCCAACACTCTTAGTTTGACTTGATTGGAGAGTAATCCACCTAGTGCAACTCCCAAGCAAGAATCCCCTCTTGCTCTTGCACTAGTCCCAATTACAAATACCCTTCCTACCCTAAAACCCGACCTAGCTTGAATATCTCAACCCCCGAGATATCAAGCTATTCACACCACGAAATATGATCACACAATTTCGCTATTACAAGGGAGAAGAGAGTTTTGCAAAAGGTGTCTTGGCCTACAAATGACTCTACTATTTATAGTTGATGTGAGCCTTCATTTTCTTTCATTTGTAGTCCTTTATGTGGCAAGTATCTCCTTGATTTGATACTTTTTTTGCTTGATATGGTAACTCCTTTGAGGGCAAGCAATCACTTTGAATTGTTTCCTTTTTCCTCATCATTGATTGTGATATTTCTGCATAGATTGTTAGTTCCACATAATATCATATATTCAAAACAAAATATCCTATGATATTCAGTTTGCTGAATCAAGCTTGTTGACTCAACATTCTCCCCCTAAGCTTGATTTAGCATCCTGTTACTGCATATGCTTCATTCATCATAAAGCTCAAGATTAAAGAATGACAATCATTATATCTCTCATTCATCCTGCGCCACAGATTATTAAGAAAACAAATTACTTCATTCATCCTGAGTATAGCTCAGGGCATTATTCAATCAAAACACTCAACAGCGCAAATAAGAGACATGATTTAATACTCCCCCTGACCCAATCTAGACCTTAAAAGCAACAATTCAAATAAGCCATTTAAAACAGCAACAACAATAACTACCAACTCGAAACTTGCTCCCCCTAAATTAAGGCTTTTAATTGTTTTGCTCAAGATCATGATTCGCATAGAGAACCACTCCTTGAGAAGGTTTTTGATTATTGAGACGCTTGAGAACTTTGCTAGAAGGGCGAGGCCCTTTAGCCTGTCGCTTGAGCTTGAAGGGACGGACAAAAGCCGAAGCAGATGCACCACCATCCGCAGACGCCTCGTCTTTGGCCTCTTTGCCTCTTTCTCTAATAGCTGCGTCCGTGGCCACATGACAATGATCATCTCCCCCTGATGATAAATCAACAATGGAGGAAGTCTCACCACAACTAGCACTTCAATGGAGGGATGAACACCATTGTCAGGAATAGTGACCAAGTCAGCCAGAGGAACACCGAGACGCTGCAGCAGCAGTGTAATCAGCGCAGCAAAGGGAATACCAACACTGGGAGAGTCGTTGGCAGCGACATCCATGATTGCCCCAAACAGCAGGTGAGGATAGCTCAATGGCATATCATAGATGGCGTGAGACATGACCCAGCAATCAAGAGGCAAAACGACATCCAAGCGGTCAGCCCGCGGAAAGTACACTCCGGTGATGTAGTAGTGGAGAAGCTTGAGTGAATCATCCAGCGAGTCAAAGGAGCGATTTGTGGCCTCCCGACGCAGGTCAAACTTGTATGACCAGAACTCCAAAGGACTAATGAGCTGCTTGCCTCTAGTAGGAAGAACAAGAAATGCAGCAAGGTCATCAACCGAAAGAGTAAGCAAGTGACCATATACCAGGGTGGAGAATTTGCCCGTTGCGATCCCATCGGTCCGGAGATTGGAATAGAAGGCACGAACGGCAGCTGGGCAGTAGCTGCGAGGAGGTCAATCACCCATAGGAAGCCATCCTAGGCTGTCAATGAGGGTGATAGGATCCACAGTGTCGACAAAAGCGAAAGCATAAGGATCCAGAGTACAGATTGGCAGAATTGGCTTCACGGCAAAAATATGTTGATGGCGGTGACGATTCTCACCAACCGGATGAGGGTAGAGCGCCCCGGTAAAGGAAACGATCCTCTGTTGGCGACGAAAGAGAGCTGGGGTCATGAGGAATGAGTCACCGGAGAGGAAGCTCATGATGTCGTTTCAGCCAGAAAACGTGAAGCATGAACTTTTTAGGGACGATTGTCGTGATCGATGGGAGTGGAATGTATATATAGGCAGAGACTCCAGCGATTTTCGCCGGAAGTACTTAAGGAATGGAGGCAAGGAAATCATGATTCACGATTCGGAGAAGAAGGCAGAAAGGGGAAGAATTGATTATCGGGAAAAGGGAGATGAAGGGCGAGTGGGAATCGATTATAGGTAAGGAGAGATTGCAGGGGCAAGAATCGATCGGGAAGAATCCCCAATACGGGGCAAGAATCGGAGAAGAAAGGGAAGGTGAGACTGCTCGCTAGGAAAGGCGAAGTCGCACGCAGCAGGGAGTTGCCGTGTTGAGTTTGCGATTGAGTGTCCCCCATTTTTTATATATATGTATTATTATTATTTTTGGTTTTTATATTTTAGTTGTTTAATTAACCCCCGTCCCCCTTTTTTATTTTTTTTATGTTATATATATACATATAGACAATAAAGGAAACAAACACTCAAGAAAAAGAAGATCACGATCTTTAATTTTGAACAATTTTTATTGATCATTTGCAGTTTGCTTGTATGCTCTAGATTGGTGTTTTTTGTATGATTAATTTGTATGTGAAAATTGATGTTAAACTTTTATTTTGAAAGAAACTTGTTATTGTAAATTTTTACCACAAAAACCCACGGGTACCCATGAACCCGCGGATACCCAGCGGGTTGGGTTGGGTTTGAGTTTTTCAAACCCAACGGGTTTTACCCCGGGTTTTTTTGGCGGATAAACCCATGGGTTTGGGTTTGACAAAACCCGCCCCAACCCGACCCATTGCCATCCCTACTTCAGGAGAGATTCTTGGCAAGCCCTTTTGGATTGCTCAATCAAGCTAGTGCTAATCTCTCACTATTGAAATCTGAATTAATTTATGCATTGACCACATCAAAAGTATCCATTATTGACCTAGCTTGGTCTAACACGCTCATCCCTAAGTAGATATTATGTTCGTCCGTTTTAAGAGGGTATACATAGAGTGATCTGAGAGCATGTGTGAGGACTCTCAGAACAGGGTTGTTTGGATACCATTCTTTGATCTCTCCTGTTCGAAGATCGAATGTGCTATCCGTTGTGGGGCAAACTATACAACCATCCTGAGGAAAAGCCAAAAACCAACAGCAAAGGTGAAAACTTTTTCATGCTTAGACTACCAAAAGTGATCAATCATTATGAAGCGGAGGCACACAAGAGAATGAAATGAGCATCGAGCCCACTTCAAGAGATAACTCATTCGAAGAAAAACTTGAGAATTGCAGATTCGAAGGGTTTGATTTTCGCAACTATTCAGTTCCAACTGCAATTCGAAGTTTATGGGGGAAAAGCTTCACACTTTCTACACGAGTTAGTGACTCACTTTATTCACTGATTCCAATTTTCCTTCTCCATGAACACTATTTATAAAACAGCAAACTAGCAATGTACTATTTAAGTTACACTCTTGATTCCTTCAACCTAAGTCGTCATAGCCACTCAAACAAACTAGCCTTAACAGCTACACATTTTTCCAGCTTCTAATTGACACCTATACACCATCCGAGAAGCCAAACATTGGCTCAATGGACAGGAATGCGAGAAACCAATGTCAAAGGTGAAAACTTTTCATGCTAACCAAAACTCAATCATTGTAACATACGCTAGAATGCACGATCAATTCAGTCAAACCCACTTCGATAAGAAACACATTCTAATTGAAATGAGCAGCATTGGCAACTTCTACAATCCCACAGATGGTGGAGGCAGAGTTTTCCACACTCTTAAACTTTCTGTTAACTCTGTTTCTCTATTCAGTAATGACACAATAAGCAGATAAAATCTGCTACTTAAGTTACACATTACATCTCCTTCAAGAACCAGCAATAAGAGATTCATTTCCTCTGCTTCTCGCATAAAAATTGGCCTGTGTGAAAGCTAGAACTAACCCCCCATGGAACCAAATTACGAATTTGAATAATCGGATTCAAATTTTTACCTGGGTGAGCTTGGCGTTGATGAGCCCTTCGCTGTAAGCTCCCTCGGCAGGAGACCGATTCTCAATGGCAAACACTTGGTCCTTATACCAAAGCAAGAGAATCGTCTCCCCTTCCTGAATAATCACCCGTTGCACCCCCTTCGACAGCGCCGCCAGCGGCACCACCGGAGCCCAGTTGCCACCGCCGCCGCCGGACGACGGAGATGGGGACTCATCGCTTAGCGAGACCTCGGTCGCCTTGCAGGAGATGTCTCGGCCGGACGGCAGAGGAGGGAAGTGGAGAGAGAGGTTTTGTCTCCGGCGGCGAGTATTCGGCCGGAGATTGAGAATCGTGGTGGCGCGTAGAGGGACGAGGGAGCGGTTTTGGGCGACAAAGAGGGCGGTGAGACGGGGAGAAGCGGCGGTGGCGGCCATGAGGACTTGGAAATGGACAGAATGGGATGAGGTGATGATGGGGAGAGAGACGAGTGAGCAGTTCCCGTAAGTAACCTACCGGTGAGTAACGGTAACCAGCCGATCTGCCATCCATTGCAATCCATTGATAACCGTAAGATGCAGAATAGCAAATACACGTAGGGGTAAAATAGTAACTGGACAAATCCTTCTGACAATTTGAAAAAGTAAAGCGAGCCTTCCCCGCCATCATTATCACCAACTCTGCAAAAACAAAAAAAAATCACAGGCGGTTCGAGTTTTATCTCTGCTTTTTCGCTATGCATTTACGCTGTCCATTCTCTCTCCATCTTTCTCTCTCTCTCTCGGATTTCATCTTCGCAAACTGCATACTCGAATTTTTAGTTCGCTTAGCAAAGGATACTGATCTCAGTTCTTCAGCGATCAAGTGAGGGTTTCCACTTCGACGTCTTCAGCGATAAAGTTAGGGTTTCCAACTTCGACGTCTTCAACGATCAAGGTAAATCATCACTTCTTTCTTCAAAAACTAGATTCGTGATTCTGAATGTCTAATTTCAACTACATACTTCACAATACCAAACGAAAAACTCTACTATGCTTAATGTTTTCACAATACCACACTGGTACCATGTGGTATTCTAAGGGAAAAAAGTTCTTGTAGTGGTCAAAGTACTTACAGTGAAATACATTTTATAGAAAAGTATATAAACGACAACAAAACCTATTCTATGCTCTGATTTTTTTACAATACCACACTGGTACCATATGGTAGTCTAAGGAGAAACCGTTCCAGTAGAGGTCAAAGTACTTAGAGTGAAAAAGATTTTATAGGAAAAGTATAAAAACCTATTTTATGCTTTGATTTTCTTACAATACCACACTGGTACCATATCGTATTCTAAGGAGAAACCACCCACGTAGTGGTCAAAGTACTTACAGTTAAATACATTTTCTAGAAAAGTATAAAAATGATAAATTTTTTATTATATGCACTAATTTTTTTACAATACCACACTGGTATCATATGGTAACTATATAGTATTATAGTTTTTCAAAAAAAAAAACTGTTTCTATGCTTCCATTTACCATAATACCATATGGTATGGTGAGGTAAGATCACTTGAAAACCTGTTCAACAACCTTTGATGTGTTGTACGCTATATTGCTTACTGGTAGAATATGGTATAATATGGTATGGTAACTATATAGTATTATAGTTTTTCCAACAAAAAAAAAACGATTGCTATGCTTCCATTTACCATAATACCATATGGTATGGTGAGGTAAGATCACTTGAAAACCTGTTCAACAACCTTTGATGTGTTGTACGCTATATTGCTTACTGGTAGAATATGTTATAGTATGGTATGATAACTATATGGTATGGTATGGTATAGCAATTCTTCTATTCTGGATGCAGGTACATCATGTCAAGACAAAGGGACGATTTTCGCACAAGGTGCAGCCCAACAAGAATCAACACACTGTCAAGGGCATAACACCTGAACAGAGGGAAAAATTGCAGGAATTAGGCCTTGATGGCTTAACATCCATCCAACAAACAAAGATAAACAAGAACTTTGCTCTATTCACAATGAGCAAGTACAATCCAACAAAGCAATCATTCAAGCTGCCTGATGGAAACTACATGAAGATATCTCCAATTGACTTTCATAGAGTTTATGGTCTACCAATGGGTAAAAAGGAAGTGACGCTCAAGAAATTATCACTGGAAGAAGCAATAGACTATGCGTTGCAGGTCCTACTAGAACTAGAACCTCCAGCTTCAAATGGAAGGGTGAAATTACTTAACGTAGAGCATGATGTTTCTAATGCTCATACCATTGAATTATGGATCAAACTGTTCTGGTTGCTGATTACGGGAGGTCTATTCTCCCCATTTTCAAACCCTACTGCTGAGTTGAATATGCTGGAGTACTTGCAGCCAGGCAAAATCAAGCATTTCAAAGAATACAATTGGTGCAAGTTCTTCTTCGACTATATGAATGAGGGGTTGAAATAAAAAAACTTGTATGTCAATGCAGATCTTCATTTCTTAACAGTAAGTATCTATACCCTCAATAACTTCATTTCAATTAGTATACCCTAAAGCATTACAAAATCCTAGTACATCAATACTAATACAACTGTTTCTCCTTCCTACAAACAAATAAAAGGTATGCTTCATGTACAAGTTGGATAAAATTGCCTTCTCCACCCAGTTTCAAATCCCAACAACAAACTATTATGATGACCTTGTTGTGCAAAGAAACTATGAAAACATAGTCAACTACTATAGTGGAGAAGCACTTCATGAGCTAATGAAGATACATGATAAAGAAGACAAGATCAGTGGAACCAATAGTGATGATGATGACAACAACACAGACCAACAGCCATCAACATCACTCATATTTGATTTGAAGATGATCAAGACTATCCCCCAAGTAAGTATAAATTACCATATGTTACAAATTGTGCAATTCATATAACTAATACCGCACATGAACCATTGTGGTAAAATATGGTATTGTACTGTATAATGGACATATCATCCATTACCACCATGGTAACATGTGGTATTCTACTGTAAAAATTAACTTACAGACCAAAAATCACTAATGCAGGCTGAGAGAGCACTAAATCTGGTGAAAACATCAATGAAAGCTATGTTGCAATCAATCAAGATGCAATACAAAGCTCAAATTGATGAGCTTCTCAAACACAAGCAAATGTTGGAGCAACAAACTTTTGATGACAACTTTGATGGTGTGGAAGGAGAAAGATCTGGTGACGTGATTGTCGAACAAAATGAAGGAACTGAATCTGGTGATGAAGATAAAGAAGCAGACACGAACCTGGAAGAAATTCTGAAGAAAATTTTTGACCAGGCAAAATCAGACAAAAGGAAATCAACCACAGTCAATGAATCTGAAGAAAATGATGATTCTCAACAAACAATAGTGGATCTAGCTGGACCAACACAATGGAAGAAAAAGAAGAATCAAGATGGTTCTTCAACAAAACCAGAAGCTCAACATCAAAAAGAAGCACCAACAACAGGGAATCCTGCTGAAACTGCTGAGAAGAACCAAGGAAATTCAGTTCCAGAGAATGTAAACCAGGAGGCCAACAAAAAAGGAGATGAAGGAAAGGGAAATGAAATGCATCAAGATCAGGAAGGAGATGACAGTGAAAAGACACATTCATATGTGCTTATTTCAAAGTGGGGAGAAAATGTGAAGAACAATGATGAAGAAGCTATTTAACCACCACCAAAGACTGTAGGAAACCCCAAAGATGCAAAAGACAGTGACATACCATCTTTTGACATCAGCCCATTCAATCCCCATCATCAGCAGCAAATATCAACATCACCACAACAACAACATCACAACAACTAGAAGAACCGCGCAAAAGAAGGATATTGGTGAAGAATGTGCATGGACCAGAGAAGAAAGCAAAAACACCAACCCCTCCAGAAGAGACAACAAGCCAACAGTTGGTGAATAACCATTCATTGATTGGTCAAACTTGTACTCGAACAGCCAGGAGAGGCTACTGGAGATAAATGCATGCTTGGCTGCTTACATTGATGACCTGAATACTCCAGTTTCACAACCAATACCAGGAATGAGCTCATCAGCAGCAAATGAACTAGTTCAAGCAAAAGATGGTGCAATAGATGCAATCCCAATTGCAATGATGGTTACACCACCACAAACAACTCCTGATGAAGTTTTCAATGACATCCTTGAGTACATAATATCTATCCCTACAGATACATGGACTAGTGATAATAACCAGAATTTTATGTGTGTGACTGCACATTTTATTGGAGATGATTGGAAGTTGCAGAAGAGGATTATTAGCTTTGTTCCCATTACTAGTCACACGGGGAAGGATATTACAGATACTTTGGAGAAGTGTTTACAAGAATGGAAAGTGAAGAGTTTGTTTTGCATGACAATGGATAATGCCAGTTCGAATGATGTTCTTGTTGAGTGCATGAGAATGAAGGGGTGGAGAACATATTTGCTAGATGGGAAGTATTTGCAGTATAGATGTGTGGCACATATCATCAATCTGGTTGTTTTTGATGGATTGAAGGAGGTTGGAGTTGCTGTGGAGAGGGTAAGGGATTGTGTGAAATGGGTGAAGTCATCCCCAGCTCGGATGGCAAAGTTCAAGAAAGGCATTGAGTATCTGGAGATGGATGGGAAAAGACTGCTGTCTTTGGATGTTCCGACTAGGTGGAATTCCACCTATCTGATGTTGGATTCCGCGGAGAGGTTTGAGCAGGTTTTTATGTTCATGTATGCTAGTCCTACTGATTCTTCCTTTCGAGAGTATGTGGATTCAAAGAAGGGTCTTCCAAGTGAAGATGATTGGAGCAGTATTAGGCGGCTCATGAAGTACCTGAAGTTCTTCTATGAGCTTACTCTTCGTGTATCAGGTATATGAACTAATAACTTTCAAATTTTAAAATTAAATTGAATGATTATGAGTTATATTATTTATACTAATGTCGGTAAATTTTTCTTTGTATTAGGAACATCATATGTCACTGCACATACTTTCTGCAAAGCCATTGTGGATATTCATGAAGTGATAGCAAAATTGAAGAAAGATGCAGATAGACAGATACAAAGAATGGCATTGAGAATAGAGGCAAAGGTGAGAAAGTATTGGTTTGAGAATGATGTTGCTGACGTGGACAACTTTAGGATAAATAGGATAGTTTACATGGCTTGTGTGCTGGATCCCAGGCGTAAGCTAGACTATTTGACTATGATGTTGGAGGAAATGTATGGGATCTCAAAAGGGGAAGCTTTAGCAGATGAAGTAAAGAAGGAGATGATTGCATTGTACGATGTCTACAAGATGAAGTATGCAACTTCATCCTCTGTTTCTGTGCCTACTACCCAGACTACTACTCCTACTGAGACTAGTGACGGATCTTTTGATGTGGAGTCCGCAATTGAAGCTCGGTTCCAGCAGAAGAGAAAGGAGCAAATTGAGAGGGGTGGTCGAGGTTCTGGTGAGTTGGAGCAGTATTTGAGAGATATTGGTGATGTTATTAATGAGGAGATTGATGATCGGAAGTTTGAAATTCTGAAGTGGTGGGCTGGGAACAGTGTTAGATATCCCATTCTTTCAGAGATGGTTAGGGATATATTAGCAGTTCCAGTCTCCTCAATTGTGGAGGTCGAGTTCTTAGTCCTTTCAGGTCCTCTTTAAGCCCAAACATTGTGGAGGCATTGATATGTGCTGAAGATTGGATAAGATATGAAAATGGAAAGACTGCAGATGAACTGAATGATAAGGAAGAAGATCAAGAGACAATCGATTATGAAAGTGGTAAGAATTCAATTTATTATTCTAATTTGTCTATACTCTTTACTATTTAAATTTTAAACCATTCCATTAGTAACATACTAACATTTGTGTATTTTATTTGCACTAGTTACTAATACTTTCCAATCTCGAGTGGAAACTGCAAGTGACATCCCAAGCTCAGCACATGGATCTATTGTTGGGGTTGATGATGATGAGGAGGAGGAGGAGGAAGAGGAGGAGGAGGGTGATGATGAAGAATCCACCGAGTCCGACGAAGACATGAACCAAGATGCCGATGATGATCCCGATGATACTCTTCTCAGGACTTTGAAGAAGAAAGGTTGTGCAAATGTTGGTGGTGCTACAAGTTCTACCGGAGAAGGAGGAGCATGAGCTATTGGTTATTAACTTATTTGGTTGTCTATTTTAATTTTTTGAGTTTGGACTTTGAACTTGTGTTGAATTTAGACATTATCATTGTCCCTTTGAATTTGACGATGTTTGTCGAATTGTCGTTTGATGAATTTGAATATTTGATGAATGATGATGCTTGATGAGAGTTGATGTTGATTCATGAATCATGATTGTTGACCTTTTGAGCTTATGTTAAATTAAATAGATTAATAAATAATAGATAGCAACTTAGTGTTTGAACTCAAATATTAAGTTATAACTTATGGCATTAACATATAACATATACTTCATTATTCACAAATATTACATACATCATGAAGAAAAATATTATAAATAAGAGTTACAAATGATACATGAATGTAAGTAAGTATAGGCCTAAAAAATGTTATAAATTATTAATTACAAAAATGAGGAAAAAAACTCAGAAAAATCAAAATATTACAACATCTTCCCCACTAACAGAAATTCAGTTTCGGTAAATGTTCGGTAAACCGAACCGAAAAACCGCCCCACGTCGCCCCTTGCGGTAATTCGGTAAACCGGTTTGTAATCGTTTACCGGTAATTCGGTAATCGGTGAACCGGTTACAAACCAGTATCGGTAAACGGTAAACGGTTTTGCCAGCGTCGGTATACCGAAACCGGTAAATTCGGTAAACAATTTACCGTTTACCGACCGATTCCCACCCCGACATGACGCCACCCCAGGGGGGTCAGTGTGCATCCATCAAACCCCCAAGCACCCTGGTGTCATGTCAAGGTGGTTAGCACGAGTACCACCAAGCGTGAAGCCTTCACTCACCAAACAAGACACCTCCATGGCACAATGGGTTATCTATCAAGTGAAGTCATCAAGTGGCAAGCACGCAAGATAGTCAAGGCGTCAAGCAAGCTACATCAAGCACCAAGCAGTGGAGCAGCGGTTGCACGACGGTTACAAGGGATGACTATAAATAGGAGAAACGAAAACGAAGCAAGGGTTCCAGAACCAAAACATTTGACGCACAATGTCAAAATTTATCCTTCCTCTGCAAATTAGCTTTACCCTTTAGTTTTCGGAGCTCTCAATAAACCTCCATAGGAGTAGGAGTAAGTAACGTAGATTGTTTCCCAAAAAACCATCAAAAACATAAAACACCCTCGTTCGAACATTGTTCGGAGAGGAGTGAACCATGTTATTATCGTTGTTCAAGAAGTCAAAGGTGCATTTATTGAGTTCAAACACAAGATTTTTCTCGCCGGAAAACACATCGCGATGTTGAAGACGATCGAGAATCTTGTCAAATCAACTTACTTCGCAATAAAACAATGAGGAAGCAAAAAAGCATAGGGAAAGAGATGATGATGAATGATTACAGCCTGCTATAGATTGCGGTTAATTGACATGTGTATATTTTCCTATCTGGAGTCCACGTGGAATATTAAACATTTTGGCATAAAGCCTAATGTTCTCCCCGCATTGGTTCTTAATCAAGATTAAAGGACACCTTGTTAATTGAAGATGGTGAGTGGGTGGGAGGCTGATTATCAGAATGCGATTACTTTAATTATTAATGTTTTTTTAGGCTAATACTCTAGTTTGGCCCGAAGTTTACCGTAAGTGTCAGTTATGGCCCGATTTTTCTAATAAGATATTTATGACCCACTTTTAAAATTATTGGACAGATTTGACCCATAAATTTCTTTGACCGTTAATATTGACGATCAAACACTATTCCGTTAGTGACTTAGAAAAAAACAGTCAATGTGGCATGCTATGTAATTAAATAATATTTTTTTAATTTATTGAAATAAATATAAAAATTAACAAATTAAAAAAAATTCTACTTCACCCCTGGACAATTTTACCCATGAACCCTAAATAATCAATATTTTGTTCACGAACCTTTCTTCTTCCGCAGCCGCTCGTTCCTCCGCGCCACCGCATATCTTCTTATTCTTCTAATATTTCGTTCACTTGGCAAAATCATCCCCCACCCCCTCAGATCTTCTTCCGCAGCCGCTCGTTCCTCCTAGCGGCGTACTCGTCGTACAGTTTCCCCCTATCGAAGAACAGCAGACTCTAATTCGCGCTCAAGCTCTGGGCCACCGAGTTTCGGTGTCATGGCCAAATCTTAGTTGTCGAGTTCGTCGCGGACCTGCTTCGCGGACGCAAAATCACTAAGGAAGTAGGGCGGTGCCACCCACTTGCCTCACAGGGGTAAACGCTCCTGCTGGCTATTGACAGAAAACAAGAAATGACCCCCATGAGTTTCTCAAAGAATTCGCCTTCAACTTTTATGCAATATCACAAAGCAACAAAATGGTAAGCGGTTAAACATGAACTCTTCGATTGACTGGAATTGAGAAGTTTGACTGTCCATCATCATCAAGTAGAAATGCTCCAGATGAATAAGAACGACTCTTTCTAAGACCGGGATTGGAACTGGGACTTTGGCTATCGTCGATTTGGCCAGGGGAGAAGAAGCGGTGCTGGGTTTTGTTTACGGCGGTGATTTGGCCAGGGGAGAAATAGGGGAGGGGTGGTGGGTTTGATTATTTAGGGTTCAGAGGTAAGATTGTCGATGGGATAAAGATAGTTTTTTTAATTTTAATTTTCATTGAATTAAATTTAAAATAATACTGTTTAATGATGTGGCATGCCACGTCAATTGTTTTTTTTGAGTGACTAACGAAATAGTGTTTGACCGCTAATATTAACGGTCAAAGAAATTTGTAGGCCAAATCTGTCTAATAATTTCAAAAGTAGGCCATAAATGTCCGATCGATGTCATATTACTACTCAAAATCGAATGTATTAAATATATGCAATGTGGGAGTCACGTTAATAGAATGATACATAGATGATTTATAATTGACCTTCGAACGACTCGAGTTATTGTGAGTGCCGATTGGTTGGTTCTCGTATATGGTATTGTTTACACCAAAAAATTATCTTCTACCACATTGGTGATTTACAAGATAATCAATGAGTTTATAAGGTCACATTAATTATAACAATTAATGTTGTTTAAGTTGGACCTTATGAATATTAATTTTAAGCCCAAGCCACTAAGTCTGGAGAGGGACGTGTGACGTGTCGCTTCACGAAGAGGACCATGTTCGTCTCGAAATCGAGGAGCACATGCCGCCCCAAAACCAAGACCGAATTACTGAAAAATAAACTAAGCCTGTAAGAGGTACATGTCGTTTCACGAGAAGGGGCATGGACGCGAGACAAGACGAAACATCCATACCGAGTCACAAGAAGGGGCATGGACGCGAGACAAGATGGCCTAGGCATGACTGAAAAATATATTCTAAGTCTGAGAAGGCCATGCCGCCTCACGAGAAGGGCCATGTGCATGATTAAGAGGTCCATGGCCGTGTCAATTGTCATGTGATGGCCATGGACGCGAAGCAAGAAGCATTAGACACATTGAAAAATACTAAGTCTGGGAAGGCCATGCCGCCTCCCAAGAGGGGCCAGTGCATGATTGAGAGGTCCATGCCACCTCAGGAGAGTGGCCATGGACACAGATGAGAAGGGCGTGATGGTGGAGCATTATATCACTAGTGACTAAGTCCCAAGAGGTCCATGGTCATGAGACAAGAAGGCCAAGGACATGAGTAAGAAGTCCATGGCTGCCTGGCAAGAGGACCACGACCCCCTTTTGTGAGACACCACATGCTTATCAAAAGATTTGCATGGCACGAGATTTTGAACAAGACGAGGCGAGGCAAGCTACTAGATCCAGACGGTTCCAAGAGAGGCACCTAGGAGGTTGAAGGAGTAACCACCACTCTGAGGAAGTAGGGAGCGGTTCTTTTTGGGAGTTATCCAAGAGGAGGGTTTCTATTGAAGAAGGGGGAGCGGTTTTTGGTAACAGATATCCAACAAACGGTTTTCTACGGCGGTTACCTCCTCGTGGCTATAAATAGGAGGAGGTCGACAGAGACAGAGGTTCCACAACCAACCATTTGACACCCAATGTCAAACTTTATCTTTTTCTCTATCATGTAGCAATAGACGTAGTTCGTAGTTTGGAGCTCTCACTGAACATCCATAGGAGTAGAAGTAATTTAATTTAGATCTCGTTCTCAAAAACCATCAATCAAACACCCTCGTTCGAACTTTGTTTGAAGAGGTGTGAGTCGTGTCTTAATAATCATTGTCCAAAGAAGTTAAATGTGCAATCTATTTCAATTCAGCGCAAGTTTTCTTGCCGGAAAACAAGTATCAAAGGGTACTTTTACTGTGACGTCTCATAGTTGAATTCCTATGATACTCAATGTTAACCATTGACAAAATTACATGACATGACGGACGTGTGCAAGTTTGAAACTCTATCAAGAAAGGATACCGTGAAATGGAAAATTCACTCAATGGCAAGCTGGCGGCTGAAACATTAGCCGAATCGCCGGAAAAAATACACGAATAATCAATGTATAATTTCACTTCCTTTCTCCTTGGCGCCTACCAATTTCTGATGGGGAACTACCAAGTTCGCACACTCTTAGAAATAATCTTCTACCGATAAGTTCAGTACGTCCCCTCCGGCCGAACTGCCGGCGCCCATTCCGTCCACATCCCGGCACCCTCCGTTGCCCCAAAACATCTCGGATGACATCTCCGGCCGCGCCGGCGGCGGGGACGAATTCCACAGTATCATCTGCGCATCCACGGCCATTCCGGCGTCGGATGCCGCCCTCTGCACGGACCTCGGCGACATGTCCGGCTGGACACTGGCCGGCAGCGAAGTCACCGGGAAATTGAACCCCTTTCGAGACGAACCCCCTCGGAGGCAGTATGAAGCAATGTCGTGAGCCACCGCTGCAGCTTCAGGGGAAGAGTACGTCCCGAGCCAGATTCGTTCCTGGGAACCAGGGACCCGAATCTCCGACACCCATTTCCCCCATTTCCGGCGCCGGACTCCTTTGTACTTCCTCTCATCCTCGCCGCCGGCAATGTAGCCGTCGCTACTCATGGTTTGGAGGGAAGAGTTTGAATCTTTGTTTTTGGTGGGTGTGTGAACAGAGGAGACTTGATGAAAAACAGGGGAAGTGATTTGGGGAGAGAAGTTTGACGGGTTTATATAGGTTGAAGAAATGGGGGAAAGTTAGAATGGTGGAAAAGAGGGGAAAGTCAATATTTTCAAAGGTCAAAATGAAGCTTGAAGGATTCTGATTCAGGGGAGGTGTGATGATGGTGCTGATGATGTCATTTTGCCCAAAAGTACCGCACAAGTGGATTATGGATAATATGGGGCAAGTCCTTGAACACGTTTCTTATTGGATAAAAATGGAGTTAGATCAAGCGTAAAAAAGGGTCATTAACAAAATCATTGTTTTCTGAATCTATGTTCACAAGAATATTCATGTTAGTGTAGCCAAACATGTGTTTTCAAATGTTTTCACATGTCACGATGCCAAATTCATCTTATTTGTATTATCAATAATTCAGTGTATGAAAGGTGATAATAACGTATCATAACTCATTCAACCTAAAACATTCTTGACCAGTATGTTAGCTAACTCCTAACCTCACTAAATTATTATGTAAACCAACTAACTTGTAAACCGATCATGCATAACTTGCACGATTGGAACATTCCAATCAAAGATTTTGTGATTAACTGAATCAGGGGGGTTGTGTAAAATAATGTTACGAATTAGTTAGATTACGAGTCAATTTGATTAGACGCATAGTTTAGCAAGTATATATTGTCATAGATATTCCCGAATGAAAGCAACAATATACAAGACTTAGTTAAGGCCGGAAATAGGAAATTCACATAACTCAATCACAATAATCGAAAAAATATCTAAACCATCTCTCCAATGACCTAATTGACACGCTATGAACAGACCTATTAATACCTCTATATGATATATTAGCTAAAATGTAATAACTTAGTTCATAATTAAAAATGGACAGTCTGTCTAATTAGGGCGAAACGAGAGGTGGGAAATGGTCGTCTCCATGCTCGCAAATGGCATCAACTTGGAGAAGAAAATAAGAGCCCAAACCAGTAGCTTTTCCCAAATTACACTTCCCAGAAGAAAATTGACCTTTCCACAATAGATACAGTTTCCAATTTCCATCACTCAATTCGCTGGCCACAAGCCGGCCGTGGGCCTTCCTCCCTCGCGAAACGCGGCCGGATTTCCCGTCCTCTGGGCCTTCGATTAAATAGAGAAGAAGCTTTTGGGCCTTTGTCAAATTGAAGCCCATGTTTCCAACGCCAGATTTTAGAATCTATGCGTTCCCTTCTCCCTTCCATGGATTCTCATTTCTCTGCTTCGAAGCTTCAACGAGAGATACCGTCAGCGAAGAACTAACAGCTTTTCTAAGCACCAGCCGTAGTCGTTGTCTCTGTTGGCCATGAAGGGGCAGCGGAATGGGTCAGAAATCGAAAACTGTTAAAGGCTCATCGAAATTTGGTTGATAAAAAAATTGATAAATTCTTAATGATTTTGGTGAGACGAATAAACCGAAAAAATTAAATATAGGTTATTGAATATGTTAAAGCTTATCGATTTATTAATGGGTTTTCATTATTTATTCATCCATTGCCACTAGATCAACAATATCAACGTCGGACATATGAAGGCTGATTGCAACTTATTAGATTCCCTACCTTCAACTTTTCTTTCATTCTTTGGCTAGATTTGGTTTCTCCTTCGAAACGGTTTCCTTATTGGTGGAATGCAAGTTGAGGGAATTTCATTTAATAAGTAGGCTCAAACAGGAACCTAGAGTACAACCTAATTTAGGAACCCATCTTTGTCCTGTCCTTCATTTTAGTAACAAAAATAACAAAGATGTACACCAAGCTTCCATTAAAGAGTCCCACACATGCAGTTGGGGCAAGTAGTTGTGATATAATATCTATTATTATTAAATCACTTACTGATCAGCACGGTTTTGACATGGTACTAGAGCGATTTGTGATCGAGAGTTATGCTATTCGAATCCTGGCGATCATATTTTAAGATTGTGCAAACTTAGAGCTCAATTGAGTGGCTTGAATTTGATTGGTCGTGTTAGTATGTGGTATAATATATATTAGTGCTCATCTCCCAACAACTCGAGTTATTGAGACAGACTAGTTAACGTGATATCATAGCCTTTTGTGATTGGGAGGTCCTCTGTTCGAATCCTGATGATCCCATGCATTTTTATACTGTGCAAACTTCGAGCTCAATTGAATGGCTTGAATTTGAAGATCGTATTAGTGTGTGGTATAATATTTATTATTGAGAATCTATCAGCAAATCGAATTATTGAGAGTTGAGACCAACCAGTTCTTGATACCATAACCCCTCTGCATGCGATGCTGCCATCCGAGAAATGGTGCCAAAACCCTTTAGACAACGCACATAGATGACGATGATGATCATGGGATGGTAATGGCAACAATATGGTTGTTAGAATAGACTGGAAGAATCGACAATGCAAGAATGTAAAGAGCATAAAGATTTACATGGTTCACTAACACAATATGCAAGTCAATTTCACTATACTTGAGGAGATTCATATTACAGAGGGATATGAGAAGTATATATAGTACTTCTGTAACATCCCGAACCTTTTCCCGACGAAGATATTGTCCGCTTTGGGCCTCGACCCTCACGGTTTTTGTCTTGGGGTGCAATTCAAGAAGACTTCCCATAAGGTCACCTATCCTTGTTGTACTCCACACCGAGCATGTTTAACTTTGGAGTTCTCACAAGAACTTCTCCATTACACCCCAAAACGCGTCTTGTCAGTTAAGGTCGGTTTCTTACTTATGAACCATGGATCTCTCTCGTGCTTCTCCAAATGGTCTAACCCTTATCCACTATGACAAAGAATAAGGTTACAAATCAGAGCGACTTTCAGTTGACGCACGGCAGATATATATATAATTCGATTCAGGTCAAATTAACAATGGTAACTCATAAATTTTAACAATGACACATCTTCAAACAACTCGAGTTATCAGGACCAACTGATCATTCCGGGGCACTTAGCAACCCCTCTACTATCTACATGCGATGTAGGCGGTCAAAGAAATGGTGCTCGCGATGCAAAATTGATGACGATGGTGATGGGATGGTAATGGCCACAGCATGGTAACACTTAATTTTTTTTATGGTGGCAGCCAGCAGCTATGCCCCAACGCTCCCGACGACGACTCCTTCTCTCATCAGACTGCAGTAAAATTAAATTCCTGGCAGGAGAGGGCCAGCCAACCATACATACATACATACACATCTTTGAAGCCAAAAGTCGATCGTTTTTTGGACCATGCAGCCACGTTAAATTCACTGCCCACAAGCAGCTAGCTAACTAGCTACCTCTGCCATACCTCCACAATGAATACTCTGTTTGACATGGGAACACAGAGCTTTGAACCGGCAGCTCGTTTTCCCATTGCTGTACAAAAATATCAATGTGGGATGGTATTATGGTAATAATGTTGGGAGTAGCTGATAATACTACGAAGAAAAGCTTGCCTAGTCTATAACTAGGGGTGGCTATACGGTCCGGTCCGGTTAAATTGGACCAAATTGATCCGGTCTCAGTCCGGTCTTTTCGCGAATATAAGGACCAAAGATTGGATTGGATACACTCTGGTCTTGATCCGGTCCGGTCTTGACCCGGTCCGGTCCCAATTTGATTTTGATTTTAGATTGAGCTTGTGGGGATTTGAGTGTTGGGGTCTCTTATCCGGTCTTTATCCGGATTTTTTTTACCTCAAATCTAAGCCCGAATATGAGATTGGATTGTTTGCTATCCGGTCCCAGTCCAGTCCCGGTCCGGGTTATACGGTCCGGTTTCGGGTAAAACCAAACAGTCCTGGACCAAATTGTCAGCCGTATCGATAACTCGTTTGGTTTTTCGATAACTTGTAGTCAGTGATTTTAGACTATTAGTGCGGTCCAAGGATTGCTCATATGCATGCATTATTGCATGTAATATTGGAGCTGAGTAGTATTATGAGACAATTTAAGGGAATGCGTTGGTTATCAGTGTCCATCAAATTTATTAGTACGATGTCTTTCGGAAGGATATCTAAAAAGTAAATTCGTGTGGGCTTTGTTCAAAGTGAACAATATTGTACAAATTTAGCTACCTGCACTACAAAAAAACTTGGCTATAGAGGGAGAGATTATTTGCTTCTAAATGACATTTATTTGCTTCTATATATCTATGGAGGCATATACGTTATTTGCATCGGACGCCTCTATCTCTAATTCCTTTTAGAGTCAAATATAGATGCAAATAACATAGGCTACTAATTGTGAAATTAGAAGCAAATTTATTGCATTCGGATTCTATCTTTAAGAGCTTGTCTCTTACCTTCTTATTTACTTTTAGAAGCAATTACATTTGTTTGCAAAGTTAACTTTTGATGCAACTATATTTGCTTCTAAACTTCCTTATGGAGACATGAATATTTGTCTCTAATGAATACATTTTTCGAAGCAAATAATTTTTTTACTATTTTTGCTTGTTGACTTGTTGTTGCAATAATATTTCTCTTATAATTGGCTCTATTTAATAAAAAGTAAGCATATTTTGATTAAACAAATCAAAAAGATCAACGTTTACATGATTCGTAAAATACATGAAAGTTGAATACATCAAACTAAATACATACATTTGTTAAAAAAAAACTAAATACATTGATTTTCCACAATTTTCAATGCTTATTATATAGTTGGACAAGGAAAAAGTACACTAAAAATTGTATCCTAACAGAGAAGGACTACTGAGCTCTTCTTCTCCCTTATCACTTTTCCATTGTTGCTGCTGCCCTTGAACCAAAAATGTAGATAATCACGTAACCCATGTCTTGGTTTGCCTTTACTTGTCACCACCAATCATCATTAAGCATCCGAGCAGATTTGAAAAACTCGACAATTGTATCCTGAAAGGAGAATAAGAACAAATAGCTTAAAAAATCAAGAAACCTAATTAATATATTCAATCAAGTTTTACTATGTATGAATTGACAAACACGAGCTTGAAACAATAAATTACCAATCCTCAATTTTCAGCATTCTAGTTTCCAGAGCGCTGCATGCTAATGCCTGCGTGCCTTGAAACAATTGTCTGAGATACTTGAAATTGAAAAAAGCAAACGCTCAAAAGACGGGATTAGAAACCCTAAACACCAATACAGGAAGAGCGGCAATAATTTTATTTGATTTTACTCAAATACATACCGTTGTCATTGTCGATCTGCAGTATTATTGTGTTATGCCGTGAAGACTCCGTCGCTTTACCTTGGTCGGCCCATTACGACGCCTCTGCCACAACTACCATTGTTATGCTTCTGCTTCAATTTCCCACCACCAATACTAGACATCAGAAGCCTCTTCTAGTCGCTGCTGGCATCTCCATGGGATCCAATGTGGGAGCCGGGGAAGAAGAACTAGTGAAGAGAGTATGGAAGACAAAGGGACTCTCTCTCTCTCTCTCTCTCTCTCTCTCTCTCTCTCTCTCTCTCTCTCTCTCTCTCTCTCTCGTTATTTTAACAGCCAATATTAGGTGTTGTTATTGAAAGCAATTTTATTATTATAAAGGGTAAATAAGCGTGGCTGGCTTCACAGTTTCCCTTTCGGAAGAAGCGAAATTTTTGTACTTCGAATATTTCAATCCCACTCGTTTACCCTCTCTTTGTTTCAAATTTTCATGTCCCGCTCAGATTCTCTCTCCCCCTTCATTTGTAGGGAATGCAAAGCATTACATGTAATTATTATTATATACATATATAAGTACATTTATTAGTGCCTGTAATACTAAATATATTAAATTATTTTATTAAAAAATGAAACAACTTTAGAAGCAATTAGATTTCCCTCTATATATCATTTATAGTTTGAGTAACATACTATACAGTAGCAAATATTATATTTGTCTCTAAAGCTTTTTATTTGAATTTATTTATTATAAATTATAAAAAAATATCATGTAATAGAGGCAAATAATATGACATAGAGAGACAAATAATATATTTGTTGCCATAGTCTAGCTATCGAGACTATTACTATAATTGTCTCTAATTATTTGCTTCAATAGCCACGTTTTCTTGTAGTGTTGATTTCTACAAGTGTTATAAGAGTTTTGGTTCGTTTTCGATTTGTGGAGCGTATATATCCTCCCCAAAAGCTTCGTGCTAATTACATTAGGTGAACACTAATATACAAGCCAATGTCCGTTTTGGGCCAAACCCACATATATTTACTTTTGGTCATCCTCCACAAAATAATCTCGAACTAATTAGGCTAGGTGAACATTATTATATAATTAAGGGTCCTTTCCCTTGTGTATCTCCGATGTGATACTTGTACCCTTACAATTAGGAATTCGAGAAATATATATAACTTTTTGGCCGAAACTTCTGAAACCACAACAAATACATCTACTTACTATAACCCTCCCACAACAAAAATCCGACGTAACTCCGTTACGACGCAATCAATGTCTCTCATCAACTGTTTCAACTACACTTTAAAATCCTTTCTCTAGGAGGATATTGAGAGCCGATCATTGTTGGTTGCTACGCCACCAATTATGACAGCGATCGGTCTTGAAGAGAAGAGAAGAGAAGAGAGAACACAACCGCCAGGCCCCTCTTAAGATTTTCATCAAGGGCATGCATGCAGCTTCATGGACCACACACTGCAACCCTAATAACTGAAGTTTATTGATCATCATCATGCCAAAAATAAACCTGCCAGTAGTTCATGTGGGTTCATTTTCCCCCCACTCAATTGAATGAGTTCGGTAAGAAAAGTAGTTAAGATCCGAACTTTTCTCAACAAATCGAGTTATTAGTGTAAGAATCAGTTGATCCCAATCATAGTTAGTAAAATACGGTGCGGAAAAGTTACGTTGAAAATATGTACGAGTATTTTAATTCGTTCCTAACCTAATGTTACGTTTAATAGTACATTAATAGTCATAAATATATAAAATTAATTATTTTTAAAAAATAAAAAATATTAAAGTTAATAATTGAATTCATTAAATACGGATATTAAACATTTTATACGGGTTATACGTGTTTAGTAGGGGAGCCGTAAAAAATGAACGGAAGGTTTTAAATGGATAAAATATGTACAGGTACATATACGTGTATTAAAAGGAGTATTTACTAACTATGATCCCAATAATTAACTCGAGTTATTGGAAAAGGTTCAATCATTGATCATATACCGTATACTAACACACCCCCTCAAACAAAAGCCACCATATATGGGCTTGAAGTTTGTTCAGGTCCGGACACCATGTGCTTAACAGAAACAAATGCGGTAACCAGGATTCGAACAGAAGACCTCTCGACAACAGAAGGCTCTAATACCATGTCAAGGTCAGCTGGTTGATCTCCAATAACTCGAGTTGTTGGAAGAGGTTCGGTCGTTAATTATATACCGTATACTAAAAATTAGAACCAGTTGGGCTATCACATTATATCAGAGCTGATTTGTCATTGATGTTACATGTTCAAATACTCACGATTCTCAAGATTAACCATTGCCGTAAGTAACATGGTATTGTCGAGTATGTACAAACTTCAAACTCACAAGTTAATTTCCGTCTGAGGGTTTGTGGCAAAGTTTGCGCGTACATTTTTGGGGTTGATTATAGTGCTGTAAACATTGAAGACACATGTAATGATGTCCTTTCTGTTCTGTGGTTTTTCCCCATAATGGGAAAGTAAAACAGAGACCATGCTAGTCAGTAGTCAGCATCCCATCCTCACCGGTGCTATTAATGGACACATCCCCATTTATTTTATATCAACGAAGCAAGTTCGCCGACATGGCCTGGTTAACTTAGTCTCTTCACGGCTCAAGACCAAGAAGAAGTCGTGGCTTGAAGTGATGACCTAGCTGGCTAGCTACACGACCATTTTTACTACGGGGAATGTTGAGAGAATGGCAGTTCGATCTTCATGTCACGAAGAGATTTCGTATTCATTCAAGAAAAAGTAAGGGTAAATGCTATTGTTTAACTAAATTTTTCACCTCGCTAAAATATTAGCCATTAGCTAAAATTTTCACCTCGCTAAAATATTAGCAAAATCTATAAAAATATTAAATATTAGTCAATTGTTAAGACTTTCTTCATATTTCCGTTAGATGACGATGAACTGGCGGATGTGATGCTGACATAGAAGGGATATAGTGATACGACACTCAAAAAGAATAATTTTTTATTGGGTGAATACTATTTTTTAGCCAAAACTTTCACGAATTCTAAAATATTAACCACAACCTTTTTGAGAATACCAAGTATGAACCAAACCTTTCATAACGCTACAATATTATAGTCATTTTATGTCAAAATTAACGTTAGGCTTAACAGGAATTACACGTAAACTAATCGTTGTCCGCGTGTTTGACACATCAACGTCATGTCAATTAACAAATATATACATTAATTTACAACAGGAGAAAAACGACTCCTATCAGTGACGAAAAATGAAAAATAACAAACTCCTACAGGGGAAATGAAAATAGGCATCGTAATGGGTTGTGTCATGTGTGTGTATCACCTGTCTGGTTGAGCTGAAGTGAAGGAAGAAATGCTCAAGATTCAAGTCAAGTTATCGACGAAAAAGAAGAGATCGCTTCTTCTATTAAGAGTTATGAGAATTTGAACAAGACTTTTCCATAATTAAAGGCTCAAATTGTGTAACAAATTTAAGAATATTTCTTATAACCAAATTCATTAGAGAATCCCATTTGGTTTCTTATTAAGTATAGGACTATAGGGTGAGTCACCCTTCTTAATAACCCTAAAATATTTAAACTTAAACTTAATAGGAGTTGGTTAAGTTTGTACTTTGCAGTGGAGCACATGGTTTCTGGTTTTTGAGAACTGTGGGCGATATTATGATAACATAAAGTCTTATAATTTCCGTTATTAACCCAAAATTTTGGAGAGATCAATTGTCCTTGGTCACAAAATATATCTTGGCAGAGATCTTTTGGTGATTGCCCACTTTTATATTAAAAAAGGTGACCAACCTCTCTTTTTTCCACAGATCCGTGATTAGATCTATTAATAACTTTATTTGATGAATCATTACGGATACCCGAATTAATTACAATAAATAAAGGTCACTCTCTCTCCAATTTGCACCTTGTGTCTTAGTTAAAGGAAAATCATGAGGAATAATTAGACCAAAAGTCCGAAACCTCAATACCATTCATTTTGTTAATTTGATGAGTGCACTTCCATAGCTATCTAGTGTAAAATGAATTTTAATTTTGCTAGGGGTTAGTGCAAGTTCACCTTCTCTGATCGTGTGGCGCGACGATCTCGATTATCATATGCATACTAAAATGATATTATATGCACGCATTTAACGACCTCGGGATTGTTCGGCTATGCGATCCAATAGTGTCATTATATCCTATACTAACGCATATTCGGCCCTTATAATCTGATCGGTGCATGTGAAGGTTTCTTCAGTGTGAAAGAAATCGAAGTCGCACAAAATTTCTTTCTATGAATATTTACATACTTCTTGTTTGCCCAAAATCTACAAATTCTACAGGTACACCATCACGCTCTTTCTTGTTTGACCGCATTTGCACACATACTCGTATCATACCTCCTCCTCCTCCTCCGCAGACCAAACTGCACAATTGCACACTATATTATCGCATTTCCAGTTCAGTTCAAAATTGAACGAGTAGTACTCCACTTACGTACACTTCGCAAACACGACATTTCGCAAGCGGAAAATATCTGAATAGACTTGGAAATATCACTCATCCTCGAATATAAAAGATATTTTATTTTGATTTCTTATATTGTGAGTAGCATTGTCAACAAAATCACCCCATATTCCAGCCTTAACAAACAAAATAAGGAATCACATAGTCCATAAGTTGGATATTTTCTACCACCACCACCTTAATTAATTAATTAATAGTCTTACAACATGCCCATAAACATATCATTAAAACACTCCTCATCCATCTACACATCTCAACGGCCCCCAATATTCAATACATATATGGTCTCTCTCTTCTATATATATATATATATATATAAGCATTGCTTTGATCAATGAAAACCCATCATTCCTTCACCACTTCACAACCAAAAAGAGAAACCCAAAAATGGCAGTGGGAGAAGCGGCAGTGATGGTCGAGCCGCAGCTGAAGAGCACCACCATTAGCGACGGGAAGAGGGCAACGGCGACGAAACCCAGCTTTTCGCCACCGGATGTTTCCTTTTTGGCGACGGGGAAGAAGAGCATTAGCGACGAAGACGAGGGGCAACGGGCGCGAGGGAGGGTGAGGAAGCTGAATGCGTACGACAGAATCGCGGTGGGCGCCGTCGCCGGGACCCATCTGATGGCAATGTGCGGGCCGTTTTGCTTCAGCTGGGGTGCGTTTTGGCTGGCGGCGGCGCTGTACGTGGTGACGGGGCTGTTTGGGATTTGCTTCTCGTACCATCGGAATCTGGCCCACCAGAGCTTCAAGCTCCTCCCCAAATGGCTCGAGTACTTGTTCGCTTACATCGGCGCCCATGCCCTTCAGGTTTTTTTTCTTCTGCTCAACTCTCATTTCTCGATCTCGAATCTCCGTCTTCGATTTTTCTAAACTTCGCGTCTTACTGCTTCTGATACGGATCATACCACCCTTTGATGTGTTCATATCAGAGGGTGGTATGATTCGTATCAGATCTAGAATCTCATTTTTTTCCGTTTTTCTAAACTTCGCATCTTACTACTTCTGATCATATGTCTTCAGATGGTGGTGTGATTCGTATCAGGGGTGATAAAACACGAGTTTTGTAAGGGTTTTTTTACAATCCTTGGATTCTTGTATCATAAACAATGGCGTCTGCCAGGATTTTACTACAACTTGTTTTTTTTCTTCAGATTCTAAAACGTTTTGAAATGCATTTATCATCCGAACCGTAAAAGGGTGTCACCAGCTCAATGCATCCATCGAAAATTTTACTCATTCCATATCGAAGTGAGTTCTTCATTTGCTTCATTGTGGAAAAAAATTATCTTTCAAAACTTGTGTTGATGGATGGGTTGTTGGAGCAACGAATACTAATTTTAGAAGTCAATGTACCTATAAAAAGGCGTAAAAGTAGTAACGTAAATCTGAAAAATTAGTTGTAATTCTTCGATACATACGCTACTTTATAATAAAATAACATCGTAAATTTGAATCATACTCGAAACACTCAAATATCTTTTTTGTTGAACTGACCCACGCCTTGACAAGAGGTGGCTCCGCCACTGACCGTAAACCGAACATTTTTCTATAATGTTAGATTTAAACTTTAGTGAGTGAATGTGTGTGTTTGCAGGGGGATCCATTAACGTGGGTGAGCAACCACAGGTTTCACCATCAATACACTGACACAGAGAGAGATCCACACAGCCCCATTGAAGGGTTTTGGCACAGTCATATGAGCTGGATCTTCGATTCAGCCATGGTTAGAGAGAAGGTAATAGTACTTAAAAAACGTTGTTTAGGATACTTAATAACATTACTTATTTGTGTAATTAATGTAAAAAGAAATGGGATTTGCAGTGTGGGAAACGAGACAACGTTGGGGACATGAAAAGCCAGGCCTTCTACAGGTGGCTTCGTAGGACTTACGTCTTCCACCCACTGGGGCTTGCCCTTATCTTGTATGCCCTTGGTGGACTGCCCTACATCGTTTGGGGAATTGTAAGGCTATAGCTCCCCCTTTAATTGTGTTTTTTCTAATGATTGTTGATGTCGAGGTTCGAATTCATGATACGACAGTAGATGATATCATCGTTTACCATTAAATGTTAAACCGTTGTCATTGTTCCATCAGGGCGTGAGGGTAGTGGGTGTTTACCACGCCACGTGGTTTGTCAACTCGGCCGCTCACATATGGGGATCTCGAGTTTGGAACACCGATGACTTGTCGAGAAACAATTGGTACATTACTTAATATCATCGTCCCGTTCACGGTTGTGGCCTTGTGGGTTTTCATGAAAAAAGATACACCAAACAAACAAGTTTGGTGGGTCCGGTTGAAGTTAGGAATGATTAGATCGGTCGACTCTTGGGGTACTATGACCCAATTGTCTTGAGCCATATGAGTATTGAATCATACCCAAATTGACTCATGCATTATTTATATGCTGGAATCGGGTTTAATTTGACTAAACTCATTTGAGTCCGTCCCAAATAGGTTTATTTGGGACTTTGAATTAAGATATTGTGCACGCAAAATTACAATATCGATCATCTTATTTTAACTGACAATTTGTAACTATTACTTGTGTTTGAACCAGGTGGGTGGCAGTTTTGACATTTGGAGAAGGTTGGCACAACAATCACCATGCGTTCAAGTACTCGGCAAGGCAAGGGCTGGAGTGGTGGCAGATCGACATGACTTGGTACGCAGTGAGGTTACTTCAAGCCATGGGGTTGGCTTATGACGTCAAGCTGCCGAGTAAGCTCCAAATGCAGAAGCTGGCCATGAAACACCCAAACCAGTAGCTGATGAACAACTACTTCAGCTTCTCATATATATAAACACACAGAAACACTTGTTCGATCGTTTTACTTTCTTGGCTGTTCTCTTCTGCTCTCTCCTAGTCCTACCTTTTCAGTGGCACGTTTTGTAATGGTAATGCATAATATATGTGAAGAAATAGTTTACCTTCAATTCAATAGCTCAAGTTATAGAAGCTATGCGCAGGTATGTCGTCGCTTCCTTTGGATCTTGCATGAACTGTAGCTGGTGTACTGTACTTGCTAATCAGATACTATACAGCAATATTATAGATGGTCAACAAAAATCCAGAAACACTGGTAAAGTCTGCAATTCTGCATCGACAAATTCCTTTGAATGAATCTCAGAGTACTAAGTCCCGGGGCAGTTGTCTCCACAACCAGAAAACTCCCAACCAATCAAGGGGGATGGGCTCTCTTCTAGTTGAGAGCGTTGGAGACAGAGTATATGAAGTCCAAGAACCCTGTACCTTTGAGTAGACCCTCACCCGTCAAGAGCTCGAAATCCAACAGCAGCAAGAACCCTATCACGGCTGCTTTCCCGTTTATCGACTCGTTCCTGCTCGTGAAACCAAACCCTCCCACCTCATCATCGACCACCATCCTCACCTATGCAATAGAAACCAGATCATATGTCACTAATCAATACATTTGCAGCTATGTTGAACCAAAGACACCCTTAAAGCAAAATGCATGGTTGTAAGTGTGGAATGTGATTCACTAAATAACTAACTACGTTTAACTGTGATCATGTGACATGACTCGAGCAAAGATAAACGTATAGTTTGACAATTGGCAGATACCTCCTCGACATTGACATCACTAGATGTGAAACCGGGTTGAGCCGTCCCACTGAATACGATCTCAGCAGATGCATCTGACGGTGCACCTCCGCTCATTCCTAAGTAGATGTTCTGTTCGTCCGTTTTAAGAGGGTATACATAGAGTGATCTGAGAGCAGGTGTGAGGACTCTCAGAACAGGGTTGTTTGGATACCATTCTTTGATCTCTCCAGTTCGAAGATCGAATGTGCTATCCGTTGTGGGGCAAACTATACAACCATCCTGAGGAAAAGCCAAAAAGCAACAGCAAAGGTAAAAACTTTTTCATGCTTAAACTACCAGCCAACCATAATGAAATGAAGATAATGCACAGAAGAGAATGCAATGAGCATTGAGCCCACTTCAAGAGATAACTCATTCTAAGAAAAACTTTGCTGATAGAAAGGGTTCAGTTTCGCAACTTCTTGAGTTCGAACTGCAATTCGAAGTTTATGGAGGAAATTTTTCACACTTTCTGTTCGAGTTAGTGATTCACTCCATTCATTGATTCCAATTTTCTTTCTCCATGGCCACTATTTATAAAACAGCAAACTAGCAATGTACTATTTAAGTTACACTCTTGATTCCTTCAACCTAAGTCGTCATAGCCACTCAAACAAACCAGCCTTAACAGCTACACATTTTTCCAGCTTCTAATTGACACCTATACACCATCCCAGAAGCCAAACATTGGCCCAATGGACAGGAATGCCAGAAACCAATGTCAAAGGTGAAAACTTTTCATGCAAACCAAACTCATTCATTGTAACATACGCTAGAATGTACGATCAATTCAGTCGAACCCACTTCGATAAGAAACACATTCTAATTGAAATGAGCAGCATTGGCAACTTCTACAATCCCACAGATGGTGGAGACAGAGTTTCCACACTCTTAAACTTTCTGTTAACTCTGTTTCTCTGTTCAGTAATGACACAATAAGCAGATAAAATCTGCTACTTAAGTTACACATTCCATCTCCTTCAAGAACCAGCAATAAGAGATCCATTTCCCCTGCTTCCGGCATACAAATTGGCCTGTGTGAAAGCTAGAACTAACCCCCAATGGAACCGAATTCCGAATTGGAATCATTGGATTCAAATTTTTACCTGGGTGAGCTTGGCGTTGATGAGCCCTTCGCTGTAAGCTCCCTCAGCAGGAGACCGATTCTCAATCGCAAACACTTGATCTTTATACCAAAGCAAGAGAATCGTCTCCCCTTCTTGAATAATCACGCGCCGCTCCCCCTTCGGCAGCGCCGCCAGCGGCACCACCGGAACCCAGTTGCCGCCGCCGCCGGACGACGGAGATGGGGACTCAGCGCTCAGCGAGACCTCGGTCGCTTTGCAGGAGATGTCTCGGCCGGACGGCAGAGGAGGGAAGTGGAGAGAGGGGTTTTGTCTCCGGCGGCGAGTATTCGGCCGGAGATTGAGAATCGCGGTGGCGCGTCGAGGGACGAGGGAGCGGTTTTGGGCGACAAAGAGGGCGGTGAGACGGGGAGAAGCGGCGGCGGCGGCCATGGGGACTTGGAAATGGACAGAATGGGATGAGGTGGTGATGGGGAGAGAGACGGTGGAAGGGAGGGATGGGAATTGGGAAAGGAGGAGGAACCGGTAATCACCATGGGCCCATGGCCACACAAATTATTTTTCTCTGTGGATAGAGCTGCGCCAGCAGAGCACTGGACAGTGGACGCAGTTCACTAGTGAACTGAATGTAAAACTACCGTGGGGATACCTAGAAAGGAAGCGATTGCTCTGATTGGTCCTCAAACTTCCCTAAGAGAAACCTTGCTGCTAGGGTTGCAGCAGGTTAAAGAGAGGGAGAAGAATGCGAGCAAATTATTGAGGAAACCCGCAAAGTGCTAGGGTCTCTGATCATTTCATTATATACTGGTGTTCAGCAGAGAAAAAGACAAACAAACAGTAAAACTTGAATTGTCCGTTAAAACTGTAATTTAAACAAACATAAATTCCATTCGCCACGTGTCTTCATTCCATTGGCCTCTTGTCTCCACCTAACGGTTAGTTCAGGTCTCCACGTCGTCGTTTTAACCATCGCCTAAGCTAGGTGGAGGGGAAGGCAGAAACGAAACGTTTCTGCCCTGTTCTTCTTCTGTTCTTCAGCAGCTCTTCTTCAATCATCACTGCTGCACTTTGCCTTCAATCTTCACTTGAGCTTTCTGCTCTGTTACTCCCCCATAAGTTGGCGAGTACATATCAAAGACTCCCAACTTATCCAGCAGATAGCTCAACCTGTAACGTGTTAAACCTTTGGTAAACAGATCAGCTAACTGATCATCTGTCCTCACATGTTGCAACTTGATCATTCCTGAACTAAGTCTTTCCCTTGTAACGTGACAGTCAATTTCAATATGTTTTGTCCTTTCGTGGAACACCGGATTCTCTGCTATATGTATAGCCGATCGATTATCACAGTAAACATCAATTGGTAGGGGAATGTTAATCCCCATTTCAGCCAACAAACTTCTCAGCCATTCCAGTTCACAGACCAAATGTGCTAAAGCCCTATACTCTGCCTCTGATGAAGACCTTGAAACAGTAGTTTGTTTCTTGGACTTCCATGTTAGCAAACAACCTCCCAGCAGAGTACAATACCCTGTCACTGATCTTCTGGTATCTGGGCAGCTAGCCCAATCTGAGTCTGAGAATCCTGTCAATTCCAACTTTGTTCCACTTTTGAACCATAATCCTTGACCTGGTGCATGTTTGATGTACCTTATCACCCTGTAAGCTGCCTGTAGATGTTCAGTATGGGGATCTTTCTGAAACTGACACAGCTGCTGCACTGAATGTGTAAGATCAGGGGGTGTGATGATCAAGTAATGTAATCTTCCAACAAGTCTTTTATAGACTTCAGGGTTTGTCAAAGGTTCCCCTTGTTTTGCTCTCAATTGGACCTTGCAATCTGCAGGTGAAAGACAATCCTTAGCCTCCAAGTGACCAGTTTCTTCCAAAAGATCCATACAGTACTTCCTTTGGTTCACAAAGATTCCCCTGTGATCTCTGTAAACTTCTAAACCCAAGAAAAACTTCAGAACTCCCAAATCTTTAACTTTAAACTCCTTTCCCAGAAACCCTTTAGTCTGTTCAATATCACTTAATGAACTCCCAGCTATTAAGATGTCATCTACATAGACCAATACCACAAGCATTCTGCCTTGGAACCTCCTGATGAACATGGAATAATCAGAAGCTGCCTGAGAGAACCCATTCTTTAACAATGATGCAGTCAGTTTGGCAAACCATTGCCTACTGGCCTGCTTCAAACCATATAAAGACTTTTTAAGCTTAAACACAATCCTGGGATCAGAAACAACCACACCAGGTGGTGGTTTCATGTAAACCTCCTCATTCAAATCACCATGGAGGAATGCATTGGCAACATCCATTTGATGGATGTGCCAATCTTGTGAAGCTGTCACTGCTAACAAAGCCTTTACTGAGTTAATCTTTGCCACAGGAGAAAAGGTATCTAAAAAATCTATACCATAGATCTGTGTGAAGCCTTTTACTACCAGTCTTGATTTATGTCTCTCTATGGAACCATCTGCCTTGTGTTTGATCTTATAGACCCATTTGTTGTCTATAGCCTTCTTCCCTTCAGGTAGGATTACTTCATCCCAAGTATCATTTGCTATCAGTGCATCCATCTCTTCATTCATAGATAGCCTCCAGACCAGTTCCTTACAAGCTTCTGCATAAGTCTTTGGTTCCTCTGCATGCATAACACTCAGTACAAAGATCTTATGTGATTCAGGAAGCTTATCAAATGACACAAAGTTTTGTATGGAGTGACTGGTAGTGGCTCCTGAGAACGTGAAATCTTTGTGCCACACAGGCTTGGTCTTGACTCTGGTGGACTTTCTCAATCCATGATCCTCCCCTTCATCAATAGGTTCCTGAGCACACAGTTCCTCCCCATCAGAATACAGATCATGCCAGTCAATGGCTGGGCTAGGATGATTAGTAGCAGTGGGAAATGAGTGGCTAGGAGATGGAGTGTGTGAAGAAGAAGAAGAGGGAAAATGAGGATTTAGAGAAGGAAATGTATTAGAAGAGATAGGTGTACTGGATAATGAGTCCATGGAAGAAGAAGAAAAAGGCTGAGATGTGTTCTGAGAGTTTGGTGAAGGAACCAGAGAGGGAAGATCGTCTGGGATAGGAGAATGATTGGGAAAGAGTGATGTAGTCTGGGAAGAAGAAGAAGAAGGGGAAAAGGTGGAAGTAGTAGGATCTGGAGAAGAAGAATTGGTGGAAGAGGTTTGTTTAAAAGGAAAAATGGTTTCATGGAACATGACATGTCTGGAAACAAACACATCATGGGTATGGAGGTCAAACAACTTATAGCCTTTGACTCCAGGTAGAAAACCAAGAAACATACACTGTCTAGCCCTGGGATGGAACTTGGTTCTATCCCTAAGCAAAGTAGAAGCATAGGCTAAACAGCCAAAAACCTTTAGATGGGAAAGAACTGGAGGTTTGTTGTATAACAGTTCAAAGGGGGTGAGATCATGGATGACTGGTGATGGCAGCCTGTTGATAAGGTGAACTGCATGTAAAATGCAGTCACTCCAAAATTCCAAGGGTAAACCTGCCTGAAACCTCAATGCTCTAGCAACGTTTAATATATGCTGGTGTTTCCTTTCTACACGAGCATTTTGCTCAGGAGTCTCTACACAAGAGGTTTGATGTTCTATTCCATGAGTGGAATAGAACTCAGCCATATGAAATTCACTTCCCTGATCACTTCGAATAACCTTAACCAATTTCCCAAACTGTCTACTGACCATTACACAAAAGGCTTCCAGAATTCTGCTTGTTTCTGATTTCAACCTCATTAAATAGGTCCAAACAGCACGTGAATGATCATCCACAATGGTAAGAAAATAAGAGTAACCATCATAAGATTCAACAGCAAGAGGGCCCCATATATCAACATGGATAAGATCAAAAATAGAATGTGCTCTACTGGTACTGAGGGGAAAAGACAGTTTCCTTTGTTTAGCTAAGTGACAAGTCTCACAATGCCTAACAATGGTCCTATTACATCCAGTAAGTTGTTGTTCTCTTTCTTTGCTGGGGTGACCTAGTCTCCAATGCCAGAGTTCAATTTGGTGAGGTTGAAAATTGTATGTGGCTGCTGTGTGATGTTGAGGTAAGGCTGGAATGTTGGGGAAAAGATGGTAGAGTCCTCTACTTTGTCTGGCAAATCCAATCAGCTTCTTGGTCACTAGGTCCTGAATATGACAAGAGTCAGATTCAAAATGTAAAGAAAGAGGTAGGTCATGGGTAATTTTACTAACTGAGATGAGGTTGAAGGTGAAACTAGGGACCAAGAGGACATTTTGAAGGTAGAACCCTGGATGCAATCTAACAGTGCCTATATGACTCACTGGTACTTTACTGCCATTAGGGAGATAGACAAATTGATTGACAGTAGGTCTAGCATCAGTTAACAAAGACAATGTGCAGCAAATGTGGTCTGAAGCACCAGTATCCAATATCCATACTTGAGCAAGTCCCATTAACCCATACTGGTTGTGTGAAGACAGGACAAACTTACCAGAAAAATTGGGGAACTGTGGTAGGTGTTGAGTAACAGAATAAGCAGCATGCTTGAGTGAGGGTGAGAGAGGTGGTGATGGACTCATGCTGTCAGCCTGGAGGAGAGACTTTAACTTAGTGAATTCTTCATTGGTAAACCATTGGCTACTCTGACTGCTCTTGGTTTCCAGACTTGGGTTGCTAACTGTAGAACTAGAATCTTTGCTCTCTGAATCTGACTGAGCAACAGCACCAGCAAAACTGTTTTCTCCTGCCATCCTGGCCTTCTTGTTCTTAAGCTTATAGCATTCCTCCTTCAGATGGCCTTCTTTCTTACAGTATCTGCAAAATTTCCTTTCACCTTCTGCATTATCTCTCCCACCATTACCAGGTTCAAAAGATGTGTAACCCTTCTGCTTGTCTCCTTGTGCTGCTAAAGCAACTGATAGAACATTTCTAGTAGAATGTCCTTTGTCTGACTTGATCTTCTGCTCATGTTGGAGGATATCATCCACTGCTGCTTGCACACTAGGCAAAGGCTTCATCATCAACAGTTGAGTTTGTACCACGTCAAATTCTGGTCTGAGACCTCGAAGGAACTTGATCAGGTATTCTGTCTCTTGCCTTTCTTTAAATGCTTCTACTGCTGCACATGGCCTGGTTCTTATAGCCACACAATCACAATCCACAATAGGGTTAAACTGAAGGTATTCCTCCCATAATCCCTTCAAATGCACATAGTATTGAGTCACACTCAGACTTCCCTGCTTGAACTGAGCAATAGCTTCCTTTAAATTGGCTAGTCTTAGTGCATTGCAACTACCAAATCTCTGCTTAAGTTCGTCCCAGAGTGCCTGAGCTATATCATGTTGCAAAACACTGCGACGTATATCCTTATCAACAGAATTCAAGATCCAACACAGCACTATGGTGTTTGAGGCATCCCACACAACAAACTCAGGATGAGTTCGTTCAGGCATGGGTAGGCTTCCATCAATAAACCCAACCTTATGCTTAGTTTTAAGAACCATTCGAATGGCTCTCTGCCACATCTGGTAATTATTCTCATTCAACAACTCAGACACTATAGATTGACCCAGATTCTCACTAGGATTGATATAATAAGGACTTCCAAACACATAACCCATAGGATTACCGTTGTAGATCTGAGCTTCCATCTGATTCTGAGCCTGGGTTTGTTGATTTTGCTCATTCTGGGTTTGGCGATTGAAGCTGCCAAAAGGGATGCCTTCACCATCACCTCCAGAGCTGCTAGGTGGAGTGTTCATGTTGATGTTTTTGAAGCGGAAAAGCGGATCACCGCTCTGATACCATAAGAGAAACCTTGCTGCTAGGGTTGCAGCAGGTTAAAGAGAGGGAGAAGAATGCGAGCAAATTATTGAGGAAACCCGCAAAGTGCTAGGGTCTCTGATCATTTCATTATATACTGGTGTTCAGCAGAGAAAAAGACAAACAAACAGTAAAACTTGAATTGTCCGTTAAAACTGTAATTTAAACAAACATAAATTCCATTCGCCACTTGTCTTCATTCCATTGGCCTCTTGTCTCCACCTAACGGTTAGTTCAGGTCTCCACGTCGTCGTTTTAACCATCGCCTAAGCTAGGTGGAGGGGAAGGCAGAAACGAAACGTTTCTGCCCTGTTCTTCTTCTGTTCTTCAGCAGCTCTTCTTCAATCATCACTGCTGCACTTTGCCTTCAATCTTCACTTGAGCTTTCTGCTCTGTTATTCCCCATTCTATAGATTTGATCTGCATTCTCGAAGAGTAAATATCGAGCGGAGACGAAATATTTGAAGATAAAAGTGGTCAGATGAAATTAGTATTAGGAAAGGGATATTTGAATGGTGAAGAGCTTTCACCCTCCTTCAATGTACTCCTTTTGGGGCATAATATAGGCGGGGTTTGGAGTTGGCAATGTCTCTCATAATCTCGATACGATGGATATCGCCAAGAAAGGCCTTAAGGGGGGAATGTGGTCGCTTTATCAAACCTTTCATAGTTAACTGAGAAGGTGGGAGAAGACAGAAGTTAAACTTATTGGGATTTTGTACGGTCTCAAAACTGATTATTGACTTGAGAAATGAGACCTAAGAAATTTTTTTTGTAGATATTGACTGATTTGTTAACATAATAGAGTGGCACTTAGCAACGAAAATCTTCCACTCAAAAGAATATCCTTATCTGAAAAACATCACATTGAAAGGTTTCCGCTTAATACGACAATATCTCTATGTTTGTAAAAAGGAAAATGAAGCATGACACAAATCCGTAGTCATGGTAACATACATTTAAGCCCCATGGCTTAATACTACAAACATAATTATCATTTGACATTACATACGAATATAAGTCACCACGCACAATGCTGATTGCGCTTTACAATTCATTACATTGAAAGATTAATAAAAAACTTGCATTACACCAAACAAACCCTCCCCAATTATAATATATAGTTATTATCATAAATGAGGAGGGGAAAATATAGTTACTAGATAGATAGAGAGATTAAAATACAGTACTAATCCCTAAATTTGAAAGATTTCGTTTTGTACAGTTAGTGGGTATGGAATATTACCCATCACTGCCTGAATGTTAGTAAACTCTACATTCTCCTCCATCTGCCAAAAAAAGAAATTGATTCTCTAATTAGTTTCAGGGGGTTAAGAAATAAATATGCAATTAATATCTCAAAGTTAATTATTTTTAACATCATGCAGTGAGTTAACATAGTAAAGTAAGTACCTTATCTAACAAATACTGGTTTGCAGCTTTCAGGATTCCCTCCTGTAACATTGTCAAAAAAAAAATTATTACTTACTTATTTCAGACGGAAGAAAAACATTATCGACGAATGTAATGGAAATTAAAAATATGATAAATGTAATATTAATTAACAAAGTTTTAGGGGGGAGATCCAAACCTTGTTCCTCAACAGTTGGATCTCTTTAAACATGATCTCCATCTGGGGGAATTAAGGGATCGAAAAATGTGATTAATTAGTAGCTAAACTAATTAATTATGATAAAATTTCAAGAATTTTTGTTGTTGAATAATTCAACAAAATTGTGAGCAAATAAAGCAAAAATATTGATAGACACCTTTGTTGAGCGAATTTGGCAAATCCAAATCTCGAGATGTTTTTCCAGCACCAGCAACTCCTCCAAGTTCATTTCTGAAGCTCCTCCTCCAAATATGTACCTGCGTTATTGAATTTCCATGATAATTCTCTCTTATTGTATTTTAATCTCTAATTTTAATTAATAAAATTTGAACATAGAGAAAATTAAAATGACAGAATAATTAACAACCTGAGCCCTTTCTGAAGAGTCTCGATCTCTTGCTTCAGCATGGTGATCTCTTCTTTGGCATCCTGCTTATGCTCACAAATGTTAGTGGATGAACATATCTATACATAATAATTATGTTTGTCTAAAACACTATATGTGTACACAATTCAAATATTTTATATCGGTGTATCTTATTGGTACATAAGTAACCTCTAGAACAACATAACCCATAAAATCAGAAAATATGAAGAATGTTTTGGACTATAAATTAATCATTTAAATAACACAAAGGGGATGTAGCTCAGATGGTAGAGCGCTCGCTTAGCATGCGAGAGGTATGGGGATCGATACCCTGCATCTCCACAATCCATGACTTTTTTTTTCATACTCACATAATCAAATCAAATTTTCATTAAAAATTGAGAGAAAAGTAGATGTAGCTCATATGATATAGTGCTCGGTTTGAATGCAAGATTTCCCAAAATTAAAATTGAGAGAAACGTGGATGCAATTCATATGATATAGTGCTCGGTTTGCATGCGAGATGTACATATATCGATATTCTACGTCACCATTACCTATCAATATTTTTCCTACTCCATTTTCCATATTTTAAGTCTCATTTTTATTCCATCTCCACAATCCATGACTTTTTTTCATACTCACATAATCAAATCAAAATTTCATTAAAAATTGAGAGAAAAGTAGATGTAGCTCATATGATATAGTGCTCGGTTTGAATGCAAGATTTCCCAAAATTAAAATTGAGAGAAACGTGGATGCAATTCATAGGATATAGTGCTCGGTTTGCATGCAAGATGTACATATATCGATATTCTACGTCACCATTACCTATCAATATTTTTCCTACTCCATTTTCCATATTTTAAGTCTCATTTTTATTACATTTAAAGAAAAAATCAAATGAAACTAGTAAAATACCATTTTATATGAAAAGATGCACCACATACATATTATCCTCTAGTTAATTAAGTACACATGATATCTCTATATTCATAATAATTTTTTTTTCTTGTTGATAATATGATATCTCTAAATTGTATGATTGATAGTTTTGATAATATTAGGGCATCTTATAAAAACCAAGAGGGTAATGAAATGACCAATAAAAGGAGGGTAAGGGTCCAAACACCTGGAGTACTTATTAGAGCATAAGAATTCCTAATTATAATGTGACAAGTATACAATTCTTGTTGAAAAGACAACCTCACATTTGTGGTCAAAGAATAAAATGTGCTCCATCATAATGTGTACCAATTACCATATATGGCATGCTTTGTGGTCAAAGAATAATATGTGCTCCATCATAATGTGTACCAATTACCATATATAGCATGCTTTGAAAAGACAATCTCACTTTATTCCCTGTGTTTGTGTAGTGTGTGTATTGTTTCAACATGTAGTCTAAAACTTGATAAGACAAATCAGATTGACCTAAATTCCCACCAAGTATTTCTTTTATATTTTGTAGTTTAGTTCTCAAATTTTTCTGGGGTATAATGAAATTTTCTATATACAATTATATCTATCGTATTCAAGGTAAATTTAGGGTATCATGTTTTTTTTTGTAAAAATATTAGCTGGATTTGAATTAATGAGATTTTGGAGGATGATATTAGACCCTATACATAATGAGCCAACCCTACTTAGTAACTATCAAATCATATACTTTAAACATTAGAAGGTAGAGTATAAATACGATGCTCCATAAACCTCGATTACTTCAACATTTAAATAGCGAAACCCACTATGTGTACAAAAAGTTAACGCACGCCAGAAATACCTGATTAGGGTCCTTGGACTGGTCGGCTGACTGACCCGAACCCGCAGCCATACCCAGGCCCACACCCGAACCCGCAGCGGCAGCCGGGCTGGAATTCATGTACTTGTCTATGAGCCCTTGCATTGTCCTTCACCCGAGGATAAATTAAAAAAGAAAAAAAAGAAATACACAGTTAGTAATAATAAATAAATATTAATTCGTCGTCAACTTTACATGCATGTATACGTGACGCGTGTTCCCTTCTACTATTTACCTTATGTCCACATAAATAAATTGAAAAACAAATCATCTATGCTATTACTTTTTAGTTTTTACTTGTTACACGAGTGAAATGGTTGAAAAATAGAAGGCTAGCTAATGGTTTTGTGGCAAAGGTGGATTATACATTGTTTCTAATTATATATAAAATGAGATCAAGTTTAATTATCAACGTCCCAAATAATGGACTTGAATTGAGGGTTTTATAATTTACACATTGTTGTGGTAAAGGATTTTGATGAACTAAATTTGAAGCATGATATGGTTATGTATGAATATTAATGTATCGGATTCAAACATATTTTCTTATGCTTATTACATAAATCTGTAAATGAGATATTCGAACCCCTTATTTTAGGGTTAACTTTTATATACACACACCTAGAAAGTCAAGTTTGCTTAGATTTGAAAATTCTAAAAATTAACGCAGTTGTAGTAATAATTCATGTTTTTTCATTCTTCACGGGAAAATTTATAACATGAGTATCCGACCGCAGTATTCAAGATAGTAATGCATATATTTTCCTAACGTTAGCTTTCAACTTCTCGTACCTCGATCAGCTATTTTTTATTTTCTTTAACTTAATTTCTAAACAAATACTTAAATGAAACATTCTTTAAAGAGTCAAACCTATAAATACCCCAACCCCAATCACACATCTCCTCTAATCAAAATTAGTTCAAGACTTCTACCCAAAATAAAAAAACACTAGTTCAAGAAAACTCATGAGCTAGATTCTTATTCTACCATGATGATGAAGTATAGTATTCATAGCAATACAAATACAAAAATAGAGTGAGATCTAGAGAGAGAGAGAGTTTAAGGGAAAGGACAAAAGTACCCTTTGGTGGCAAGTTCATAGTGCTTTCCATGGGCAGAAAAAATGAGGACACCAATCTCAGCATCACAAAGCACAGACAGCTCCTTCGCCTTCTTCAGCAGCCCCGCCCGGCGCTTGCAGAAGGTCACCTGCCGGTGCACCGGATTCTCGATCCTCTTCATCTGAACTTTCCCTCTCGCCATAGCTCTCTCTATTCACAAACGAAAAAAAAAAGAAGATTTCCTAGCTGATTAAGCTTTACAAAACTTTTGGATTGGACCTATTTGATCGAAACCCAAAACAACGGGGACCAAATCAGGGAACAAAGGTTGGAAATTTTGCTCGAGCAAAAACCAACCTCCCACTAGTATGGACTAGCTTCGAGGTTGTTTTGCAAGTTCAGATCTTCTTCAGCTAAAAAAGAAAATTCCTCTCTCGAAAACTATATCTTTCTTTGCCTCTCTTCAATGGCGTACGTCCTCTCGAGCTTTTTATATATAACGAGCATCGATCCCCCTCCTTTCCCTCCAAAATGGCCACGCACAGTGAAACATGTACACCACAGATTCTCTTTCCCCGTCGAATATTATGACGAATAGCTGGCTGGCTGTGGGCTGTGCCCCCCACAACTTGCTTCTGCCACTCTCTTTACTCTTTAAGGGTCGTTTGGATGGATCAATGGTAAAACGAGACAATTTGATCAATTGTTTCATTTTACAAAACGAATCATTTAAAACGAGTCAATTCAGATTACCTGCCCCCACCCCAGACAATTGTAATTGGCTCAAAATGAGTCAATTCAAAATTTCCCAGCCAAATTGCTTCATCCAAATTTTTAGCTGCCAAACGGATCAATCTAGCACAATTGACTCAAAACGAGACCTTGTATTCCTCATCCAAACGACCCAACCTTTTTGCTTCACTACTCTGGGTTATTGTGACCGATTGGTTCTTAATATGTCCTCGAAAGATAGGTCTTGTCCTTGTATTCGAATTACGACAGATTTCGATTAATGTTCTATTCCTTGAAAGCCAGTAAAATGGTAGCTACTGTAAAGCATATACCCCTCATTTTCCCCCTTCCCCCGTGAGTATAGCATGATGAGCCCAAGTTAAGATGAGGGATTAAAGGAGAATGAGGGTATTAAGATGAGGGATTTCCCAAGGATCTCAAAACCCAGATCCCTATTGGGGGCCAAATACCTCCGATCTCAACCGTATGTGCCAAAGAAGAATGAAAAAGGAAATAAAGTATTTGGATTCGTGCAAACTTCAACCCAATGAGTTTGTTTTCGTTTGAGAAACTATGTTAGTAAATGGTATAACGGTATAATCCATAGTTGAACCTCTTTCGACAACTCGATATATTAGAACGAATTGATTTTTGACAAAAAATACCCACCAAATTCATAAAAAGCGAATGATTCGAAATCACAATCTTATCAATAGTTACTAGTATATTAATTTCACAATGATAAACTATCAAACTTGAACCTGAGAGCATACCACCCCAATTTTATATCTTATTATTTGAATCATTTCTCTCAGTGGTTTGCTTAATCACTTTTAACCCTAATTTGTTAGGATTTGAAATGTTTAACGAGTGTATTCTATTTGGTGCCTGCCAGGAGATGATTGGTCCATATGAATAGAGATTAGGGGTGGCTATACGGTCCGGTCCGGTTAAATTGGCCCAAATTGATCCGGTCCAGTCCGGTCTTTTTGAAAATATAAGGACCGAAGATTGGATTGGATACAGTCCGGTCTTGATCCGGTCCGGTTTTGATCCGGTCCGGTCCCAATTCGGTCTTGATTTTACATTGATATTGTGGGATTTGAGTGGCCTAAGGCCTTAAAGGGTGAGGAGTTGGTTAAGTTTTGTACTAAGTGCAAAGGTTTGTGACCGTTTATGCAAATTACCCTTAAGTTTTGGGTGTTGAGCTCTCTTATCCGGTCTTTATCCGGTTTTTTACCTCAAATCTAAGCCCAAAGATTGGATTGGATTGTTTACTATCCGGTCCCGGTCCGGTCTCGGTTCGAGTTATACGGTCCGGTTTCCGGTTTTTAATCCGGTCCCGGTCCAAATAGCCACCCCTAGTAGAGATGACATCTTTAATGATAAAAATGGTATCTTGGAAACTAGTTTTTTTGCCTCCATGATTTTTGCAGTCAACAATTCTTTTGTTATTATTCTAGTTAAAAGGAGATCATGGGAATAACCTGAAAAGAAAAGAGAAAGCATCTAAGAAATCTGAGCTGTGATTTGTGGAGAACATAGAAATCTTTACTAGGTTTCATGTTGGAGATTTCCCCAATATAATATTTGAAGATAAAACATTTTTTTATCCGATTGGTTCTCTGCAATTTATTGTTTTCTTAGTGGGAGAATGTTGATTCCCCAATATTTAGACATTTAGTGGGTGAATGTTGTTTTCTTAGTTATCGTTTGGTATAAATGAAATATTTTTGAAATGAAATATTTTTGTGTTTGGTATTAAAAGAATTCATTTTCAATTCTAAAATTTGAATTCTACGGAATTGGAATTAGTTATAGCAATTTCGAAAAATTGAGATAGAATTTCTAAATGAATTCCGCAAGTATTTACTAATTATAATAGAATGACATGATTGTCCTCTTTTATTAACTAAATTACTTATACATATGGTGACATACCAAACACAAGAATTCATTTTCTACACGACACTTCATTTTATTTCTAAGGATTTGAATATAATATACCAAACATAAGATTTCATTTGACAATGAATTCTACAAGGTAATTCATTTTACAATGAAATGAATTCTTGATTTATTTGGTACCAAACGGTATGTAAGTTAGAGTTATATATGTTCATGTTACATTTTTGTATCACTAGATTATTAATTCCTCGATATTAGAATGCTGATCACAATACTTGGTTGTTTTTGAATTTCAGTGCTCATATTTGGAATTGGAAATTAAGTTAGGCTAGTCAGCTTTAAGTTGTGAGTCAGTTTAAGGCACCTTCGAAACGTTGATTTTCAATTTTCGTGAATAATTTTATTTGTTGTTGACTGAGAGTCATGAGATTTTTGTTCTCCGATCAGCGAGTCGAGATCGAGCTAGGGACAATACGTCTGGTTTGGAGGCTTGGGTATGAGCTTTTACACTATAAAAATATGCATATATGAACCATCTCACCCATTCGTTAAATGTACTATGTCCTCAACATAGTAAATATGGTCTCTTCTGAACTAGTTAACATACATCATATCCATGAACCATAAATTTTCTCGATGTTAAGATAAACAACAGTACCCACTTCAGTTAATAAGCATAGATTAAGGGGCAAAGAACAGATGAATGGAACATGAAAAAGGACAATTAAAGAGATAATTAAAGGAGAGCAGAAAAGGGCCTTTTTCCCCGCACAAATGAAGAATCTAATTAAAGATGTATATGAAGGTATATGTTTGGTCAGCAACATAAAGACAAAGATATCAAATGTTGGGAACTGATTGGTTCCTGGAAAGGAGTTGGCAGAGAGTTTGCACTGCACGTGGAAAAAGCTACTGTAATTAGTTAGCTTAATTAGCTCTTCTCTAATTGCTTGCTGACTCGGATCGTGTGTCCACTAATCGATCTCACATTCCTCCACATTTCCACACACATGGAATCCTTAAACATTTCCATTTTATGACACTATGGAGAGTTTGGGCTCTTTGCCTTCTTTTTGGCTTTTGGGTTTGTGTTTTAATCCTTGAACTACTTCGTTTTTGAGTCATATGTTACAATACTCAACTAGACTTATGCTGGCACATATGTTACAATACCCAACTCCTCCAACTACTTGTGTGTTGAAAATGAGATCTTTATGTAGAACCCTTTACCCGTTGCAATCTCTTCATCAAACGAACTAAAGACGAAGCATTTTGTTTAAACCGCATGCTCTTATATGTCACTATGATTGTGAAGTAACTAGCTACATTTATCATGGATAAAGTAAAGAATACGAGACATCATGTGCATCAATTTTTGCATAAATACTTTACATTGACAAAATATAAGCCATCCTCAGTTAGTATATTTTGAGGACATGTTTTGCAAGATGTTTACATATCTATCATACACTACGAACCTTAGCCGGAATCCATACACAAAAAATATTACAAATCCATCTCATATGTATATGAACAACGTAACTAAACTATATCTTTCATTATAACCATTTTCATCTAAAAAACTAAACTCCCCTTATAACTTTCATGATAACAACTAATTCGGTTCCAACTCCTGATAACCCACCCAACCAACTCATTCCTCGATCAGCTTTCCCTAAAAAGAACCCGATCAATAAGAAAATCAGTTAGTTAGGAAGAGAGAAAGAAAGAAAAAAACCTTAGAAGGTTCATGTCAGCCATCACAAGAGATGATCAGAAAACCAGCATCCCCTCCACTCACAATTTTTCTTTCATCGTGATGTTGAAGACGATCGAGAATCTTGTCAAATCAACTTTCTTCCCAATAAAACAATGAGGAGGAAGCAAAAAAGCAAAGGGAAAGAGATGATGATGAATGATTACAGCCTGCTAAGATTGCGGTTAATTGACATGTGTATATTCTCCTATCTGGAGTCCACGTGGAATATTAAACATTTTGGCATAAAGCCTAATGTTCTCCCCCACAGAGATGAAATGTATATGAATATATGTGTATTGGTTCTTAATCAAGATTAAAGGACACATTGTTTAATTGAAGATGGTGAGTGGGTGGGAGGCTGATTATCAGAATGTGATTACTTCAATTATTAATGTTGTTTTTTAAGTCAGTTAGTGGACTTCCTTCCAATCGATCCCACCATTGTGATCCCCTTTTGGTTCTTTAATTTTAACTTTGTAGGATGTTAGTTTTCAATCTCATCAATATGTATTAGGTTACAGCTTTCTGTCTATTAGGCTTATTAGATACCTTTTTCAGCTGCCCCTCTTTTGTCTTTCTATAGGGTCAGGATGACAATGGGTCGGATTTTGTCAAACCCAAACCCAAATCCATGGATTTATCTGTCAAAACAACTCGGGGTAAAATTTACTAGATTTAGAAAACTCTAACCCAACCCAACCCATTGGGTATCCGCGGGTTCATAAGTACCCATGGGTTTTTGTAGTAAAAATTTACAATAACAAGTTCCTATCAAAATAAAATTCAAATATTAATTTCCTCATACAAATTATCCATACATAAAACACCATTCTAGAAGATTCAAAAATATCACAATTACACTAAATAAAATCACAAGGAATAAGTGTAGTGAGAGTTAGATTAGAGAAAATTAGAATTAGGGTAGGTTTGGGGAGAGTAGGGCGACGAAATAAGTGTGGGCGGGTATCCATGGGTCGGGTACCCCTAAACCCAAACCCAACCCAACCCGATGAATAGTGTACATGTTTAAACCCAAACCCGGCCCGAAACCCGTCAACGCGGATAAAACCAGCGTTGACCGGGTTGGGTCGGGTAGGATACCCATGGGTTCGGGTTTTGTTGCCATCCCTAGTCACAACTCACAAGCATGGATGAAAATAAGGCTTGGGATAATTGGGGGTGTGAATGAAAGATATATAGATTTATAATTGAATTTCTCACAATAACGCAATTACTTTTTAATTTTCTTGTAGATGCCTAGGTAAATGGTGCTTTTGCTCTTCTCTTATTCAGTCGTTTGGTTTTGGTGATTGTTTGATTGGAATAGTTACAATGCATGAATTGTCCACAATGCATTGTGTTTTTGAATTTTCTGCACAAACTATACATGCATTGTTTGTTTGATGTGATGGAAACTATCACTCAAAATGAGTGATAGTAATATCTCAACTTTTTGGTGAGATTGTTGAGATTGTTGAAGTGTTTTCTTCTTTCAACTATCTCCCTACCTTTTGATGTGTTTTGCTTTTTTATATTAAAAACAAAGGATAAAAGTGACATTTCACCCAGAAAGCAATATATCTTATTTAAATACTAAAATAACTGTCACAGAAACCAAACGTTGTAAACTACAATACATCAATTTTCTTATATGCATGTATATTATTATTGCATGCATTGTTAACAATGCATCTATTTAACTATCACCAAAACCAAACAATCCCGCCATCAATTCCTTATGGGTTACTTTCCCAATATGCTTTGAGACCATTAGGTTTCAGTTAGTTTGTTTATGATCTCAGTTGTCAATGGTTGAATAAGGAGCGTCAAATCAACTATTTCATTTTAGGGGTTAGAAGTCGTGTTTTTCTACAACGTAATCTTGTAGTAAAATCGTATAAAAACAACCAAAAAATGGTAAGAAAAAGGCTCGCACAACGAACAAATTTGCGTTGGACGGGCCAAGCAAGAAGGAAAGCACTGATTTAGGGAAAAATCCACTTTGCGTTATAGGGATTATGATCCTCAATGTTAATGATTGATCTAAAAAAAGGGTAAGACTAAACCAACGTGTGAAAATTTCAAACGTATGGTTGGTGAATTCAAAGGTTGGACTTTCACCGACTTTCAATCTGGAGATTACAAAATCGAATTTTTGGGCGGGGTTCGCTCCCCACAATATGCATAAGAGCTAGATAACTGTCATCAAGAGTACGTCGAAGTCCAATCTTATTCAAGTAGCAATTAAGGGGTCGTTTGCTTGTTGGATTTGAAAAATGAGGCTTTTTGGCTCAAAAAAACCTTTAGACTTATGAGGAATTTATACCATCATGGATTTGAAGAGTCTATTGTTTGCATGATAGATTTGATGATATAATTATGATGAATTTGCTATAAATATAACTAGCCATCAAGGATTTACAAATCTCACCCCAATATGTGGGATTTACAAGTTCGTGGGGTCCACGGATTTGGATCCAAAAAAGGGAATAAATCCGTGGACCCCCATGGATTTAACACCTGACAACAAACAATGGACTTGGCTAAAATCCATCATGCTTGGAATTTGAGTCCCAAATCCATGACCCAAATCCATCAAGCAAACGACCCCTAACATTTCAAGTAGGGAAACAAAGGCTCCATGACCTAAAGACTACACCTTTCTGATAACAAGAGACATGTTAACTCGAAATGAGCTGACCTTCAAACCAATTGTTGAGCAATCCAACCAGCATTTCCAGTCTATCACTGGGAAAAGCAAACTCCACACAGAAAATCTCCAGTCTAGCCATTCTTATTCATAAATCATGCACCAAAAACTGCCAATGCTAGGCTGAATATGCAGGTTATCCAAAAAAAAGAAACAAGAGTAAATCCTTAGTTCTTAAACAAGGGTTTGGTCGCAATCCTCGAGTTCTTTGCCTGTTTTGAACGAATGGTTCATCACTGCTTTTTACCAGTGACGCCGGCGACCACCTACAATAATGCAGCACATCAGTGCTCAGAAAGAGGAAAATGCAAGAATACAGTTGCAAATTTTTTTTCATATTAGTTTCTCGGGCAATAAATCGCTTTGCAACATTCCAACTTGGCGACACTCCAGCCCTCTGTTGCAATGCCATTCACCGCCAAGTTAACTACTGAATTTCATGATCATGATACTAATGACTAATAAGCTTTGGAAGCGCACAAGCGCCATTGATAGCTACAGGAGGATCTGTCTTCGAACTTAGCAGCAGCAACTTTTAGGAAAACTAGCTAGAATGCCTCCCCAGAATTTTATTATATTCAGGATATCAGCATACAGACACAGTAAGCCATTTTTAGATATGCCCTTTCTCAGACTAGTAACGTGAATGACGGGAAAGGTAGAAGCAGAACAGAACAAGATAGAAGAGAAAAAACAAGTTCAAATGAGAAGAAGCGAAACATATAGCATGCCAGTTGATACTCACATCACTCAACGGAGGCGGAGATACTTCCTTCCCTGCTTCGAAGGAGTCTAGCATGGGCCTAACAACAGCAGGAAGGAAAAGACCTGAAATACTTCAAATGGAAAATGTTAATATAAAAAAATAAAACGAGCAGTATCGAGCATAAGCAGAGAAACTATCTGAAAAAATAACCAGCATGATGTGCAGGTTTAGATGCTGTGATAACAGCCACCCCACAACTACCATCAATTGCTGCTATTCCAACTAGCACCAGCAACTTCCTGAACATTAACTCAACCAAAGGAAATGCATTGATAGATCCTTATCACGAATGATTCTTTAACTTAACTCCACCACTTTATTTTCTGCAGGGTAACATAATAGCAAGGCCCTCAGAACTGTTCTAATGTTCTTTTTCAGGTAATCCACTTAACACTATTGTCACATTTAGACTTACCAAAGTCTCGTTGCATACAAAGAGGCTGGAAGCCATGATACAAAATGACCACTAGACAACATTTCTCGTTATAATCTGCCAGGGTTGAAGTCTTATCACATTTCTGTGTGGCGGCTTAAGGTGACAGCGAAAGATTAACTGACTAGATCCTACAGCACAATCTATTGATGTAAACATTTGTTACTTCTTCTCCTCAACCCAAAGATTAAAGAGAACACATTGCAAAAGAACTTCTTGATCCATGGTCTCATACTATCCTCGCAAAACACCCTTCCCCTTAATACGACCTTAAGAAAAATGGACGATCGTAGCTTATGAGTTATGACCATTATCAGTGTTGTAAACCAAAAGGCCGGAAGATTAATGATTCCGGAGCTCCTACTACTTGCCAAATGAAATGGGATAGATTTGAAAGTCGACATCACATCGCGTAGGAGAAAAGCCTAAACCAAATCGAACTCTTGCGCAATCACAGGATCAGAAATACTACCAGCTAACCTCCATGAACAAACATCAGCCGTCACAAAGGCAAGTTAAAGCTATGAACTCGTTCTACACAATTAGGACCTCATCAAACAGAGCGAATCGTGAAATTAGCAAGTGAAAAATTTCAAGTCCAAGATGAAATCGGAGTCCAGATTCTAGGGTTACGAGCGATCGAAAAACTCACCGATGCCGCCGATGATGCATGAGGCTGCTATCACGGGTTCCTGGACGATGAACATCCTGAGCTTCTGCGAAATCGACATTTTCCCCTTGCTCCGAGTAATTTGTGCGTCGGAGATTGTTGTGGAATTCGCCCGTAGATTGTATGAACTGGCAAATGGAATGGAAACTGTTTCCCGTGACGACGATGATACAGCGGCCAAGCTATAATTGGACTTGCCAGCAGGCCGAGCACACTGGGCTTCGGTGATTGACAGTTGGGCCAATTGCTTTCTGTCAGCAAGAGAAGAAGATCCATGTTCAAATATGGAAGAGAAATGGTAATCGGTTATAAATGAATGGGCTGCAGGTGATGAAGCCCATAAAATGGCTTAAACGAGAACATAAAGGCCCATTCACCTATCAATCTGTACTTTTTCCTTTCTACTGCAGTGTTTGACTTATGTGTCCATATAAATAGAAAGTGATGGAAAAGAGCACAGCAAGTTCACAGCTCACCAAATTTCGTTTGTATCTCGATCTCGATTTGTTCCTTAACGAGCAAGCTTTTGCTTGAGCTTGACTAGTTAAAGAAACGAGAGCTCGAGCTCGGCTCATTTGTAAGTCTACATACATAATTTCTCTTTCAAATTATAAATGTTATCTATTTGATCACATATTCAAAGTTTTAAACCCATTATATATTATGAGATATGTTTAATCTAATAAATGTATGAATTATTAATAAGCTACATCATAAGCTACATATATTGATTCGCTCATAAGTCGCAAGTCGGAATGACTTGCTGACCACACTATCGAGCCAACTCATTCACACGAAAACGAGGCAGCTCGCTAGTTGTACTCAATGAACCATTGACTCGAGCTAGCTCGCGCTGATCAAGGATGAGATCAAACTCGACTCGTTTATTAACAAGTCGAGTTACAAACAAGTTTTTCCCGAATAAAAACGTCAAACCGCTTATAAATAGTTTGGCTCATTTACCGCCCTAATCATAGTAGCCTTTCTAGGGTTCCTCATTCTTATTTTCTTCCTTTCTCCTGTTTCCTTCAATGGAGGCATATCATTCTCCACCATCTACAGCCAAAACAAATCATAACGCAGCCACGTCCACTGCTTACAGAAGAGAAGATCCCCTTGCTGACTCATTTTCCCATTCACTTACACGTGGCGTGGCGTGGGGAAGCCAAGCAAGTAAAGCTTCTCCTTTTCCTCCAATAATTAACCTCTATTAGTATTTAGTGGAGGTGTCATCACTTTCTTTTTTCCCACATCCTTTTTTAGGCCACTTGATACACGTGAAATGGAGAAGAGAAAGGTAAGTGATTTTCTCTGTTTTTCTTGTTTAATTTTGTATGTGTTTGTTGTAACATGTTATTTATACTAACCATTTAACCAACCATTGTACTCAAATAAGTTGGTTGGTGATAAATGTAATGTTATCATGTTATTCGTTATATACAGTTAATAAAGGATGCACAACCCACGTCAGGAGCAAGCAAGACTCTCATTTATACTTTTTTTTTTATAGTTCATTTTCGGGTTGAATCTAGAGTTGGTTCAATACGTCACTCTCGGGCAGTCTCCTCTTAAACACCGACTTGAGCTTTGGAGTAGGTCCTCGCTGACCACAATCGCAGGTCTTTTTTGTGGGTGTTCATCTTGAAAACTTAACTTATGGCAGACGATAATAAAAAAAAAATCAATGCTCACTGAACCTCAAACATATTGAAACACACTTCTCTAAACTTGGGATCAACAATCAGTGACGAATGCAGGATTTGAAACTACCTTTGTCCTCTTTCAGAATATAAGTATATAAATATTTAATTAATAAATATTTAACAAATATAATTAAAACTAATAATATCCAAATAATTCATTCAGAGATACAAAAATAACTTACTAATACAATTATTGTTTGCATAAACAGCAATGACGAATTTGCATATTCTGAAAGAAATGGAAAATAAATTTGTTGTCTACACTTTTAAGTAAGTATATTTCAATGTATTCCACTAAACAATCATTAGTAAACTAATCACCAATTCAATTTTGAAGCTTGATCTTAATATAGCTCAAGCTAAAAATGCACTTTCTACACATACACTTGAAACTGGTAGAATAAAAAATAACTTCAGAAGAAAATAAACTAACAAATATGACTGATGCACTTTTGTCTCCACCATTACTCGAGATAATTCATTAATTCCTTTCAATCTAGAGAAAATCTCTTATTAGCCATAACATCATGATAATACACAACAAGCTGTTGTCGAATAATAGTACCATCATTAATAAAAACCAACAAAATAATTACTTTTTTATCAATTATTAAACAAGTAATGAGTTATGATGTAGTGTCAAAATATCATTATATTACGCCAAACAAACTAATTACTTTTTTCTCAATTATTAAACAAGTAAGGAGTTATGATGTAATGAGTTACAGTGTTGGATTCACATATATATGGAGTATTTTTCCCTCCCAAACATTATCCCTATCCTGTGAGGTTGTGACAAAGACAACATAAACTAGCTCCGCCCATATAAACTACGGGTGGGCACATGGGTGGTTAATCCGTGGATTGATATCGATCCACCCGCAAATAACCCGAGCCGCACGCAGTGGGTGATTGATGTGGGTGGATTGCGGATTGGTAAATCTCTCACCCGCACTAATGTTGGTGGGTGGTGGGTGTATTGCGGGTCACTCATATGACATGCATTCTATTTTTACATGAAAAAATGTTATTTCTTATAGTATCAAATATTCATCATATTTTCGAACTCCACTACAGTCTGATCATATACTTCAAAATGTGGAGAATAAATAATAGTTTTGACTACTATTATGGGTCATTGTGTTGTGCAATATCCATTAGATATTAGATATTGGTATGCAAATTATTGTTAATAATCATTAAATATTGGGATGCAAACTATAAATTATTATTGCATCAAAATCACAAATTATTGATACAATCTTACTAATTTGCTATGAACTTATAAATGTTAGTCAACTTTCTTAATAGCTAGTTGGAGAATTGTTTTGTTGGTTGACCTGCAAGCCAACCGCATCCATCTGCCACCCACCCAACCCAACCCAACCCGCAAAAATATGTGGGTGGATTGTGGGTCACAATTATTCCAACCCGCTAATAAGTGAGTGGTTGAATTTGACATCAAAACTCATCCAACTCATCCGTCAACAATATCAAAATCAAACACCCAACCACCCGTGAGACACAATTAATTCTCTCATTAATTTCACGCCGCGTTGCAATAGTGACTTATTGGCAATGTCTTAAAGCCAAGTTCAGACCTAAAAACTCGACGCTAAAATCCAATTTTGGGAAAGTTTCTTATTATTATTGTTAATTAATTAATTTATATAAAGCTTAAGTCACATCACTGTTGCTTTAGAGTTTTACTAAGTTACACCACTTTCATGATAAGTCCGCTGATCAATAATAGTTCTAGCAGATTTCTATCAACAAAAAAGTTACACCACTTTCATTTATTTTGGTAATCAACCAGCTAATAGAAACAAACAAATATAATTATATTATTCATAAATACACTAATTCATTAATAATTTAAGAAACCATTTAACATGAATTTGATTTTTATTTAATTTTTTGCGTCAAATTATGCTCACTTACTACTCAATATGTGAACAACAATGAAGTCTATCATATAAAACAAATGAACCACTTTGTGTTAATATATTTTTTATGATTTTCAAACTAATTAATCTTTCAACTCATGAGTTCACCCAATCACGCAAGGTAGCGTTTAATATAAAGGAACGACACAAGTTATTAAATATGCATATAAGCGATGATCCAACTCTTATCTACAACATGATGTTTTATGCTTTCTCCTAATGTTCTTCTTGGTTGAACATGACATTGAATCCCAAACATAGTCGATTATTCATCAATTTTCTTTGACAATGTTTTAAGCCCGTTATTTCATATTCTTTCTTGACACACTTTTTTATTTAAGAACAATGTTTGGAACAAGAGAGTCATAAAGTTTGCAATGCCATTGCTAGAACCTTCTTCAATGCTCTTATCCTCATTTTGATGAAAAACCATTATAAGCCGCTATTTCATGTGTTATTTTAATGTACTCTCTAAAATTGTGTGAAAAAAATAAACGAGACAATAAAATAAGAGTGAGCAAAAAGAGCGACAGCAAAAGCGCTGTTGATTTCTGATTATTATATAAACTGATCCAGAGCTGCAACTTCATTTCACCAAAACCACACAAAGATATAGCAGTACTGTTGCTCTCCACTCAAAACATATTTATATAGTCAAGAAGCTAATTGTGTGTTGAGAGTAGACAATGGGTTCCCTACCTGCTAGCGTTATCACTTGCAAGGGTACGCACCATATTTACATAAGATAGACGCATTATATAATAATTTCGTAATAGTTTTTCACGTTACGTAGTATATATATGTATGTGCAGCTGTGGTGTGTAAGGAAGTGAAAAAGCTGGGGCAATCCTACAAAGATGTAATTGAAGTGATGGACATACAGGTAGATGTGCCACAAGACACGGAGATCAGAATCAAGATGTTGTCCGCCGGTATCTGTCACACCGATATTTCAAACATCAGGGGGTTCATGACCAAGGTATATAAAATCTATATAGGAGATACCCTTTGATATTTACATAATCTATATGCAAGCTTTCCTCAAATGATTGTCTAATAACATATCTCTTTGTTTGATATGTATATGTGCAGCCATATCATTTCCCGAAAGTTCTGGGGCATGAAGGTGTTGGGTAAGACCATAATTTAGCTAGAATTTTTGTTCTCTAATTCTTTAAATATTTACAGAAATGCTAGTTATCAATTATAAGACATACGGAATATAAAATTCAGCATTAAATTCGAGATAATTCAAAATATAAAGGATAGACTATATGAAAGGATTGGTGACATGCAGTACGTACGGTACAACCAATTATAATTCAAAATATAAAGTTCATTATGGAATATATAAATGTACTGATGGACCCATGAATTCTATAGAAGGATAGACTATATGAAAGGATTGGTGACATGCAGTACGTACGGTACAACCAATACTTAGTTACAAAATTGGTTGGAATAAGTGGCGGACCCAGAAATTTTATATATGGATGTCATCTTTCAAAAAATAAATTCAAAAAATAATAAATAATACTTAAATAAGAAAATATCTTACTCATACAACTTAAAAAAATTCACGATTTGTTTTCGTATTCAGAAATAATTGTAGAATACACTTGGTGTCTACAGTGCTCAAAAAAATTGTCTCTATCATACTAGACAATCATTTGCGAACTGATCACATATTCGATTTCTAAACATGTTCTTAATGTAATCCAAAGTTGAAAAGACACTTTCAACACTTGTCGTACAACCATAAAATCAATACAAATTAAGGGTAGCTTGAAATTTATTTAATTGTTAAGTTTTGAAAATAATTAGAAATAGGGAATGACATTTTACTATTACACAGTGTTTAAATCGAACAACATATGGGTTGTAGCCTAGTGGAAATTATGTTTATTAATAATAATAGTGTCCTATGTTTGAATTACCCAAACTACCACTTATATTCTCATACGCAAACTAAAATATGAGAGTAGGATAATCATTTTTTCAAATTTTAAGGGTGTCCCCAATTATCAATTATAATTTTTTTGTCCATTCGTAAATTCCCACTAGGGGTTGTATAATCGTTTTTCCAAAATTTAGGGGGTGTCCCCAGACACCCCTAAACATACGTGGGTCCGCCATTGGCTGGAATGCTGTTGGTATGATCATTATGATAAATTTTTGACCTTTAAATAAAATGACGGAGTTTTAATGAATTCAATTAATAATAAAATGGATTCAATTATGAATGTTGAGATCTTTATGTTATTTGTTGGATTCAATTATAAACTTTGGATGTTTGCTTATATTAAAGTATGAGTGTTTTACATTTTGTTTGAAATATTGTATTTTCCACTTTCCTACATATTTTACTAAAACCAGCATAAAATGATATAAACTGGTGGCGGGAAGGCTAGGTGCAAGTTATTGTGCCACTGTACTCGCCACCCTGCTGCTGGTTCGGGGATCGTGGACGGTACGTAGGAAAAGAGTATAAAATGATATAAACTGATTGTACAATCGATTAGACCATACCACTTGCTAAACCAACGTAACAATATATATAAATCTTGGAAAAAAAATATAATCAGTAGCTAGACAATACCAATATTAGTCATTAGATTTACATAGTTGACTTATCAACATATTAATTCCATTGGTCTTTCTAAATGTGGCCGGCTAATTAATGTGTTTTTTTCCCCTCTTCCTCCCAAATTTTATTTTGTACGAAAAGAATTGTGGAGAGCTTGGGACCGGAAGCGAAAGGTTTCGAAGTCGGCGACATGGTCATCGCTCCGACGTACGGGGAGTGCGGGGAATGCAGCAGCTGCAGATCGGGCCGGACCAACGTCTGCCAGAAGTACGGCGCCAACGACCCGCCGATGGAGCCCGACGGCAGCTCCCGGTTCTCTTTCGTCGACAAGGACGGGAAGAAGCAGTTTCTCTACTACTTCCTCGCCTGCTCCACGTGGACACAGTACATGGTCGTCGACTCCAACTACGCCGTCAAGCTCAACGACTACGATTTCCCTCCGGCGCACGGCTGCATCCTGTCCTGCGCCTTCACCACCGGTTACGGCGCGGCCTGGCTCGACGGTCGCGTCAGGCCAGGAGACACCGTCGCCGTCTTTGGCACCGGCTCTGTTGGTCTCTCGGTAAGCGAGCCAGCCCATTTACGATATTAATCACCTTCTTACACTCTTCGTAAAATGAAAAATCTTTCCCACAAGTCTTTGAAATCTGCACAGATTTATCAAACCATATGTTTTTTTTTTAATTTCAACATTTAATATTGAAGGTAGTGAGAATTTAAATACATGACCTTAAATACCAATAAGCTCTGATGCTATATGTGATAAACCAACTGATCTACATAATTCGAGTTGATAGAATTGAAATCTGTACATGCGCGGTGCGCCCATCAGATGCCACGTGTTTTTTTTTTTAAATACAATCGTTAATTCTAGGATCTTAAGGACTTAAACACGTGAACGAGCTCTATATAGTAACATGTCAGAAACCAATGTTCCCAATAACTCAAATTATTGGAGAGAGATCCATACGTCATGCATATATGATGATTAACCACTTTCTTGCGTCGTATTTAAGTCTGTGATCGCGGCCAAGGATCTTGGAGCGAGGAAGATCATCGGAATAGATAAGAACGAGCGGAAGAGACAAGTGGCACTGTCTCTGAGCGACCGACTTCATCAACTCGGAGGGGTTGGGTACGATGACGGTGTCCGACAAAGTGATGGAGCTGACCGGCGGGAAGGGTGCGGATTGCTGCATTGAAGCTTCCGGCTCCGACGCCCTAATGAACGAAGCCGTGAAATCTGCTCTCCCGGTATCTTATAACACACTAAATCAACATATATTGTTTCACTCTTTAATATTAGTATATTACTGTCCTCAAATCCTGTCACTTCTTTTTTAACTGACGGTAACTATTGACGGATCAATCAGGGCAAAGCAGAAACAGTAATTTGTGGAGCAGGAATCTTCCCGGACGACAAGCTGAAGTTGGATTTCTCTAAATTCCTGTTCGGGAACAAGATGACCGGGTGCATATATGGGAGGGTGAAAATCAAGTCCGACCTCCCCTTTGTGCTCGAGAAGGCCAAGCAACCGGTATTTTAGCTTAACTACTTCACTGATATTCTTTTTGGTTATGTATATATTATACTATACTAGTAGTGTTATGTAATTGGGAGAGTTATGTTCTATCTGTCAAGAACCAGTTGCTACCAATAACTCGAGTTGTTGGAAGAAGGTTCTCCTTGTGGTTTAATCAAATGTTAATATTAGGGGTCGTGGAGATTCGAACACACGACCATTTGGCCAAACCAGCTCTGATACCATGTCAAGAACCAGTTGCTCCCAATAACTCGAGTTGTTGGGAGAAGGTTCTGCTGGATCTTATACCACTCTCTAACACTATCATAGTCGTAAAAGTTAGTTATTTTTCATATCAGTATTAGGATTCGAACACGAGATCCCTCGTTGCAAAAAAAGGCTCTGATATCATGCCAATAACCAGTTGGTCTCAACAACTCACGAGTTATTGGAATTAACTGGTATCATGCCCTTCTGTGACAGAGACGGTCTTTTGTAAGGATCTTCATTTAATTATGAAGCACATGGTTTTCTCCTATTCGGAACCTGTATAAACGAAAACCCTTATGAATTGACTGGTGGTGTAAGATCTATTTTAAATATCTATCCACCCACTCAACTCAAGTTATTTGGATTAACCGGTTATTAACTGTAGTCTAACCCTAGTTTTTGAATGGATGCATGAATATACAGGATATTAAGGCCGGGATCAACAGGATTCTGGCATACGATGACAAGACCAAGGAGTGCGGGTACCAAGTGAATATCCGAAATGGCAGCGAAGCCATATACACAATGCTTGAGAAGTATTTGGAGGATCCAGAGTCCATCAAAATCATCATCAAGCTCAACGATGAAGATGAACCCAGGAAGTGAAAACCAGCTGTAATAGAAGCTGGAGAGTGTGTGTATATCCCAAGTCAGATTGAAATGCGTACTAATTAAGTACTACTTTGTCATAAACTATAATCTAATAATTAATGTTGAATAATGGATGCACATCCTAGCTCTGTGGAAGTGATTATCTTTATCTGTGTGTTTCAGTTCCTGTTCCTGTTGTTGGTTGTTCGTTTGTTTCTGTTGGGTTATGTTCTTGCACCTATTTGTGGTTTTGTTGCACTGTTTTGGAGATTTGTAATGGCTAGTCAATATTGGCATAAGGCCAAGATGAGTGAATAAAAGATGTATTTGTGTTAAATAAGGATTTATATCCTTAAATCAAGGTGAACGTATTGTGTGGTTTGAGAATAATCCATGTATTAACTTGAGACTAGTAGTGTAATTAGCACCATAATTAACTTATCAATCTCCTTAGACTTAAGAAAATTGGGTATGACGACTTTTTCGGAAATAGTTGGATTTACAATTATACAACACATGACATTAAATTGAGTTGTTGAAAATATACTAATAGATCGAGCGTGGTGTTTTCTAGATAGTTATATATTCGCCATCCGTTCGAGCTTTTATTTTTGTAAACAAGCTCGTATCAAACTCAAGTCAAATTCGAATTTAGAATTATTTTAATTAATCAGAACTCGAACCATACAAACCTCGATTCAACTCAAATCGTTAATAGCCCCACACACAAGCTAGCAAGCAAACCACTTCGTCCGTCCTCTCTATTCACAGGTGAAAGATGATATGGTCAGGTTGGTTTTCTTTCTCGTTTTCCATTGCTTAAATAAACTAAGGGAAAATCACTTACTTTTTTTTTTACCACAACCATCCCACATCCCTTTCTACTCCACTTGATACACCCGGGAGGGGGAAGATAAAAGACAAGTGATTTTCTTTGTCTTTCTTTGTTTAATTTTGCTAGTGTGTTTTGCTGTAACATTTTGTTTATACTAACCAACCATTACACTCAAAATAGATTGGTTGGGAGATATAGGATTAACTACATTGGCTACTGATTTAACTTTAAATATGATTTAGGTTTTGTTGATCGCTTAACTTTTTTAACTTGAAATTTCGAATTATTTCATTATTTTTTTCTCTTGATAAATTTCAAATTTTATTAAGCTCAACTGGACTAAGCCAGAATCGAAAAATACAAGTACGGTGAAAACCACCACCTTCAAAGTAACTGTTAAATCCACCAAATGTTGGTGGTGTTGGATTGGATTGGATTGGCTTGGCTTATCCATCCAATTTTGATTGGACGAATCTCTTCCGTCTCGATTCATATCGTGGATCCATTACATTGGTGCATTTTGTAACCTTATCTACTCAGATCTAACACCGAACCGTTCATGAACATCTTTGGTGCTACAAGCCTATAACACCATAAAAATCGCCATGCATGGTCCACGTATCCCATCAATTATTTTCTCGCCGCGTTATTGCAATATGGACTTATTGGCAATGTCTTAAAGCCAAATTCAGACCTAACAACTGGAGACGCCAAGTTCAGACCTAACAACTGGAGACGCTTAAATCCAATTCTGGGGTAAGTTTCTTCTTACTATATAAACAAACTGATTCCCAGCTGCATCTTTCATTTCATCAAACCACACACAAATATAGCAAAACGATTGCTCTCCACTCAAACATATCCGTAGAGATATAGTTAACAAGTTGTTAAGAGTAGCTAGCCAATGGGTTCTCTACCTGCTAGCGTTATCACTTGCAAGGGTACGTACGCACCATTCTTACCTAAGATATACGCATTATATAAGACTTTCGTAATAGTTATTCACACTACGTAGTATATATGCATGTGCAGCGGTAGTGTGCAAGGAAGTGAAAAAGCCGGGGCAGTCCTACAGAGATGTAATTGAGGTGATGGATATACAGGTAGATGTGCCACAGGGCGCGGAGATCAGAGTCAAGATGTTGTCCGCCGGTATCTGCCACACCGATATTTCAAACATCAGGGGTTTCATGACCAAGGTATATATATATATGTAAAAATATGTACACATGAATTATAATTAAGCTAGTGAATTAGTGTTATTTAAGCTCCATTTTGGCATTCTTGTTAATTTTAGTCTACATAGTAAGAGATAATTGGTATTTCATAATCTATCTACATTCCTCAAATGATTGTCTAATGATTTATCTCTGTGTTTGGTCCATTCTTACACGTGCAGCCATATCATTTCCCAAGAGTTCTTGGGCATGAAGGAGTTGGGTAAGACACCATACTTCAAAATTCTTATTCTTTCTCTAATTCTATATATAAATACTTTACAGAAGAAATGTTATCAAATATATATACACAAAATATACAATTCAGTATCGTATTCGAGATATCGAAAATATAAAGTTCATTATAGAATAATTTGACAGCACTGATGGACCCATATGAAATGATACTTCTAATAACTACAAAATGTAGTATCTCTTGAACATAAACCGGAAGAGAGAAAAATAATAAGAAAATGGTAAAAAATAGTATAATATCTTACGTTGTCTATGTGAAAATGTCATAGTTGTCAAAACGATCGACGACATGTCAGTCGATACAACTGGTCCCAGCAGTTACAAATCGAGATAAATAATTTTCGACCTCTAAACAAAATGATGTGTGCCCTTTCATCGTCAATAACTCGACTACAATTAGATTTACATAGTGAAAACTAATCAACATATTGATTCTACGTTTCTTCTAAATATTGATGGTAAATTAATTAACTATTTCGAATTTCATTTTGCATGAAAGGATCGTGGAGAGCGTGGGACCGAAAGTGAAAGGTTTTGAAGTCGGCGACATGGTAATCGCTCCGACGTACGGGGAGTGCGGGGAATGCAGCAGCTGCAAATCGGGCCGGACCAACGTCTGCCAGAAGTACGGCGCTAGAGACCCGCCGATGGAGGCCGACGGCAGCTCACGGTTCTCTTTCATCGACGGGAACGGGAAGAAGCAGTATCTCTACTATTTCCTCGCCCTCTCCACGTGGACACAGTACATGGTCGTCGACTCCAACTACGCCGTCAAGCTCAACGACTACGATTTCCCCGCGGCGCACGGTTGCATCCTGTCTTGCGCCTTCGCCACAGGCTACGGCGCGGCTTGGCTCGACGGCGGCGTCCGGCCAGGAGACACCGTCGCCGTCTTTGGCACCGGCTCGGTTGGTCTCTCGGTAAGCTAGCGATCGAGTTCCCATATGATATGTTAAGTTTTTGGTTTCAATTAGTTTTTGACAATTAACCATTTGTGACGTTTGCCCATAAATCAATTGATCCCAATAATTAACTCAGAGTTGTTAGGATAGATTTGTTATGGTATTTGATCTCTTTTTTTACACGTTATCTCAAATGAAAATCAATTTAATTATGACGAGGTTGGAGCTTGCACAGCCTTATCATTACCATGTGACCTCAGAGAAAAAAAAACAACTCTAGGACCATGTTATAAATCTACCTAGCTATGTCAATAACTCGAGTTGCTGGAAAGTAGTGGCATAGTAAAAAATTCACTCAAAGACTTGATGGGACCCAGAAATTTCATCAAAAATCACTAAAGAAAATTTTACACAAGCTTTTGGTATAAAAAAATCATAATTTGTCGTTCATTGAGGGTGGAGAATCCCTTTACTAAATTAGGAATTAATTTAGCTCGCGAAATGAACAATCAGATATACATAAGTTTATGCAAAATCTAGAGTTATTTATAGAGTTATTTATGTAATATGCAATGTCAATATGTCCTACTTTTTCCCCTACTATTTGTTTGAGTTTGGCTATTATGAGCTGTGTAAATATATTACTATTTTTCATGTACTAATCCCGAGTCAAGGTGAATCTCGAGACCTATTTCTTTGTCACGCTATCTCTCTGTAACTTGTTGCTGGAAGAGATCTGTATATGGTATTTAACCACTTCCTTGCACCGTATTCGATCAGTCCGTGATAGCAGCGAAGGATCTTGGAGCGAAGAAGATCATCGGGATAGATAAGAACGAGCGGAAGAGGCAAGTGGCGTTATCTCTGGGAGCGACCGACTTCATCAATTCGGAGGGGTTGGGCACGATGACGGTGTCCGACAAAGTAATGGAGCTGACCGGCGGGAAGGGTGCGGATTGCTGCATTGAAGCTTCCGGCTCCGACGCCCTAATGAACGAAGCCATGAAATCTGCTCTCCCGGTATACGTTAACACTTAATTAAGCAACACTTCGTAATTCCACTTTTTATTACTGTTCCAACTTTTTTAACTCACGGTGGTGAATATTGACGGATTAATTAATCAGGGCAAGGCCGAAACAGTAATTTGTGGAGCCGGAATCTTCCCCGACGACATGCTGAAGTTGGATTTCACAAAGTTCCTGTTCGGAAACAAGATGACCGGGTGCATTTATGGCAGGGTCAAAATCAAGTCCGACCTCCCCTTTGTTCTGGAGAAGGCCAAACAGCCGGTACGTATTTTTGCTTAATTATATTACATTTTTTTTACTCTATTACGAGTATTATTATGTAATTGACAGAGGTATATATATTCCTTATCGCATTCGTAGAAGTGTTAATAAGATGATTAGAACAGAAGGCTCTGATACTATGTCAAAAATCATTTGGTCCCCACAACTCAATTGCAGTGTTATAGCCGGGATTAACTGGTTCTTGACATGATATCAGTGACCGCGAGAGGTATTCTGTTCGAAAAAAATCTCTCCGTTTATAAATCATATGGTATTCTAGCTCGTACTTAAGACCTGTGCAAACGAAAACCCTTGTTGATTTGGATGAATACGTACAGGACATCAAAGCCGGGATTAACAGGATTCTGGCGTACGACGAGAAGAGCAAGGAGTGCGGGTACCAAGTGGACATCCGAAACGGCAGCGAAGCCATATACACAATGCTGGAGAAGTATTTGGAGGATCCAGAAGCCATCAAAATCATCATCAAGCTCAACGATGAAGATGAACCCAAGAGGCCGCCGATCAAACCGGTCCACTATTGATCCCACGTATCAGCTGGAGAATATAATGCAACTTTTCTACGTACGATGTCAGATTGAAAATGCGTACGTATACTAAGTAGTTTAACATGAACAATATAATGTAACGTAAAAATAAAGGATGGAGGAGTATATATATATATCCTCTGTGGTCGTGTCTGTGGTTCAGTTTCTCTGTTGTCGATCGTTGTTGCTTCAGTTGTAATCTATTTTGTGGGTTGTGTTCTTATGAAATTTTAAATTATTAGCCAAACGTTAACTATATTTTTAAACAATTTCGTTAGTAATATTGACTGAACTTTTATGTTTTAAAGCTATAAATTAAAAGCTATCTGACGTGGCCGATGAAGTGGCCTTCTCTGTTAAAAAATTCAATAACAGTAACGGACAATTAACCATATATTGACCCGCAACAATAGTTATGGCTAATAATTTGAATTTTCATAGTTGTGGCTATAATTCACCGCTTCATAATAATTGTGGCTAATATATTGTATTTACCCAAAATTATTATTACTCTATATTTATACGAAACAATTATTCATGATTTAGCTAGCCGGCCATTCGCATGGTTGAATGATGTACTTTGTCAAGAATCGGTCAATGAAGTTGTTGTGTTAGGTTGAATAATTTGATCTAAGACTATTTATTATTAACACACTTTCGCTTCCTTAGATGAAATCCCACTAATTGAAGTATCTACAAAGAGATCATATATATGCATCATTGTTATCTGTTCATAATTCGTTACAATATTTTGAATATTTATTAATAAACGATTTATAAATTACGCATCAGATATTTGTAAGACTAGACCATTCTCAATTAGAAGCCCCCAACGGCATAAATTATAAGATGCAGGAAGGTCAATGTCGAATTTACAACGTATACAAATGGCTGACATTGCTAGCTGTAGGAAGAAGACTGGTTATCAATGCAATTTTTTTTTCTTTCTTTTTCTCCACGTGAGTATTGTGGCTGGCAGCAAAGAATTAATGGTCCGTACATGGACATAGATGGAAACCAACCAAAGAGAAAATTGTTGAGAAAGAAAGAGTACTGATTAATTGCAAGCAGAGGCAGGCGTAGGGGTTGCTATACAGTTCGATCTGGTTAAATTGGACTAAATTGATCCGGTTCTAGTTGGGTTTTTTTCGGGAATATGAGGACCAAAGATTGGATTGGATATACTCCGGTCTTGACCCGGTCCGGTCCCAATTTGATTTTGATTTTAGATTGACCTTGTGGGGATTTGAGTGTTGGGGTCTCTTATCCGGTCTTTATCCGGGTTTTTTACCTTAAATCTAAGCCCGAATATGAGATTAGATTGTTTGCTATCCGGTCCCAGTCCGGTCCCGGTCCGGGTTATACGGTTCGATTTCGGGTAAAACCAAACAGTTCTGGACCAAATTGCCAGCCCTAGGCAGGCGGCTACTGGGTACTGGTGAGAATAGTATACGCGTCTATCGTCGGTGGCGTAGCTAAGATGGAGATTGAAAGGAATTCAATTGGCCATATATATAAAACACCCTCAACCTCAATCATCGTATTCAACCAATCTTAATATCAAGTTGACTTTTAGTGATAAACCCTAAATTAAGGAAAGAAAGAGATGGTATACATATCTTCGCATGTTTGTTGTCAAGTAGATATTAATAGGTTTCATTCATCAGCACACAATGGGTCAACAATGGGGCGAAAAAGGATGGGCATGACACGTCGGAAATTAGTATTCATATACCGTCCCATGCTATTACGGGTTAAGTAATACTTATACCAAACATCGCGTCGATCATCAGGTAAATGTTTTTTGATTGGATGGAAGTTTTCCGTTCCGATCCATATTGTGGAGCCATGATGCATTATTATTATTTTTTTTTTTTGGGTAATCATCAGCTGGTTTTTGGCCTCCACAAAATGGACTAGGTGTAATTGTTTATGACTATGCGTTGACTTTATTATTTTTAGTTGAATGTCGCTTGTTTAAGTTTTTGTTTTTGTTTTTTTTTTTTTTTGCTGAAAGCGTTTAATTATTTCATAAAGAGGTGTTATTAATCACCAAAAGAATGGGGAAATAATGCTGGATTTTTCGAACCGGTTCAGTCCGATCCAGTAAAAACCACTACACACGCATCCATTCTGATTCTCGGGTTTAAATTAGATCGAACAAAAATTGTTTTGTTTGGTTACGATTAAACATATAAGAAACGATTCGATTTTCAATTCCTACTATCGCTATAAAGAGAAAAAAAAAAGCCGAAACAGCTAATCGGGTCGCGATGGTTCGCGGTTGAAACCGAACCATGTTGAATCTCACTCCTAATCATAATGACTCGAAACCATGGTACGAGGCCCCTTTCACTTTCACCTACCCAACCGGCCAAGCCTAACTCCCCATGGTCCAGGCATCCCATCAATTCCCAAATTAATTTCTCCTCAAAACTATTCAAACCAGCCAACTTCATACCTAACAAATGGGCGGTTCAAAATCCAATTTTGGTAAATTTCTGTGTATATAAACTGAGTCTTCCGAGCTGCATTTTCCATTTCTTTAAAACCATATACAGATAGCAGTATCCAATTGTTAAAAAGAATTAGCCAATTATGGGTTCTCAACCTCCTGCTAGCGTTATCACTTGCAAGGGTACGCGCACCTTACACACTCCGCATTACGTAAGACTTTCGTATTAGTTTTTACCTTACGTATTGTATGCATATATGCAGCGGTGGTGTGCAAGGAAGTGAAAAAGCCGGGGCAATCGTATAGGGATGTAATCGAGGTGATGGAGATACAGGTGGATCCGCCGCAGGACACGGAGCTCAGAGTCAAGATGCTGTCCGCCGGTGTCTGCCACACCGATATTTCAAACATCGAGGGCTTCATGACCCAGGTATTAATACATAGGCTATCTGATTATTATTATTATAATTAAATTATGAACTATAAGGAGTGTATGATGATGGGATATACGTATACCTCTTTTGTTTAATTGGTCCATTTTTTATAATTGCAGCCATATCAGTTCCCCAAAGTTCTGGGGCATGAAGGTGTTGGGTAAGATGACAATTAGCACATTATTTTAATGTACCTAATCCTATGAGATTTATAGCCAATTGATAAAACTCTTGGTCTTCGATGCAAATCTAAAGATGAATTTAATAAAAAATGATAATCGACCTTTTTAAATTTTATACTCCAAAAGATTAATTAGTATATAAAAATCAAAAGTAGAATATAACTAACATATATATATGCTTGTCCATCTGCTATATTTACATAGTTGACTTGTTGACTGTTTTTTTTTTTTTTTCCTGCATGAAGAATCGTGGAGAGCGTGGGACCGGAAGTGAAAGGCTTCGTAGTCGGCGACGTGGTGATGGCTCCGACGTATGGCGAGTGCGGGATATGCAGCAGCTGCAAATCGGGCCGGACCAACGTCTGCCAGATCTACGGCGCCAACGACCCGCCGCTGGAGCCCGACGGCAGCTCACGGTTCTCTTACATCGACGAGAACGGCAAGAAGCAGTTTCTCTACTACTTCCTCTCCCTCTCCACGTGGACACAATACCTGGTCGTCGACTCCAACTACGCCGTCAAGCTCACCGACTACAACTTCCCTACAGCACACAGCTGCATCCTGTCCTGCGCCTTCACCACCGGCTACGGCGCCGCCTGGCTCGACGGCCGCGTCGGGCCGGGAGACACCGTCGCCATCTTCGGCGTCGGCTCCGTTGGTCTCTCGGTAAGCTAGCCAGCCTTTTTTATCCGTTTCCTTTCACGAGTTATCGAGTGGTTTAAAATCCAGCATAACTTTTCTCCCAACAACTCGAGTTATTAGGACCAACTGATCGATTATTGACATGGTATCAAAGTCTAGAACCAAAAGATCATGTGTTCGAATCTCCAAGACCCCAATATTAACACTTAATTAAAGCACAAGGTATGGTGATCGCCTGTGCAAACTTCAAGCCCATGGGCTGGCTTTCGTTTGACGGGGCGTGTAAAAGAGTCGTTTAAGATCCAGCATAACCTTCTCCCAACAACTCGAGTTATTGGGACCAACTGGTTATTGGCAAGGTCGACCATATATATACATTGTGTGCATCAACTGTCGTATTGTGGTCAAATCTGGCTCTGATAACCATGCTATAAATCAACTGGTCTGATCAATAACTCGATTTGTTGAAGTCGATTAATTATGGATCTTATATTACTATTATTTTTGGAAATGGTATTAAACTTGATTTGGTCTTGATGACACGTATTCAAATTCTCATGACTTGAACATTATCCGTCCTCTTAATTAAAACACGTGGTATATACCGTAAACATGTGCAAATTTCAAGTCCGTGAATTGACTTTTGTTTGAACATAGACATGTAAAGAATATAATTTAGCATCATACATAAAACTGTCACACTTCGAGATATTGAGACCAGCAGTTAGATTTGGACTTCAGTTAGTTTTTGACCATATAACCATTTTGTGTATTCTTATACAGTCTGTGATAGCGGCGAAGGATCTTGGCGCGACGAGAATCATCGGGATAGATAGGAACGAGCGAAAGAGACAAGTGGCACTGTCTCTGGGAGCAACCGACTTCATCAACTCCGAGGGGTTGGGTACGATGAGCGTGTCCGACAAAGTAATGGAGCTGACCGGCGGGAAGGGTGCGGATTGCTGCATTGAAGCTTCCGGCTCCGACGCCCTAATGAACGAAGCCATGAAATCTGCTCTCCCGGTATATATATATCTTCCAGTTAACTCAGTTTCAATACGTAAAAAATTTACTCAGTAACGTATTTTACTAACTATGCTATATCCGCGCGGGACGCGCGGATGAATTAGGGCAAAGCCGAAACAGTAATTTGTGGAGCAGGAATCTACCCGGATGACATGCTGAAGGTGGATTTCCCAAAATTCCTGTTTGGAAACAGGATGGTGGGTTGCATATATGGCAGGGTCAAAATCAAGTCCGACCTCCCCTTCGTGCTCGAGAAGGCCAAGAAACCGGTACGTATACTAGCTATTTAACCTAATTACGTAGTTTTTTTTACTTCTGAAACACATGCTATATTCTCGTATTAAGGATCTGTGCAAACGAAAGCCCTGATGAGTTGTTGATTAATTTGCTTTCGTTTATGAATGGATGTTATGAATACACAGGAGATTATAGCCGGGATCAACAGGATTCTGGCGTACGATGAGGAGACCAAGGAGTGCGGGTACCAAGTCGATATCCGGGGTGGCAGCGAGGCAATCTACACGGCGCTGGAGAAGTATTTGGAGGATCCAGAATCCATCAAAATCATCATCAAGCTCAACGATGAAGATGATGAACCCACTAGGGCGCCGTCGGGGAAGCCTGTCCACTACTGATCCCGATGATCGATCGATCTCGCCCAATCGAGCTAGACCACGTGTCAGCTGGAGAGTGTTTAATTCTTAATTAAGTTCAGATCGATAAAATGCGTACTAAGTACTTTATCATATAACAATAATCTAATAATGTTAAATAATGGATGTGTAGATCCTGTTGAAATGGTAACTTGCAATCAAATCTATCACCAAAACAATACATATGGTGGGTCTCAAATTATTATCAATAATGGATTGATCAATCATCCTTATCTATGTATTTATGATGGAACATGAAGTGTTCTTTCTCTGCCTCTACCTCAAGACAAAGAGCAGCCAAGAATGATGATGCACGTTCAAGGCATAAGGAAATAAATGCATGGGCCAAAGAAAGATCGAATGATCACGTGGATACATGTTATGTTATTAGTTATATAAATATCATTGGGTTAAGAAGAGTGTCTTCAACAAGGTTGTTAAACCTCTATCGAACCCCCCGGTTGGACCCGGTTCAACCCGAGTCGGGCTTCAAAACGGCCTCCAGAAAACCCCCGGTCTGACCCCTAAACAGGGAGAAGAAGAGAGGCAGCAGAGAGGAAAAGGAACGAAGGAAGGGAAATGGTAGGTGGATCATGGAGGTTAGGTAGATTTATTTTGTTGAAAATAAGTTTTTAATAGATATATGTAAGATAAATTTTATTTCACTCATTAAATTTTTAATTACTACTTTATTTGTATATATATTTAGAAAACGTCTAAAACGGCTCAAACCGGCCGGACCCCGATCAGACCATTAAACCTCAAACCCCTTGCTTGACCGGCTCAATGACTTAAACCGGTTTGACAACCTTGGTCTTCAATAATCAAAGAAAGAATACTACATTATTATTCCCACTTTGTTGTATCTGCCATTACTTTGTTATTTGTCTTCCTTCCTTTATGTGTGTATATAAATTATTTGTGCTCGTATAGTCGTTTATTTGATTTTCAGACTTGACTGTACTCTAGGATGTAACTGTTTATTCTTTGAATCAATATACGATTATCTTTTATAAAAAAAGAGTTATCTGTGCTCAAGGAATATCCCGAGGTATGCTAGCTAGAAAACAAAAAGCATGCATTAAAGAAAAAAACACCATGCATCAAAAGTTAAAACTCACATTTGATTATATGCGATCTGGTAGTTAATAAATGCGAAGAGTAGTCATGATATACTATTTTTAAGGCTACAGGTCACGAATTTTGATAGAGTATAGAACAAAAGTGTAATTTTGTTGTTTTCTGGGTAGATATTGTAATTAGTAGTTTGTATAGGTACTACCGTACTAGGTGGTAATTTGGTGAACATTATAAAAGTTGTACAGTGTAAACAGAACAACTACCGTTTTATGCAATAATCAATTCTCTCTTCCGCAATTACTAAATCTGGCATGGTATCAGAGCAAAACTAGGGTTTCTTTCTTGGTTTCTTTCGTTTTCTTTCTCTCTGCTTTGCGATGGCGATTCCTCTTCTAGCAACTCTCGATCCCAATCATCCTTACTACCTCAATCAGAACGAGAATCCGACGCTTGTGCTTGTGTCGACGCTTCTCCATGGTGGCAATTATCACTCCTGAGCGCAGTCGATGAGGATGGCGCTCCTCGCGAAGAACAAGGTCGCGTTCGTCAATGGTGAAGCTCCGCGTCCTGGAGATGCTGATCCGATGCTTCCGGCTTGGGAGTGCACCAATCTGATGGTCTTAGGCTGGATCTATCGATCTATGGAGCCGACGATTGCTCAGTTGATTCTCTGGCTTGATTCTGCGCGAGAAGTTTGGCTTGATCTCCAAGAGCATTTCGGTCAAGCGAATCTGGTCAGGATCTCAGATCTGCATGAGGAGATCTATGGCTTCAAGCAGGGCAATCTCACTGTCACGGAGTATTACACTCGGTTCAAGGTTCTCTAGGACGAGTTCTTTGCGCTTCGTCCGTTGCCTGGCTGTACATGCACTCCTCGATGCAGATGCGGAGCGTTCACAAGGCTTTGTGGTTTTGTTGAAGCTGACCAGATCATTCGATTCCTTCGCGGTCTTCGTGATTCCTTTGGTCCGATCAGATCACAGATTCTCCAGTTAGATCCGTTGTCGCCGATCAATCGTGTGTTTGCTCAGGTCGTTCAACAAGAATGCGAGTCTCGACATGGAGCTTCTCTGGTTCCGTCGGTTCAGCCTCCCATGGCATTTGCAGGCAACTATGCTCCTTCGTCTTCTGTTCAAGGAGGTTTCACTCAAGGCGCCTCTTCGTCTGGTCAGAATCAACGAGGTCATAAGGATGGATCGAAGAGGCCTATCTGTACCTTCTGCGGGCTTGCTGGTGACATGATTGACAAATGCTTCAAGAAGAACGGCTATCCACCTGGATACAAGGCTCGTGGCAAGGCAATCAATGCTGTGTGTGCTAGGGAGTCTACTGAAGATGTCTCTGAGGATACTGCTGAAGGTTTTACTCTCTCTCGGGCTCAATATCAGGCGTTCTTATCGCTCATTCAACCTCAGCAGGCTACCAATCTGGGATCCATAAACTTGATGGCGGTTTCCAACACTCTGCCTGCTGATCATTCCACCTCAGCTCTCTATGAGGATGCAGCTACAGCACAGACTACCTCTTCTGTCTCTCAAGCTGCTTATGATGAGGTTGCAGGCAAGGTAGTTCTATCCGTAGCCAATACTTACAAAAACAGGTCTCTTGAACAAACATGGGTGGTAGATACTGGGGCTACTGACCATGTGGCTTGCTCATTGTCTATGCTTACATCCTCCAGTGTTGTGCATAATTCTTTTGTGACCTTACCTAATGGTTCTAAGGCAAAAGTAACTCACATTGGAACAGTACATTTAAATGATAATCTCATCATTTCTAATGTGCTGTTAATTCCATCATTCACGTTTAATTTGCTTTCTGTGAGCAAGTTAACTAAGCACCATAATTGTTTCATGACATTTATTCATAATGCTTGTTTTATCCAGGAGCTGTCAGCTATGCAGACGATTGGTATAGCTGAACATGTCTCTGGCCTTTACTACCTTCAACCTGGCAACTCTCTTCCTGGTCTTGCTATCCCTCAGTTTCTATCTGCAACATATGATACATCACATTCTATGTTTGATTTGTGGCATTATCGTTTAGGACATGCTTCCACTCCTAGAATAAAGGGTTTACATGCTAATTCTATTCCTATTACTGTTAATGACCATATACATTGCTCTGTTTGTCCTTTGGCTAAACAGAAACAGCTCCCGTTTGCTTCTAGTGATTCTATAAGTAAAGCCCCTTTTAATTTGATTCATTGTGATGTTTGGGGGCCTTACAAGGAACCCACTGTTGATGGTCATCGTTATTTTTTTGATATTGTGGATGATCATACTAGAGTAACTTGGGTTTACCTTCTCAAACATAAGTCTGAAGCTAGGGATATCGTTATTAATTTCTGTTCATATGTCTCTGCTCAGTTTGCTATGACAGTAAAGGTGATAAGAACAGATAATGCTCAAGAATTTAATATTCCAAGTTTCTACAACTCAAAGGGTATTTTACATCAAACTTCGTGTGTTCAAACCTCTCAACAGAATGGTCGGGTTTAAAAGAAAATTGCAGCACATAGTCACTGTTGCTAGGGCTTTTTTATTTCAAGCTTCCCTTCCTATTCACTTCTGGGGTCATGCTGTTCTTCATGCTACTCACCTCATCAATCGCATTCCTTCACCTTTGACACAGAATAAACCTCCCTTAGAACTTCTATAGGGCACTCCTCCTGATCTGGCTTATCTTAGAGTTTTCGGTTGTTTAGCATATGCTAGCACTCTAAGTCATAATCGTCCTAAACTTGAACCTAGGGTAACTCCATGTGTTTTTCTAGGTTATCCTTTTGGTACCAAGGGGTTTAAACTTGTTGACTTAAACACACATCGACAGATTGAGTCTAAGGATGTTGTGTTTCATGAGCATATCTTTCCCTACAAAAATTCTTCACATTCACCTGATTCTGAGTTAACTCTTCCCAACTTTGAACTCCTTATAGATCCTAAAACTTCTAGTGCTTCCCCTTCTGTTCCTCCTTCTGGAATGTTGCAGGTCAATAATCCTGTACATATTCCTTTGCAAATACCCAATATTAATACTCCAGCCCCTGCTGGCAGGCCACAAAGACAAACAAAGCCTCCTGCTAGACTCAAGGACTTTGTTTGTCATTCAACCGTGGCTACATCCTCTAACACTACATACCCTCTTTCCAAAGTTCTCTCTTATGACAAATTAGCTGCATGTTACAAAAGTTTTGTCATGAGTGTGACCAAAGAGGTTGAGCCAACCTGTTATGAAGAGGCTATCAAAGATCCACGATGGGTGGCAGCTATGCAAGCTGAACTTGATGCCTTAGCAGCCACTAATTCCTGGAAGGTGACCTCTTTACCTTCTTCTCATAAGGCCATAGGTTTCAAAAGGGTATATCGTATTAAATATAAAGCTGATGGAACTATAGAAAGGTTTAAGGCTCGATTAGTAACTAAAGGTTATACACAAACTAAGGGTATAGATTACTTAGAAACTTTTTCTCCTGTTGCTAAAATGACCATTGTTCGTGCTTTATTAGCTTTAACTTCTATCAAGGGATGGGCTATTGAACAATTAGATGTTAATAATGCGTTTTTACATGGGGATCTTCTGGAAGAAGTGTATATGAAAATCCCTCAAGGTTTAACTCCTCCCTCTGATATTAAAAGACATGTTTGTCGCTTAACAAAGTCTCTTTATGGTCTAAAACAAGCAAGTCGACAGTGGAATTCAAAACTGACTGAGTTCTTACTAGCTAATGCTTTTGTTCAATCCAAGGCAGATCATACTCTTTTCACAAAACATTCTGGTTCTAAATTTCTGGCCTTATTAGTTTATGTTGATGATGTGATATTAACAGGTGATGATCTATTGGAAATGAAGTCCATTAAGTCCAAACTTGATGATACTTTCAAGATTAAAGACTTAGGACCCCTATGTTATTTTCTAGGATCAGAAATTGCTAGAAACTCTAAAGGACTAACTCTCTGTCGAAGAAAGTTTGTTTTAGACATTATTATAGATGTTGGATTACTTGCTGGGAAGGTTGCAGATTCCCCTTCTGAACCTAATGTCCGGTATTCTACAAACTCTGGTGAACCCATTTCTGATCCCTCTCCCTAAAGACGATTAATTGGTAGGCTTTTATATTTGTGCACTACACGACCAGATCTACAATATGATGTGCATCACTTAAACTCAGTTTGTAGCTAATCCTACTTATTTACATATGAATGCTGCAAATAGATTAGTTAGATATGTTAGAAATAATCCAGGAAAAGGTCTGTTTTTCCCCTCCGATTCAACTCTTGGTTTGTCTGCTTTCTCATACTCAGACTGGGCTGGTTGTCCTGATACTCGCAGGTCAACCACTCGTTCCTGTGTTTTCCTTGGTAAGTCTTTAATTAATTAGCGTTCCAAGAAACAGACAACGATTAGTCGCTCTTCTGCAGAAGCAGAATATAGAGCAATGGCAGATTTATCTTGTGAATTGCAGTGGTTAAGTTACTTGTTTAGTGATCTTCATGTTCAGTTTTCTGATCCGTTTGCTTTATACTGTGATAACACTTTTGCCATAAGAATTGCAGAGAATCTAGTCGCACACG